ATGTGCTTTTGTTGTGATAACCCGATATAGGTTTTTGAAACCTTATATTGGGAACTTGAGGTGTTATGTGTTTAGTTATGTAATTAAGATCTCCTAACCTAAGAGTTAGGTAATAACCTTATGTACGATCGATTATGTTAAGGATAAGTAAGCGGACTTAAGGTATGACTCAAGGATAGATTTCGGGGACGAAATCTTTTAAGGAGGGGAGAATTGTAACATCCCATTTCGGCTAAACCCATATTTCGATCGTTAGAAAGTTTGCGATTTAAAATCCTGTAAGTAATGCCTAATTCTAGTAATTCATCTATACATCGTGATTTATCGATTTAGAGCTTTAAAACGAGTTTTTGGTTCAGGAATTTCTTGAATTCCCGATAAGCCAAATTAGCGTTTCGGAGTATCCGGAAGCCGGATTGAGTCCAAATTTCATATACGAACTTCCCGCAGCGAGGTAATCAATCCTCTAGTTCTAATCCATGAATTTCGGCTACTATTTAGGTCGGGGTCCAAATCGCTGAATTTAGCTCCGGCAAGAATTTGACCCAGAGCCTAGAACTAATATTGACGGGGATACTGCAGGGGATATTAGAACGGTCTCGGATTTTAATTCGGGGTTTGTTCGTGAAATTGACGTTTTAGTATGGGAGGCTAGAACCGGTGCTTGAACGACCAGAACTGGTGAGGGATTAGTACAACATACCGGGTTTGTCGTATCACGATAATTATATTAATGCTTAGAATTGACCTAGGTGAACTAGAATGGCATGATTAGGGGTGTATGGACTTTTGTGCTATATGATGAACCCTAGACTGTTGTATGATATTATTGACTTGCCCTAATCAATATGGACCTGGTTTATGCTGATGATTGTGCATATGTTGCAAATTTTGGGCTTGACTGTTGATATGCCTTATGATGGTTCGAAAAGGTGATTGGGTATGATTTTTCATGATTGTTGTATTTGGATGCACATATGGGAAAACATATATATTCCCTGGTGATATTATGACGTTTAAGGAGGATGACTGACACGAGGGTTTATCCCGAGGAAGTGCAATTATACTACTCCTGATCTACCTATGTTGAGTCAATTGTGGCCAGGTCAAGTACATGTGCAAGTAACGAATTATAATTAAGCAAGATGAGATATGGATCATGTATAAGGATACCAAGTAAGAGTACTTTGGTCTCATGGTCAATTACATAGTAATTAGGGCTCCCCATGCTATTACTCTGTTATGATATGTTATGTCACATCCCTGATGTGGTGTTGACCGTTGATTCATCATGAGATATGACCACACCCAGAGTGGTGTCGAGTCCGATATGACCACACCCTGAGTGGTGTCAGGTCCGATATGACTACACCGGCAGTGGTGGGTCCGATATGACCACATCCACGAGATGTTTGGTCCGTATCCCAGGGAGAGTAATTAGCATGGGAGTAGCCAGGCGCCTATGATTAAAACATGATAAGATGCATATGCATAAGTCAAGGTGGTTGAGTCTTTTGCCTATTGGGATATGAGGATGGCTGAGGTCCGATACTAGTGTTTTGGCTTGATTGTTAGATGTATGATAGGGGTATGCTCTGTTATGAACTCACGATGCTATGATTATCTCACTCAGCTATGAGCTTACCCTCTTTTATTCTTCTTCTCTGCTTGTGTAAGCAGATCATCATCAGCAGTAGTAGATAGGTGTATAGGTGGGAGCTGAGCAAGAGTTGAAGGCAAGATGAGGTATGGTCTTCAACTATTTAGTGCTTGGACTAATACTCGGGATTTTTGCCAGTGATCCACACCTTTTTGTAAAAAAATGTTTTGAGAATGTTTTTCATGTGCATATTAGCTTCTGATGTAGTGTGAGATATCCACAGGTGTGGAAAGTTGATGATATGTGTATATTTATGTGATTGTGTAAGTTATACGACTATGATATGTAAGTAAGGTATGCAGTTGTGGAGTATGAAACTGTGACTATGGCTATGAAAGCCAATGTATATGGTTGTGAGTATATATGTTTGTCTATGAATGCATGGATTCAGATGAATTATTTTGCAGGATTAGATGGAAGAATTGTTAGCCCATTACGCGAGTAATTCATGCCGAAATTTTATTTGGGTAAATTTTGTAAATTAATGTAACACCCGAGATTATTTCCGCTGCAATTGTATGAACAATATGATTAGGTAATACGTATAGGGTAGGGTGTTACAATAGGTATGACTAGTTAATCAAAAGATAGCATGATAGAGGGGATGTAACTCAAATAGAAAGATATACCAAGGGGGTGTAGGTTAGATGGTAGAGCATGCGAGAGGTACGGGGATCAATACCCCACATCTCCAATTGTTTTGTTTTTAAATTTAGCGTTGCATTTTATCGAGGGTGTAATCACTAATTTTTTTTTTTGAAATGACGTTAATAAGAAGTACTGTCCATAACAAAAAAAAAAAACTCAATAGGGTGAACCTCTAAACATTCCAACATAGGGAGCAACTAAGGCCACTCAATCAGAATATAAGACTCCAATATAATAAATAAATCAATCAATAAATAAATATAGGAAGAGTGAAACCATAGGCATTCCAACAGAAGCTTTGAAGCTCAAGGAATCGAACTACGCTCATGAGAAAGAAGTCAATGATGTTTTTGTGTCGTCAACCACTTCGACGAACTAATAAGGCCACTTGATATGATTATAACGCTTTGACTCAACCAAACAAGAGGAAATTCAAGGGGGATGTAGCTCATATAGTCGTGCTCGTTTAGCATGCAAGAAGTATGGAGACCGATATCCCAAATTTCCAGTATTTATTTCGTTTGATTTTTAGAATTTGGTGTTTTATTTAGAGGGTGCAATCTTTAGCTGCTTCTTGTAACGATGTTAATACTTATTGTACTGATGTTACTAAGAAACCAAAAATATTTCGCAAAATGATATGTGGGGCGGACCCGTGGAATGCCAATGTGTAGCAATATTCATAACAACACTAAAAGAGAGAACTTCTAAACATTCCAACATATGGAACAACCAGTAACACCCAACAAAGGACACTCAAATCCGATTATAAGTCTCCAATCTAATCAGTTTTAAAGCCATAGAATTAAACCACTCCAGCGAGAAAGAAGCCAGTAATGTTGTTGTCTCGTCAACCACTTCAGTGAATCAATAAGACCACTGAATCTACTTATAAAGCTTTAATTCAATCAAACAAAGCATTCAGCTCGAAGGAAATAAAGAATGATAGTCAATCTAAATTTAAGTCTTTGCTTTGTAAATCTTCGATGCCATAGTAATGTTCCTCCCTCAAAACTTAGGTAGTGGAAGTTTCATATAAGTTTTTCTCACAAAACAATTCCCAGTTATTTGTTTGTACCTGCCTTTGCCAAATCATATTATTATCGATCGGTCCATCGGGGAAATAAGTTATCGGATTCCAAATCGATATAATATTTTACTACTATGAAACGATTAAATAACGATATTAGCATTAAAAGCTTTATCACTGAATTGTCGGGTAAAATTACCGTCCTCGTTCTCAATTAGATTTCATTATGGGTTGTTAAACATCACCCTAACTTTAAAATCAAAATTACATCTTTATCCTTCTGTTTTTTCATTGTTAAAATATATTTTAATCCTAACAAGTAACAAGCACAACTCACCCAATAAACAAAATAAAAATGTTGACCCGAAAATCTAATCGTCGTTGCCATTACTCATCATTGTTGTTACTGGCTGCCGCCACCATTCCCCACCTCCGGCAAAGTGAAAAAGGCGACCAGCATCTTTGAAATAAAGGCAAAAAAACGTGATTAGAATTTCATGTAGCACGCAATTTTTATCACCTAACACACAACAAATTAAAATATGATTACAAGTTATAATAACAATTACCCTAATTATCAAATTTAAAGGAAACCATGCCAATTGCGGCAGTATAGAGTAGGAGCAGGACGAGCTGATGGGGCGCTATTATGGTGGCAAGCAGCGGCGGATTCAGAAAACAGTAGAGTACTAAGCTGAATTTCATCAGAAAATTAGCTCCGTAAAAAATGACAGTTTTTTTTACGATATCAATTGTACATGTCGATCTTTTACATTTTAATACATTGAATTCATCAATAATGGAGTTTACATCCATACCAATAGCATACTCTTTTTAAGATAAAATAGTTAACCAATTGGCGAGAAATTCATCGCTCATTTTGTTGGGCACATATTTTTTCACATATTTCATTGTTGAAAATGTTCTCTCCATAGTAATTGTTGAAACGAACAATGTCAACACTGGTCAAACTAATCGACTAATCAATATATATTGTATATCAATTTCTATTTTCACCAGCTGCTCTAGTAATTTCCTAAGGGAATAAACCTCATATTTCTTTTGGTCTTTTACATTTTAGAATTTTAGGTTTCATTGTTTGTTTTTCTTTAGATGAGAATTATTCAGGCCAACTTTAGAGGTGTGATTTGAATATGTTCATCTTACCAATTTTCCTAATTACACACAATCTTATTATAAATTAACACTGGATCGAATGACTAAAATCAATAGACTTATAAGGATTATACTAGCTCCGGATCTAGGGGAGGGCTTGGCCATAGCCCGGGGTGGCCATCCCCTGGATCTGCCACTGGTGGCAAGAAAGAGGAGGAACGTTTGGGGTGCAGGGGTTGCAGACTTGCAGTGGCGGAGGGCGTTTAACTAGTAAAATTAAGGCAATGTTTAATCATTCAATTTCATAATGGCTCAATATCATAATGGCTTGTAATTTACATACTGAGCCTACGAATTGGGATTTAACGACAACGGGTAAGAAGCTGCCTGGGTTCGTTTGTGCATTGGTCCGCTGAATTCGTGTAGTGAGCCTGAGAGTGTAAGCCTGGGCCCAATTGATCTCCTCAGCGAGGGTTTAAACAGGCGGCATCAGTCAGCCCAATGTAAAATAGACCTAAAGCCCATACTGCTGACGCTAACATACAAATTACAATACTTGGTTTAATACCCGCTTCGCGCGAGTTACGACATTCCGCGACAAGGTACGAGGACAAGAACACGAAACGACAATGATAAGCTGATCAAACTGTATACATACCTTAAAGGACCGATTTAATTAATTCAATACAATTATGTAAACTAATCTTTTGAAATCGAAATCTAATAACCTAACCTACCGTGTATTCGTGTGTTATTCAAATCCTGAATTCCAATTTATCGCCCTTGCAGAGCGGGTTCTGCTTGATCAAAATCTCGCGCGCTATTCCCTTGACGTCGAAGCTGCACCCGTGCTCTTCGGCATACCGGTGGGACCCGCAGAACACGTCGCCGCACCGGCAGGCGAAACCCAGCAGGCCGACCTTCTTGTTGCACGCCTTGCACCGGCTCTTCCCCTTATTATTCACCCCGCCGCCGCTGTTATCCGTGGCCGAGTCCGACTTAGCTGCCGCCAGCTGGGAGGAGAAGACGACGTCTGTGGCGGCGGCGGTTGAAGAAACGGCGGCGACGGGGGGTTTGGGTTGTTGGTTCTTCTGGGAGTCCTTGTAGCACTTGGAGCAGAGGTTGTTGGTTTGAGGAGAGCCGTAGAATCCGCAGCCGTTGCCGCAAAGACTGGGTTCTGAAGCCATCCTCTCGTTCGTGTGTATTGTGAATGGATTTTGGAATGAGTGAAGAATGACGCTGCAAGCGAGTGGCGACTTTATATAGAGAGCATCCAGTGGCCGTATTTGGAACTAGAAGGGAATTCCAATTCCGAGTGGAGTTTGAATAGGTTTTACTTTTATTCCTGCCCGTTCCCGTACTTTCCAGAAGCTTCTCTTCGATTTCCTCTTTAGTTTCGGCAAGGTGACATTGCAGCGTATCCTCATTTAATTTCCTTCCATATGCTTCACAGGCATGAGCCCCCAATTCAGGACTCCATTTGCTAGGCTCCCGAATAATTTTGTTACCCTCACGAGCAGGATCATTTCCCTCATTACGAGATTGTACACATGCTTCTAGAGCTACTCGATTAGCTGCCTACGACACCACGTACATTTTTCCAAGGGTGATCTAAAGGCTAAAGTTCCACCGCCAGATTGTAATAGGGAATCATCTTCAAAGATCTCTGCCAGAGCATATATATGCCAAACGTGAATACCCCTCCGAAGCTACGAACAAGACGCATGGCAGGAAAATCCAATTTTAAATGAAACAAATACTGTTAGAGAGTGGTATAAGATCCAACATAACTTTCTCCCAACAACTCGAGTTATTGGGACTAACTGGTTTATGACATAGTATCAGAGCTGGTTTGTTCGTGAGGTCACGTGTGCAAGTCTCTACGACCCCCAATATTAACAGTTGTCTTCAAGCACATGGTATGGCGGACATGTACAAACTTCAAGCCCGTGAGTCAGCTTTCATTTGAGGGGACGTTTTAGAGGGTGGTATAAGATCCAACATAACTTTTTCCAAACAACTCGAGTTATTGAGACTAACTGATTTATGACAAGTACCACGACTTTTTATCTTTTTCAACATAATTGCCATGTCAACAAATTAGCGGTCAAAGATCTTAATTGATTACAATTGGACGGTAGGTGACTAACGAGAGAGGAAATGAATAAAATGAGTAACTATTAAAATAGAAATGTTTTTAGATAATAAACATATTTTTTTTAATAAACTAAGCGATCGAACATACAACCTAGCCGATTAACAAATAACAAAACCCTGATTAGTGATTACATTCATACCGACGAGATCGGGGATGTAGGGGGAGATGCGACATATTATTATGAATTCATACAAAAATTAATTTGAAATTGGGCAATAACTTTACCCAACTGGTGACAACTTTGAGAAACAAACGAAACGACACACTCCTACTACAAGTCTACAATACTCAATATATATATTATGATCATGAGATCACGACGACGAATTGGGTCTGCCACATTTCTTCCTAATCTCGCCCTGAGACCCAGTGAGGGGATCGATGTTCCCCATCTTGATCATCGCCGCCGCGAAGTCGGCCGCAAACGCCTTGGGGTTCTTGCTGTAGGATCTGATCAAGGAATCGGTCGACCCGCCGTCGAACAGGATCTGGTCGGAGTGTAGAAGACCCTTTTGAATGAGGAGGTTCTTGTAGTATTTGTTGTCGAAAAACGCCGCCGTCTTCACGTCCAGAGGGGCCAGCCGGTCGTCACCTGAGTTCGCGGCGCTGGGGCACCGCTCTTGTCTCGTCCTCGCGAAATTGGAGTTGATGTTGGTCTCGTTGTAGATCCGGGCCCTGAATGTCACGCACCTGGCTTGCCCTATCGTGTGGGAACCTTCACATATATATATATATATATATATATATATATATATATTTCAGCAACAGATTAGTTAAGAACTTGATTATACAGGGAATCTAGCAAGTAATTAAGGAACATTAGTCACGCCGTAATGGATTGGGAAATAGAAGAAAATGAAGAACACAAAGATTTATATAATTTAAATTGTATTATCTAATCCATAGGCAGGACACCTCGTGAGTCGTGACAAATAATATGTTTTCAAATCATTATAGTTAGGTCGGATTTAATTTGCTCGTCATTGTCGAATCCTGAGCAAGCGTAAAGAGAGAAGAAAGAGATACGGAATAGAATTTGAGGTGGATTAGAGTTCTTATTGTTAGTAGCTGACCTTATGTATTACATGCCTCGATCGCGACTTTTGAATGTTTTCTCTCCATCCAATTTCAATTAAACGGCGCCCCCTTTTTAGTTAATTTTAGTAATTTTTCTTTTTAGGTTAAAACCGGATCAGAGCAGACCCGATCCAATCCAATCTGGTCACAATTAACATCCGAAAATTGGATTGAAACCGGTTCAGATTAACAGCAGCTTATTTTATTAATAGCAACAAATGCGATTAGAAGGTTACCAGATAGAGCAACCATGTCCTTGGCAGAGAGGCCTCTGGCCTGGAAGCGAGTGATGAGCTCATTGAGGGTGGCGGTAGGAGGAGGGATGACGCCACTGTTGGCGGCGGCCAAGCTGGCTGTCTTTGAATCCCTTCTTCCTAGTCTCACTTTCCAGTTCGGCCCCTTAACCTGCAGACAGAAAAAAAAGGGGAATCAAACAGTATAAGTGAATATCTGATTGATACAATATCAACACCGACTTTAGGAATCTGTTGTTTTATGTAGGAATGAATAGGAGGTCGACATACGAGGACAGTGGAGTCGCGAGCAGCGATGGCGAGGATGTCGGCGCAGGAGACGATGCCAGGGCAGACTTTCTCGATCTTGGACTTGATGTCGTCGACAACCTCAAAGCCTCGCACGGATCTATTGTTGGGGCGGGCAGTTTGTTCTCCGGTGAAGGTTGGCGTGTCGTCCAGTAGTATCGATCCGTCACAACCCTGTTGTATATCCAACCATAATGTTTTCAAGCACTCTTAGATCGATGATTTTGTCGTATCAGTGTGGGTTGACATAATTTGATATCTGAGAGCAATATTTCTTTACTATTGTTGAGTCGGCACGACTATTTATATTACTTACGATATTATTAAGATATATATTGATTTAAGCCATCTAATCAAAATCGGGCAGTATAGAAGATATATGCATGTTAGACTAAATTGATTGGATATAGCTTTCAAGTCTAGAAAAATCTTCTCTACTATGATTTCTTAATGGGAATATAAACCTACTACTTTTCATGTGAAGGAAAAGCTAAAAACAGGTCTCAATCAAACTGTTAAGTATTTGACTAAATCTAACTTTAACACCAATAATTTCTTTATCTCTTTGCCAGTCAGATCAAAAGATTTCTCCACATATAAATTTCATTTTCATGAATAGTCAATAAAAGTTTCTAGAACAATTTAATCCTTTCACAATGGGTGGTTAAAATTAATTATTACCATGAAGGTTATAGAGATTTAATTGTAGGACCTTTTTTGTGCTTCTATCATAAAAAAAAATCACAAAGATCAATTTAACAGTCTAACATTTCATGGTGCAATATCATACCAACACTAATACAACAAATATCATATATTTGTGAATTATTCAAATTCTCTAATGTGAACATTTTCGAATGAAAAAAGTCTGAAGATCATGTCCAAAATATAAAAGAAAATTCGATATTCGTTGATGGGAAAACATAAAATGAAGCAGCTATTCATATAAATTTTTCGAAAATCAGAGTTTATTAACCGAAATGACAAAAAGGACCTAAAAAAACTTGTAAACAGAAAGAGTTAATATTACGTTGACAAAGCAGTCGTGGAAGTGCAATCGGAGGAGAGAGGCAGCCATCCGTCGTTCTTTGGCGACGGCCGATTTCACAGCAGACCTCACCGTCGTCAGCAGCTTGGGGCAGCTCTTAGAGTAGAAGTTGGTGGAGAGCTGAGCCGATGATTTCCCAGCAAACGCCACCACAAGCAGGAAAGCCACCGCCAGCGCCGCCACCAAGCAAGATCGCCCACCCATTTTTTCTTTTTTGTTTCTTACCACAATATTTCACGGCGGCAGCTCCTTGACGTAATGGAAGCGTAAAGGGTTTGAGAGATGGTAAATACCGTTGGAACTGAACAAGTGGTATATTTATAGGAGGTGATTGGAGAGGGCTTTCATTTTCAATGTGCAGAAATAATCAACAGAGAAAGCTAATAATTAGGGCTGCTGCTGCATGCATGCACCTGATCATGTCCTTATCTGTCTCTCTGTACTATTACTACGACTAGTAAGCTCTATGCACGTTGCATGGTTTGACAAATCAAACTCTGATTATGGGACCTATCGATTCCAATACCTCGACTTGTTGAGAGTTGTATATATTATTCAGTAACACGAAGAAAGCCACCATATAAAGGTTTGAAGTTTGCAGAGGTCTGAATATTGCATGCTGGTTGTCGGGATTCGAACGGAAGATCGACGTCTCGATCACATAAGGCTATGACAACATGTAATATATACCAGTTGATTCCCGCAACTCGGAGAGGTTCAATTATGAATAATATATATCACTTACAAACGAGGTCATCATAGTTCAATTATAGTTTCTATACCGCTTCATTATACGCCTTCTCAAGCGAAAGTCAACTCATTGATAGCATATATGTAATAAATCAACTGGAATTGTTATGATAGGTTAAATTATAGATCCTAGGTGGTCAGTGGAGTAGCTAGCTAAGGGATTTCACTATTTTAACAACAATTGGGTGAAAAACACACATGAAATTATTTCAATGTAAACAGTTAATTGATTTGGTTAGAGAAACTATTACGCCATCTATTGTCCAACTCCCCAATTGGACCGGGTGTAGAGTAAAGTTTGCAGCCCCGGCCCACCGCGCGGCAAGAGTTGGCAGCCTCTACATATTGATTGAGCCAAGTGAATTCGAGTAAAAGTTTGGCTCACAATGTGTAAAGGTCAATGTTCCTGTATAGCAAGTAGCAACCTCGAGAGTTCGTTATTTGACTCACTACGTACCATTCAAATCCCACGATGCTATTGCATTTATGGAAACAAGGGGGAAAAATCATTCATATAAGGATAGCATCTAATTTCGCCAAACTTATTTAATTGGAATTTTCAAATTTTTAGATGGAAATTTAATTTTATGTTATGAATGATATCGGACTATACATTAATCATTGCAATTTAGGATCAAATTCGCCAACTTAATATAGGACTATACTTTAAAAAAGGTAGTAATGATCAATCACATGTGTAAAATAACTAGCTGTCTACATGCAGTCCTTTGGTGACAATTTGACAAGTGACAATAATTTATTTTACGATATTATCTAGCAGAAGTTTCAAAAGCTTTTTCCAAGTAGTGTCTGCTAGCTGGAACTAATTAATTGTTTGGATGAAAATAAATCTCAGTTGACATGGTCGCAATTGTCATCAGCAAAAAAATAAAATAAAAAATAAAATTCCAAGCTCAAGACTACCCTTTTAGTGATTTTGATGCAAGATCAATTGTCCGGTTAGTAATAGTAGGGCAAAAAATAATAGTCATATTCCACAGAATTCAGCACGATGACACCTAGGCGATAAAGTACGAGAGATGTGCGGTTCATAAATAAATAACACGTCTTAACTTTTGAGGTAAAATGGGGAGTTCTTGTGAGAAATCCGAAGTTAAACGTGCTCAGTGTAGGGTACAACAAATATGAGTGACCTTTATGGGAAGTGACCTTGAATTATACTTCAACGCAAAAACCGTGAGGATCGAGACCTAAAACGCAAATGGACAATATCTTGATCGGGAAAATGTTCGGGTGTTACACTTACACTATAATAAAAATAAGCAATAAAAATATATAAAAAGGAGCCCAAATCTTAGAAGTCGGCCCATTCAAGTTTAATGGCCCAATATTCTCTTAGACCCATACCCAGCTAAGCATCTCCGCTTGGGCTATTGGCCCACCCCTTTTCAGTTCCAAGAAAGAAAAAAGGGAAAGAAACGCCTCTCATTTCACCGACTCCGCCGGCCGGACTTTACTCTTCTGTCTTCTCTTCTCCAGTCGACCCGAGACCAACGACGCTACCGGTTGACGGCAAATTCCTCTTCTGTCGCGGCTGAGACCAGACGACGGCAGGCCGGTTTCTTTGCTGTTCGAATCCTGACCGAATTCGTTAAATTTCTGGAGATCCTACCGGACTTCCTCTATATCGGTAGCTGATGTTGACGCTCCTAGGCCTGAACGATCGGTAGAGCAAGGGATTGTATTACTCCGACTATCATTGTAAGTCTTGATCAAAATTGCTGTCTTTTTATGTTTAAATTTCCCCCTAATAACTTCTGCTTAGACCGATTGAATGTCTATTATGAGGGTTTGTTGGATTTCGTGTTCTTTCTATTTGTTTGGTTCTGGTGTGTGTGTGTGTGTGTGTTTTTTTTTTTTGACAATGTTCTGGTGTGTTGATTGGACGAGTTTTGGCTATACAATAATGTATCCATCTCATGATTATTATGGATTGAGGGTGTGAATTCAGAATGCCGGTTCCCTATTCGATGAATTGTTTCACTTTATGCTACTGCCACCTTATATCCTTTCTGCTGATTGTATACATTGAGAAGTTCGGAGCTCTTTTCATGAAATCATTGGAATTTGTGAAGGAAGCAGCTGTAGTTTGTGAATATTTAGCCATGTATTGCACTCTTGCTTAACAAGAAGAGTGTGGAATGATGAATTGTTAGTGATAATCATGTTGGAAGGTATCAAGTTGCCATTTTGGTATGAATATAAAATTTGAGATGGAGGGATCCTTTTGTTTTAGATAGTAAACGACCGTTTTCTTTTGTACCTTGAAACTTGGCCTAACACGATCTTCGTATTCGCAGCATTGCTAAATTCCTTAACTCCGTAACACAAAGTGGAAGTTTAAGGTGGGGTTGCAAGATTGATCTAGGCTTAAACAATGGAGAGATCCCAGCAGCAGGAGATCGGAGCTCTTGAAACTTCGCTAATCAACCTAGTCCAAGATCACCAACAAGCTACTGTCCGCCTGCAGGAGCAGACAGGTGAATTGTGGATTTTGCGGAGGTTTGATTTCTCCTACTCGATCTCTCTGTTGATTCTGATTTTGACATCAGGGATTCTTTCCCAGAGAAAGCCAAGAAAGACGCTATCAGGAAAGCAGTGAGAGTGTCGAATCTGTTAGTTGATGCTGTGAATGGTGGAGTGGAAGAGTCGTTTGTTATTGAGAAGCGAATCGAGTCAGAGATTCGAGTGTTGGCAGCCACCATTACTCGATTCATGAAGCAGAGCGATCAATGGCTGTCAGCTACTCATGCTATGAACACGGCTATCAAGGTTCGTTGCTTACATCGGAGGGAATTTAATTCCCCTCTTAACTGTTTTCTGTTCACTTTACGTAAACTGTTGATATAAGTGGGCCCTGTGAACAGGAAATTGGAGACTTTGAGAACTGGATGAAGGTAATGGAGTTTGACTGTAAAAGCATTGGTGCAGCGATTCAGAACATTCACAAAGAGTAAGGGCAGGGCCTATTATGTTGCGTCCTCGCTGCCTTGTATACCAGGCAAGTTCATATTCTTTTCTTTATATAAATCCCATTGAAGATGTACTGAATAAAAAAGCTGGTGTCTTTCCCTAAATCGGAGCACAATTCGCTTTTACTCTCCTTTCCTGAGCTGGTTTGTGTGAATGGAAACATTCCTTAAAGTATATATGCACCCAATTTGTTAAGACTTCCATGCTTTCCTTAATGATTCTATAGAATCCAGATTGAACAGGAGTTCACGTTCACATTCTGCTTTCTTGCTAGAATACCAATCATTAGATTTGTAGGTAGAAGCAAATTGCTGTATTATACTGGTGTGTTTGGTTGGGGGAACTTCAATTTTTCCAATATGCAGAGCTGGATTGGCGAGTATAATACGGAAGTAGGTGGAGCAAGTATAAAGATGTATATGCATGTTGTGGATGCAATCAAAGTCTTCGTCTGTGTTAAGCACAGTGATATAATATGAAAGTCTCCTCTAACAATGGATGTCGATTTAACTGCTTAACCATTCCTTTATCTGATCTTAATCCTGTCTACTCTAATCATCTCTCCTTAATTGCCGAATGACATTTACATTATGCATGGAATATGGTCCACCATACCAACATAGTTCTTGATCTGCCCTCTGTTGTCTTTGAAACAGAGGTGAAGAATATTCTTTTGCTAGTGCTGCAACTTTGACTTTTTACCTGGTAGCCAGCCGGGCATCTCTCTCCCTCCATCTAAGTCCAGGAGGTTGGAATGAACGTGTTGTGAAGTGGAGTTGCTGAAGCATGTGGATGGGGATTAGGGCTATATGCTCCTTTATGAACAACTCCCGACAAGCTCTGGTTTTTAGGCAGTCCGAGGATTGACTTCTGATCACAAAGTTCCGCTATCGCCATCATTGATGCAGTTGGTTTGTCTTTTTATTATCGTCATCGGATTAGTTGTATGTGGAACCTTTCTGGCTGAACATTTAAGTCTTCGGCTCTAGTCATGTGGGATTGTTAATCAGTTTTTGCACCACCAAATTATGGGCATGGCAAGAGTTGTTTAATGGGAAGTGATTATGTTTTTATGCAAAATCGTCCCTATGTTCCCCAATCATTTTTGGTTCACACTTCAGACTATTGGTGTTTATGTTTAAACCGTGATGTTATTTGTTGGATGCAATGTATCAGTGTTATTTAGAAAACACCCCTATGCATCCAACTGCCCAGACCAAGAGTATGTACGATCCAACGACATCAACTTGTGCTAGTTATATCGACAATCCGTCGAGAGTAATGGGGTTTACTTTCATATAATCGGCGACATGCCCAGTAATGGCTCCGCTGGTGTATAATCTTGATATCAAGAGTTGACAAGCGAGAGATACTATGAATGGTTCCAAAGTTAACGCGTCAATCATGCTCCGCACTCTTTGCAAGAAGAAAAAACTAATTAAGTAAACGAGATCTCCCCATTGTAATTAACTAACTGCGGAGGAATTATAATCAAATGAAGATGGATCAATCGTATCGTATGGATGGCACGATCCTGTATCGTCGTTCCCCAGCTTAACGGGTAGCCCTTCCTCTAAATCATTATTAGGAGTATCAGGAAACGGTGCGGTATGGTACAGACCAGATCATATACACGGTCTATGGTTCAGACGGAGAGTCTGAAGTATAGACCACAGACCAGAACAGAGACTATACAGTCCGGTCCAGACCACGCTTGTGCGGTCTGATTCGGTCTGGTCCAGATAAACCATACTCAACGAAAAATGAATAATTTGTTTAGTCAGCCACAAAAAAATTTGAACCAATAACCAAGAAAAATAATTGTTATTTGCCTTAACACATTAATCATAACATGCATGAATAATTTTGATACCCTAAATCTTAGTACATAACAAAGATACAAAGTAAAAGCATCCCAACTTGCACCATAACGTCATAAACATTAACATAGTGCCATATGGAGACACAATTATCTCTATTCTCTGGTTAAATGTGGTTGTGAATGAAGGAGGGACGAGATTCACAAAACTAAGGTTGAGACTTGGGTGTCTTGTGGGAGTTGTGAGAGTGGTCGAATGAGCTGATAGCACATATTGACAAGTCGGTTGGGTCCACGGTTGGGTCCGGTAAATCGCGGTCTAGGCCAGACCAGACCAGACCAAGAGATCAAAACATAAAATAATACAGACCATGGACCATACTTAACGGTCTACAGTCCGGACCAAACTGTACGGTACGGTTTGGACCACGATTTTTCTAACGGTCTGGTCTATTTTTCCAGCCCTAATTATTAGTTGGCCTAATTAATGAGAAAGTTATAAGAACAGAACCACAACAACGGATGAACCAATAGAACTATCGAAAATGACATGGTATCGGTTTGGTCCATTTGTTTAGATGGTTAGGGATGGATTGAACGGTTAAACAGTTTGAAATGATACCAAATGAACCACCCCGATCTGGTAACCACAACAAAATTAAGAAAAAAAATATGTTAATGTAAATTAAGAGCATCCTACATGAATTATTAATTTTTATTTTTGCTTCATTTTCTTCGTCTCCCAATCTCTTAGTCGGCTTTATGTGGTCCACTACGGATTATCCCACTAATCACTAACTTGAATTTAATAATAATAAAAATAAGAGTTCTTTTGTGTGATAATTTGAGTGATTTGTTAGAACCTTTTTCTTTTTCTGATGAATGATATAGATTTAAAATTGTTTATCATTAATAATAAATTCGGCCATAAATTTGTGAGATAATTTGAATGGTTATGTTAGAACCTTTCTACAATTAATCGTCAGACCATAAACTCTTAACTTTTCTGGCGATGTAGTCGTGAAAACAAAACAAATGGTAATTGCATCGCTGTCGATCCATGGTCGTCCTGCTGCAGAAAGAAAACAACCTTCAATAACATAAAGTCATAAACACACACGTCTGTCACATATCCCACCTGCAGTCTGCAGATAGATGGAAATATGCATGCATAATATAATACTACGTAATACCAACTAATCATCAATCATTTAATCGATCGTTTCGAGCTGTACTTACTATAAATAGCTCGTCTTCGACCTTCATGTCTTCACCATCTCTTCATCATCATCATCATCATCATCTTTTCCAGTGTCAGAAAACGATCGACTTCACCATGGCTGCAGTAGCATTGCGAGCTTTGCTGGTGTGTTTCGCGGCTGCTCTCTTCATGGCGGCCGCACAAGCCCAACTCAGCCCCAATTTTTACCAGAAAACGTGCCCGAAAGCGTTGCCAGCCATTAAGAAGATCGTCAAGGAAGCCATCAAGAAGGAGGCTCGAATGGGCGCGTCGCTGCTCAGGTTGCACTTCCATGACTGCTTTGTCAATGTAAGTTCATGAGTAGTGATCATATCGATAAGCTAATTAATCCCACTTTGATTTGAATGTTACATTTGCCATATGGTTGATAAGATAATAGATGAAGTTTTACCAAAACCATCTAGGTTTTGTATTTTAAATATTTAGTGTTTCGAAATCACAAATCTCACGGTGGTTATTGATTTTTTTTAATATGCTTGGGATTGCCTATGTAGGGGTGCGATGGATCGATACTTCTGGACGATACAAAGAATTTCACTGGGGAGAAGACGGCACCTCCGAACTTGAACTCCGCTAGAGGATTTGATGTGGTTGATAAAATCAAGACGGCCGTTAACAAAGCTTGCAAGGCCAACATTGTCTCTTGCGCCGACATTCTGGCGGTCGCCGCTCGTGATTCCGTCGCCATCGTAAGCGCCCCCAACCCCGTACCCTCTACTAAATTTCTCCTCTATCTCATTTCACAACCTTCAATAAAACTGAATTTCATCTCATATTCATTAACACGTCTTTTCAAAATAAAAGTTTACCGAACTACTTCAATCACAACAATGCCAGAATCCCCAAACTCAGACATCCCCTCAACTTTCTTACCACGTCAAAAACACACCATGTAATAAAAGTATTATTCCAATAATACGAGTTGTTGGGAGCTTTTATAAAACCAAATCTCTCCGACCATCATTCATTTTTACCATACTATTATGCCCCTAATCTATTTTTAATCACACAGTTGGGAGGTTCAAAGCACTACTACCCGGTGATGCTAGGAAGACGTGACGCCCGAACCACCACCCAATCCGCCGCCACCAACAACCTCCCGCCGCCGTTCTTCAACTTCTCCCAGCTCCTCTCCAACTTCCAATCCCACGGCCTCAACGTCACCGACCTCGTCGCCCTCTCCGGCGGCCACACCATCGGCCTCGCCCGCTGCGCCAACATCGTCGCCCGCATCGTCAACGACACCAACATCCCCACCACCTTCGCCGCTTCCTTGCGCCGCGCCTGCCCTCCCGCCGCCGCCAACGGCCCCGCCGGAAACGCCACCCAGCCGCTGGACCGGACCCCGGCGAGCTTCGACACGCAGTACTACGGGGCGCTGATCGGGTCGAGGGGTTTGCTCCACTCCGACCAGCAGCTGTTCGGCAGGACGGCGAACGCGGCCAGCAACGGGCTCGTTAGGCTGTACAGCGGGAATCCGGCGAAGTTCGCGGCGGATTTCGCGGCGTCGATGGTGAAGATGGGGAATATGAAGCCGCTCACTGGGAAGCAAGGGGAGATCAGGAAGAACTGCCGCAGGCCGAATTAATTACTCCGCTTGGATTTGGAGTTTTACTTTGTTTGTGTTTGATTATTTAATTTTCTGGTTGTGATATTCATTCTTTTGAGTCTTGATGGCTCGAGAGAGTATTGAGTTGTTTGTTCAAATTTGATTTCATGATGTATGAAATAAACGTTGGTGTGGGGATAAAAAAAAAAAAGAAGAAGCACATCTCCATTGTTTTTTTTTTATTGAGAAAAAAATTTGATTTCATGATGTATGAAATAAGAAGTGGTTGAAGGAATTGTGTATTTGTTCGCGGTGATTAATGGCATTGTGTAAGAACATGCAATGCAGGTATAGCTAAAATTTTGGAGTTTGTGATAATTACTAGCCTATAGTTCGGCCCGTTGGCCGCATTTGTTTAAGGAAATGGAGTTACAATATCTATAATGATAGTGTCGAGAAATGAGTCTTGTTTTATATTATCATAAGATTGTTGCAATTTTGCAATTCGTTGACATGTAATATGAATGAACATTCATAATAAGTTAGAAATACATTTGAAGATTAGCTAATCACAATAAAAATACTTACATGAAATTTTACTAATCACAAATCTAATCTAGTTGAGTATTACGACAAATAACATGCAAGTCCAAAATAAGAAAACTCAATACATTGTCTCATTGTTCATGACATGGTACTCAATTCAACAAAGGCAAAAATAATTTCACCAACACAAGTTCACAATAACCAAATGCATCGTTCCAGGGACCGACTGTGACCATGACTTCAAATGTCTGTTCTCCAAGCATGTCCAAGCATGTTCAGCATTGACAACATCTGCATGACTGAATACAGATTCAACAATCGTTCGTAACTGTGATGACGGGAAGACGATGTCAACACCAATGAATTCGTCCTCAATTGTGAGGTGGACGAAATGGATTCTGGATGCAGGGGACCAGGACGTCGTCAAATTCGTTACACGTCCGGATAACAAAAAAGAGGTGCCCTGATGTAAACACAGAAACGAATATTGTCAAAGCAAATCGATAAAATGCAGCATGCCACAAAAGGCGTACGATTAAAAAGAAATTTATTTGTTTAGTTACCTGATTTTCGACATCCACTTGCAACATAATGAGATCGATGGTGTCGGCACGCTCACAAATTTCAAGAGCATCATCATATTGCAGATTAGCAATAAAACCATGGGGAAGCCTATATATTGGACTGTAAGTTTTGGCATTAAGTAGTGAAAAAGAATCGAAATTACATGATGTAGTATTTGTTGGATGCATGAGCAGTACTTACTGATTGAATTGAGGCAGGCCCGCCATATTGAATGCAATTCGCACGGTCAATGGAACCGAAGTGTTTTGTATGGGAAGTAGTAAACGGAAATTGTAACATGAGAGAAAATGGTATCTCCATTATAAAAAGGAGAGAAAGTGATTCTACACACGTGATTTACTTGGCCGCATGGAGTGGAGTACGTGTGTGTGTGGAAAGTGGGATAGTGGGGGAGTGGAGAAGGATTTGTGGCCTCGTGGGGGAGTGGAGAAGGTTGGCCATTTAGAGTTCAAGAGGCTGGTGTGTCACGGAACTCACGACCCACCTTCTTTTTTTTTTTTTTTTTTTTGAGGGGAACGACCCACCTTTTTAAAATCAAACATGCGTCTTCCTTTTATTTTGTTGCAATTAAAAATTCAAAAACAAAAGAAGGTAAGTACAGAATAAAATATAAAGAGAAAAAAAATCAGTTCACTTTTCCCAAAAAAGACCTAGCAGCCCCCCAAATTCTGCTTTTTCAGTTTTAATAATTCTCACTTTATTCTTTTATCTCTAATAAGTGAAACAATAATTGTAAAAAAAAAATAATTGTTAAGTCTACCAAGTAAGTCAACACCGGTTTATGATCGGTTTTTCATATCGATTAACCACCGGTTATTTGATAAACCTTGAACCCTTTACTAATCCGGATCGATGTCCGGTTCCGTTTTAACAACATTGCTAATTGCGACTGTGTCAACAATTCTTGTCCAAAATTGCCTCTCAAAGTTGCTAATTATTATTTGATGCGCCAACCCGGCCGGCCCACACCACCACTAATTAACATGAAATGAAAATCATAATGAATGTATTTAATAAAGAAATAATGGCTTGGAATGCGGCAGCCTTCACCTCATAGAAGATCCAAAAAAATCGGATACTGGGCAGTAGAGGAGGTGGGGGAGTGGGGGAGTGGAGAAGGATCCGCCCAAGGTAGTGTAGGTTGGCCTTTTTTTTTATGGGAATAGGTTGGCCATTTTGTTTCAACAAATCCGGCTGGGCATTCACTCTCTAACTATATTTTATTTAACTGAACCATGCTTGGGTTGTTTTGTGGGCTGGGTTGTGGTGTTAATTTAGTTTAGTTCAGTTGCGACTATGGAAGTTCTTCTTCGTATTGCAATATAACGGTCACACTCGCATACCCTTCGGTAGAGTAAATTGAGGTACAATTAAATATAAAGTAGTGTGCATAAATCACATTTCATGTAATTGGCTGTTAAAAACAGGAAAATAATTTGGACAAATTGAGAACTCAAGATTCAAATTGTAACGACCCGATAAATATGACAGTCTTAGTCCTCAAATCGAATAAAACATAATACATCAATAAACCACTACTCAAAAATCTCAGTGAACACAATGTTCTGCATAGTCTTCACCGGTTTACCTTGAGAGTCACAGCTAAGAATCTTGAGTCCCCTTTCCGACGTAACTCGAGACATAGCAACATACAACTGTCCATGAGAAAATACTTGTCTTTGCAAGTAGATGCCAACGTGATTTAATGTTTGACCTTGACTCTTGTTAATTGTCATTGCATATGACAGTGCAATTGGATATTGCCTTCGAACCAGAGTGAAATTTAAGCTCTTGTAGTGGACCGATAGACTTAGGCGTGGTAAGAAAACTGTAACACCAACATGTGTCCCGATCCAAAATTTGGACCTCAATAAACCACTTACCTAATCTCTTAACGATCATCCGAGTTCCATTGCAAAGCCCAGTACTCTGATCCAGATTTCGAAGCAGAATAACAGGGCACCCCAACTTCAATTTCAACTCATGTTCCGGAAAATTCCCAATCTTTAAAGAGTTCAAGAATTCAACTGTGTAGTCCCCTTCTTCAACATGTTGATTCTTGGCATCAATCTCTAGCGAATCCGAACTAAAATAAGAAACTTCTTCACCAGGAAATAGACCCAATACATAATTGTTAATGGCCGCAACAGTGTCATTATGAGGGGCTAAGATAGCTCGCTCAACCAAATAGGTTGACATATTTTCAGTGGAGAGTAACTGACCATATATTTCAGCAACAATATCAGGAATTGGATCACTGCGACGGGGAACACAAATGTGTAGAGGTATCGGGATAATTGATTCTCCAAAAATATTACTATTTGTACCATCACCAATTTCCAAAAGCCATTTGCTAAAATTTGAGATTGCTAACCTGGCCGATGCTTCAGAATGAGGCAATTTTAATCGCATGTTCTCGGTTAGCTTCAATACTGTCATAGACCGCCACAAATAAGATCTCTTTATGGAAGAATTAACAATTTCAGTCCGTGTACCCTTCGTGATGATAGGTAACGTCTGTCGGAAATCACCTCCAAACACAATAGTCATACCTCCAAAAGGCTTCAACTCAGAATCAACATGCTTAACTCGGAAAATATCCCTCAATGTCCTATCTAGGGCCTCTATGTTGTGTTTATGAGCCATCGGTGCCTCATCCCAGATAATAAGTGAAGCATTGAGAATTAATTCAGCTACCTCAGAACCTTGCTCAATATTGCAAGTTGATTTTGTATCACAATCCAGGGGAATGTGAAATCTTGAGTGTGCAGTTCTTCCACCGACCATGAGCAGTGCAGCAATACCAGATGAAGCAACACATAATACTATCCTCTTCTCAAATCTTAATTGCTCACAAATTGCTCGCCACAGAAATGTCTTACCAGTACCCCCAAATCCATCCACAAAAAAGCATTTACCCTCATTGGTATAAACAGAATGTAATACCATATCGTAAGCGATTTGTTGTTCTCCATTCAACAGTCTACTATGTCGATCCTCAGAACAGTCTAAGTCATCGGGTCCATAATTCATCTCCATATCTATCAGCCTGTTTACCGTATGTGAACGCAAACACTGATCGGGAACAGGCAACCCAGGGAAATCTGCTAATGACTTCGAAAATCTCTCCATCAATTTGTCAATATGAATAAGGCACAACTCCTTAATTTCATCCTCCGACAAATTCAACTGGAGTAAATTCAGCTCTCTACGTCGTGAATGCAAAATGCCTTCACTTAGTAATTCCCAATTCTTTAACCAAAAAGAAGTCACATTAGCCACCTGACAATGAATAAGAATTGTGACAAAAAGTTTTCTAAGTTTATAACCAGAAGCCCAGTGCGAAGCTTCTTGGACACAATCATTCCATTCAGAATCTCCTGATAACAATCCCCGAGCATAACATGCTTTTTGGAATGTTTCATATACCACCCCATTCACTGTTCTAATATCATCATAAGAACAACAACCCCTAACAACATGCAATAGCATTCGCAAATAGTATCGCTCCTTTGCGGATGGGTAGCAGTAATATAATCTAGCAATGCAGGTACCTTTTTTGCGCTGCTGCCACTTCTTGTATTTTTTATTCCATACATAATATTGTGGCATCTCCGCAAAGGTATATTTCCGTGCATCCATTGACTGAAGATTGAGATCCATCCATGCTAACAACATTGAGGTTTGGGAACTGCTAGACTCAACCGCTTCCTCCACGTTAGAATCAACATTTGAATACACTGTATTTTCACCAGGCAAATGACAGGACATACGCAGTACTGTTGGAGAGTGAGTGTATATATCAAAACCTAAAAATTCTCCAACATGCGTCTCCCGATGTGATGTAACGGGCATCCATGAATGCCTTTATCTCATCGATTTGCACAACCGTAGTTCCACGATTCCGACCATCCATAGCCGAAGCTGTTTGTTGTGCAGCTACAGTGACCATTGCACGATCCTCGGGTTTGTTGATGTACTTAAACAAATATTTCACAGCCCTATAGAAACATCAAATAAAACCAAGTTGTAGATGTTAGATAGGGAAGTAGGAAAAAGTTGTATTGCATTTTTTCTTAAATGTGACTTGTATTAAATAAGAAATCAAAGTACAGAGAACAAAAGGCAACAAATGGATCACAATAGCTTATCCAAGGGGCAAAAAAAAAGAAGGAAAACACACCAAAAAATATTACAAAAATTACGGAGTTGCGACAAGAAGTCACACCAATAAGATAACACTGGGTTTATAAAATAACTATAAAAAAAAAAGAGAAATCGCACAAATATTGGTTTGGTTTTTATTCATCTTTGGAAATTAAATCATAATTCATATGCATGCATAAAGTTAATAATGAGTGTAGCATATAAATATACATATAGCCTGTCATTAAGAATCTGAGTTTGGTAATATAATAAAGGAAACAACAACGTCATATAGATAAATACGATTTACTTCAGCCATATCTTGTCTTGTTACAATATTCAATATTGATATGCGCTCCAAATCGTAGTAACAAATATCGATTGTAGGGTACAACCCATCGATTATCCAGATCAACGCCGCCACAGTTGAAAACTCTACCATTGTTCCGCCGACGATATTTAGCAAACCCAGTTTCATCAATAGTTGTTTGAGAAGAGTATTCCTTGGGGTAATGCTTACTACATTTCCCATTCTTCATGCACACATTATTAGGACGTACTGTACCACACGGGCCATGCATCATTGAACTTGTGACAACTGCATACAGTTCAGGATCAAGATCAGGATCCGGAATTTCAGCACATATTATGGAATCAATAGCCGCAGGACCATGGAATTTATTCTCCGAGGCCAAAAAAGCAATATGTGTGCATGAGGGAGACCCCGCTTTTGCCATTCAATTGCTTTGACATCTGTACAGCAAGATGCAAATAGTGGAAAAGGAATATTAGTTCAATGAGGTAAGAGAGTAATGGATGAACATTAATAGATAAATAACGAATGAATAAGCACACATACATTAATTGATTTTCCCAAATATTTGTTTCTCGCGAATCTCTAACATAAACTCATCAAGCTTGATTTTGAAAACTCTGGCGGTGATGTCAGCCCGGTCAGGATCTTTGCCACTGTACCTTCTAATCAAATCAACCATTAACTGTATCTCTGGCCAGTTAGAATTGCAAGTGAATGTTATAAACAAATCAGGATAACCAATCCACTTGCAAATAGCCATCGCATCCTGAAAATTCTCATACTTGTATCTTGGACTACCAGTGTGTGAGGCAGCTAAAATAACTGGCTTCCCAGAAAGCTTGATATCACTATCCCCTCGCAAATAAGAATTCAACAAATCCTTGTAGTAGTGTCCTCTTAGCTTCGACTGATGGGTACGCATCCAGTCTAAGCGTTCAGCCTCAATTAACGCAAATGCATTCACCATATATTGTTGAAACAATTTACCAGATAATAACAGAGAATTCGACTCCTGGAGACGGGTTTGAAGACGATATGCATAGAAATCACACTGGGTTATCATTTTATCTCCAACACTGATATTAGAGCTACTGTGACTATAGCTAATGCAGGGATGCCACCCATCCTCGCCATATGGGAATAAAATGGGATATTGTAATGCCATCAGACTTGGATGGTATACGCTAATCCTTTCCATTTCTGAACCCTTCTGTTGAACAATTATATCTGGAGAAAATGATTGCTCTCCTGTTTCATCTACAATCAATGCTGCAATCTCATTCGCAGAGGGCAAATCATATTCTCTACTATTAATTTCACGCTTCGCCAATAGTTTCAGTTGAAGCTCCTGGACACCAGAGTTTTGTATCCTATCTCGCGCAGAACGAAATGTACGTACCAGGATATTATTGTCATCAAACATATGCTGGAGGCCTTCAACAATACACTGGTGCAACGGATTCTTGGCAGGATCAGTGGAGTAAAAGTCCATACGATTCTGCACCTCGTTATCTGAATCGTGAATGTAAAGCTGTGCAAATTTCGGACTATCCCCATGATAACGATGTAATTGCACATGTTTGCGCCCCTAGTTCTTATCCGTTTGAGGGGCATAGTCGTGTGTTGTGGCCTAATTTATGCTAGGTTGTGTTCCTTTGTCCCATTTCAGGTCCTAGCACATAAAGTGAAGCATAGGCGCAAGTTTCAAGTCAATCAGAGATCAATTGACGATTCGAGAGAGGAAACTCGGGCATGACCTGAAGAAGAATGGATTTCTACCTCACTTTATGGACAAAGAAGCGTGCAAGCTTGTTATGAAACGAAAGAGGACGAGACTACGAGCGTCTGGGATCAAACGGCGACTGATTCGGAGTCCGGACGAGGGAGAAACGAAGCATTAAACAGAGGCTGAGCAAGCTGCACGGCCGTGCACCCTGGCCGTGCGAGTCGGGATTTCCTGGTTTTAAGCCAAATTCCGAACCAAAGAAGAGGGAGAGCTGGGTTTTGGATCCCAAACACCCAAGGGACGAACCCTAGAGAGAGAGAGCGACTTGGGAGCATTCTTGGAGCTATTTTGGAGGATTTCTTCGCCATTGGAGCTCGGGAATCAAGCTTGGAGATGGAGATTGAAGATCTAGATCAGATTTCTGCAGTCTCTCTCTTCTCTATGGAGTAACTTCCCTTCACTTAGGTTTTGAGGAACCCTAGTTCCATGAGTTAGGATCTTTCTTGTATGAAGTTTTGGATGCTATATTGTTTGATTATAATCGAATGATGCATGTTTATTGAGTCAATTGAAGTCTGATCAACTTTTCCTGATTCCTGCTGCAATCTGAGATGGATAGAATCTGATTAGGTTGCTAGAGTCTCATCATTCGGTAGTAGGAGATTGGCTATACGAGAGTTAGCCAGTTTACTGCTTTGTACTGGAATCCAATTCCAGTAGTGGAGTTCTGTGCTTATTGCTTCAGCTTTCTATCCCGGTGAAGACTAGTCGTCTGCCGGGTAGTTAGACTGAGAGGGCTTGGTCAGCTTAAGAGATTCCAAGCTACTGTCGGATCTTCCGCAGTTTAATCAACAGTAAATCAACCAAAATGAATTACAACTTGGACCTAATTGAGGAGCTAGGGGGAATCATACCTAAGTGAGTTCCCAAACTGTAATTAGTAGTTTTACTCAGTTTAGTTAGTAGAGTAGTTTAGTTAATCAATCCTTAATCTAGTTTGCTAGATAATGAACTGAAGCTGAGTAATAGTAACTCTAGAGACCCGTGGATTCGATATTTATTACTTGTGCCACTATACTGCAGTCCCTTTCATTGGTTACACTTGGCCATTGTTAGGTGTTGTGTTTTAGAGCATCACCCCATCACCAGGAACCAAACATCCTATTCGATGATAAATCTGACCACCGATTGAATATACATAAACTCCACGACCATCATTAATAGAGTGATTGACTTTACCTCCGAGAGAAATAAAGCAAAAAACCCCATTATAGGCTCTGATGTTAGTACGAAAGTGACGCGCTAATGGTGTATCCCCTTCAAGTAGAGTTTTAAGAAATTCGGGCACATCTCTGCGGGGAGGCAATTTCACTTTACCATGTTTGCAACATAAAGGAAATGCAGGCAACACATCATTCTGTGTAGATAAAGTACTCTCGAACCGCCACATAACTGCTCCACAATGTTGACACGTACATGAAGGTGGACCAATATCAAAAAATTCAACCAACGGAAGACCTAGTGAAATAGATAAGTAATATTAATAAATTTTTGTCACAGTAATTCATATATTGAATGAGATTGAGAAACAGTGAAGCCGATTTAGGCGCGCTACAGTAAACACAATTATTAAAATAAATGTTCTCAAGGCAAGATAGATTGGTATACCGCTCATTTTAAGTAAGAATAAATCAAATTTCAGGAAACACCAAAGTTTGTTCATAACACACAAATTTGCCGTTGACACATCAACATCTAAAAACAATCCACTATTTGCATAAGGTGACATGAAGCGTACATCACTAAATTATATGCATGGCATAAATGGGTACATTATATGTTCTAAAATCAAAATAGGAAACAAAATATGTTGACCAAAACACAAAAACTAAACCAAAATAGAGATGAACCATTTCATGTATAATAGTGGCCATTAGAATCCACATACTTTGATTGACTTCTGTAGGAAAGAAACTTCGGCCACGTCTCTTTCTATGCAGATGAATACGTCGAAGTAATCGACTTTGCTTTTGTAATAGAAATCTAAACTCCGGCTCCAAAACTATGAACAACACCAAAACATATACGATATTAAAGAAATAAATAAAGATTCAACAATCTAGAATAGCCTAATTTGTAAGACTTGCTACAAAATTTAGCAAACAACAACCTTCGTGTTCATAAGGCAAGCCCCTCCTATGAACCTTCTGTTTCAAAATATGATGTCTTCTCTTACGGGCGACTTGGGATAGTATTCGCCGAAGTTGAGAGAGTTGGAATTGTAAGCCAGCTTCTTCTGCAGAATTTAAATATAAAACCATGTATTACTCATTGAATAGATGAACTAATTAGAAAAATTAAAACACAGATAACACACCTCTCTCAAATGCTTCTTCCTCTTCAGCAGATAAAACACAGCGTTGGTACTGATCTTCAGGATGAATAAACACTGCTCGACGTTTCCCTAAACAAATGAAATTCAAGGGAAAATATTAATGTCAGTTTGCATTGAAGCAGTTGCGTGCTAAACCATGACACTCACATGGTACAGACGATCGATAAATCTGTGGTTGGGCAGATGGGATGACATTTGCACTATCCATATTAAATTCTCCAATAACCTGATGCAATCTGAAATAGAGGTCGTGGTAAATGATGCACCCGTTCCAGTAAATTTTGCAGCTGCCATTCATATAAATTAATTAATTGTTACAACAGAAGTTGAACTCCTCACCAATTATAAGTTTGTGCGAGTTAATGACACATACAACACACCACACAAACATAACAGTCGAAGAAAAATATAACTATATAAGGCATAATTTAAATTGATGAACAAAACACATATAACAGAATGGCTTCCAAGCTTGGGGATGCAAAGGAAGAGCGAGAAGGACAACAATGTAATGGCCAACACAAATATAATTCAAAGGCATCCATAAAAACCATATCCAAAGAGAAGTTTGAAAAAGAAGCAAGCTGGCAATAAGAAAAGCACTATAAGTGCTTACCAATTCTAGTTCTTCTAACTATACCAAGCTTATCCCTTCTTTCAATTATGCAGTTTACGCTTTGTACTTTTAGCACAAATGGATTCCAACTCTAATGTCACAATACAAATACAATGCAAATGAAGTTGAAGAACAATAAAACAAACTAATGGAGTGAGATAAAACTGTCCAATGATCTTATGTAATAACGGGAAAAAAGCTTGGTAGAACCAATACACTAACCAGTGGAGCATGCTTATCAATACCGCCTACTTTATACTTCTTTAGTGATTAGAGCTGAAAGTACATTATCAGATCATAGCCAGTCCCATTAGATTAATTAACCTAGAAACATATGAGAGAAAACCTTACTGATCAAGTTGGATTTCGACATTTACCTGCAACATAGTTAACATCAGAAAGTAAATTGATTATGTCTCATACGTGGTGGCGGGTGGGGGACGGCGCGCCAAATTTCGTCGGCGATGGGCTGGTTCTGGACTCAAGTAGGCTGGGCCTCTGAAGTATGGGCTGGCGAGAGAAATGGATCCCCGAGGCCTTATGGTTTACGCTTTCCTTTTCCCCCGCCAGGCCAGCGGTAGTTTATAGCCGGCCCTTCGGTTTACTGACCCGGAAAACGACCCGGACGAAGTACCTGGCTGCCGCCGCCGAACGTCTCTTTCTTTCCTCTTCTTTCTCTGCGGCCCGGAAAAACTCAGCTCAAAATCGGCAGTCGGCTGCTCTCTGGAAGACAGTCTAAGCGAAGTGGAATTTAAAGTAAGCAGCTTTGTTACTTTCAAGAGAAAGGGAAAAATTAAAAATCCCCTTTTGATCTCTAGAGAATCCAATCAACAGAATGAAGCGAGGAAGGTAAGAGAGAATAAAGAAAACGGAATGAACCAAAGGTAAGGGAGATGAATCTTTGCAACCGAATCCCTGAAAAAAAAAAACCCAGAACCGAATCCCTAAAACTTAAAAGCAGCGACAACAACAAACAGAAATCTGAAAGAGGAAGAATAACTTACGGCAAAACCAATACCGATCTAACGCTTAGAGAACGGAAATCAAAGGTAGATGCAAGCACATAAAAGAACCAGATGATTGAGTCAAGGTTTGGTTTTCTCAAGGCCAAGAAACTTATTCGAATGAGGTGAAAGAGTGGAAGGAAGGGAAATCGGAAATAAAAAATACAAATTAATACAAATTAAATGAGAACGTGGGCCTGGAAGGAGAAAAAAGTGGGTAGTAGAGAGTTTTTTATACAAATTAAATGAGAACATGGGCCTGGAAGGAGAAAAAAGTGGGTAGTGGAGAGTTTTTTTGTTCTGAAATCAGGCAGGACTCTTTTTTTTTCCGCTTAACACTCTGCCACATCAGCTTCCTAAAATCACTCTATGGACAGGAAATCTTGAATGGTGGTTGCAGTTTTACTTTTCAGCTATAAATTATACTGTTGATAATCACTTTTGGAGAAATACACAAAATAACCAATTACGTCCAATAATTTAACGGTGTGAGTTAACAAACTGATTGGACTAATAGAAAAACTGACTTGACGATATTTTAATTAGTAATAATCCACATTAATTAAATAATATTAAATAAAGTAATAAAGTTACTTAAAAAAAAGTAGGCGAAGAGCCCTATCTCTTCCCTATGTTTCCGCCACTTTCAACCCCCACACCCCGCCGACGTCGAAGGCCTACTTCTTCTTCCCGATTTTTTTTTCATTCTTCTTCTTCTTCTTCTTCTAGATTTGTTTCTCACCAATTCACTCCAATTCCCAGACCCACAATAGCAATCTCCGTCAAAATACTCAACATTAACCAACCGAAATCTTTGCCGCCACTGGGAAGCGCCGCCTCCTCTCGCCGTCACCATCTCCTTCCATTATTTATGCTACGCCCAAATCTATCCCAGTCGTGATATGAGAGCTACGAGTTGGGAATAACGAGGGGGCTGAACAAAACCACCAGATCTGGGCGGGTTTCAAAGATGCGGCCGTTGGAAATAGACAATGAGCAGAGGGGACAAGCGAATCGCTAGAGCCAAAGCAGTTGATTTTGGAGACTTTCTTGAGGACGCAGAGGTCCTGGGTCTAGCACATGGGCTCCTCGATCTGCTTGGTGACTCTCGGTCTCCGCCACTAGTACTCGGCGGCAACGAACAGGGCAGGGTCAGAGGCGATGCAGAAGAGCAGTGGGGTTTTTTAAAGCGGATCTCGCCACCTGATCGCTACTTGGATCTGTATCCATACCAAACCTTGCCGCATCCTCCTCCTCTGAAGTTAGAAACAGAATCGGCCTGATGAGAAGGATTGGATTGTGCTTCTAAAACAGTAGGGCACAATCGGCAGGGGATTTTTTGAATTGGGGATTTTTTGTTTGAATGGGTTTGTGAATAAGGGATTTTCGAAGAAGAGAGGGTAACGGAGGCGATTCTTCTTCTCGATGATTTTTCTGGATTTAGGAGTCGTTTGAAAGTTGCGATTGTTTTGTTGCGATTGTTTTGTTGAGATTGTTATTATGCATGTATTGTTTACAATGCATCATTTTTTTGTTTTTTTTAAGAGAAACAATACATGGATTGTTTCTATGATGTGACAGAAACTATCACTCATTTTGAGTGATTGTTATATCTCAACTTTAAGTTGTGATTGTTGAGATAGTTGAGTTGAGATTGTTTTGTCTCAGCTTTTAGCTGATGCGACATACACAATCACACATACCAAACGTTGTATTCTACAATGCATCAAATTCGACAATACATGTATAATATTATACATGCATTCTCAACAATACATATATTTAACAATCGCAACTTCCAAACGACCCCTTAGTGGGGAATAGAGGAAATTGAAAAATTATTTATTTTTATAAATCAAAATGACGTGGCAATGATATTGATGACTTGTCGCTGACGCTTGGGGTGATTTGGCATCCTAGTAAGCCTAACGTTAACATAACTGGCGGAGTTTCTAACACCGTCAAAATTTGTAACGGAAATGGCTATATTTGTCATGAAATTTTCAAAATTTTGGCTATTTTTTTGTATTTCTCTAAAAGAGGCTATTATTGTCACAAGTACTAAAGTTTTGGCTATACAAATGTACTAGCCTATAGCCCGGCCCGTTGGCCGCATTTGTTTAAGGAAATGGAGTTACAATATCTATAATGATAGTGTCGAGAAATGAGTCTTGTTTTATATTATCATAAGATCGTTGCAATTTTGCAATTCGTTGAAGACGAACATGTAATATGAATGAACATTCATAATAAGTTAGAAATACATTTGAAGATTAGCTAATCACAATAAAAATACTTACATGAAATTTTACTAATCACAAATCTAATCTAGTTGAGTATTACGACAAATAACATGCAAGTCCAAAATAAGAAAACTCAATACATTGTCTCATTGTTCATGACATGGTACTCAATTCAACAAAGGCAAAAATAATTTCACCAATACAAGTTCACAATAACCAAATGCATCGTTCCAGGGACCGACTGTGACCATGACTTCAAATGTCTGTTCTCCAAGCATGTTCAGAAGGGCCATATAGTCAGCATTGACAACATCTGCAAGACTGAATACAGATTCAACAATCGTTCGTAACTGTGATGATGGGAAGACGATGTCAACACCAATGAATTCGTCCTCAATTGTGAGGTGGACGAAATGGATTCTGGATGCAGGGGACCAGGACGTCGTCAAATTCGTTACACGTCCGGATAACAAAAAAGAGGTGCCCTGATGTAGACACAGAAACGAATATTGTCAAAGCAAATCGATAAAATGCAGCATGCCACAAAAGGCGTACGATTAAAAAGAAATTTATTTGTTTAGTTATCTGATTTTCGACATCCACTTGCAACATAATGAGATCGATGGTGTCGGCACGCTCACAAATTTCAAGAGCATCATCATATTGCAGATTAGCAATAAAACCATGGGGAAGCCTATATATTGGACTGTAAGTTTTGGCATTAAGTAGTGAAAAAGAATCGAAATTACATGATGTAGTATTTGTTGGATGCATGAGCAGTACTTACTGATTGAATTGAGGCAGGCCCGCCATATTGAATACAATTCGCACGGTCAATGGAACCGAAGTGTTTTGTATGGGAAGTAGTAAACGGAAATTGTAACATGAGAGAAAGTGGTATCTCCATTATATAAAGGAGAGAAAGTGATTCTACACACGTGATTTACTTGGCCGCATGCAGTGGAGTACGTGTGTGTGGAAAGTGGGATAGTGGGGGAGTGGAGAAGGATTTGTGGCCTCGTGGGGGAGTGGAGAAGGTTGGTCATTTAGAGTTCAAGAGGCGGGTGTGTCACGGAACTCACGACCCACCTTTTTTTTTTTTTGAGGGAAACGACCCACCTTCTTAAAATCAAACATGCGCCTTCCTTTTATTTTGTTGCAATTAAAAATTCAAAAACAAAAGAAGGTAAGTACAGAATAAAATATAAAGAGAAGAAAAATCAGTTCACTTTTCCCAAAAAAGACCTAGCAGCCGCCCAAATTATGCTTTTTTCAGTTTTAATAATTCTCACTTTATTCTTTTATCTCTAATAAGTGAAACAATAATTGTAAAAAAAAAATAATTGTTAAGTCTACCAAGTAAGTCAACACCGGTTTATGATCGGTTTTTAATATCGATTAACCATCGGTTATTTGATAAACCTTGAACCCTTTACTAATCCGGATCGATGTCCGGTTCCGTTTTAACAACATTGCTAATTGCGACTGTGTCAACAATTCTTGTCCAAAATTGCCTCTCAAAGTTGCTAATTATTATTTGATGCGCCAACCCGGCCGGCCCGGCCCACACCACCACTAATTAACATGAAATGAAAATCATAATGAATGTATTTAATAAATAAATAATGGCTTGGAATGCGGCAACCTTCACCTCATAGAAGATCCAAAAAAATCGGATACTGGGCAGTAGAGGAGGTGGGGGAGTGGAGAAGGATCCGCCCAAGGTAGTGTAGGTTGGCCTTTTTTTTTTATGGGAATAGGTTGGCCATTTAGTTTCAACAAATCCGGCTGGGCATTCTCTCTCTAACTATATTTTATTTAACTGAACCATGCTTGGGTTGTTTTGTGGGCTGGGTTGTGGTGTTTGGTGTGTTTGGGTTTTTTCTGGGTTGGGTTACCGTGGGTGTTGGGGTGGGCTTTGGAGTTTTTCTCTTGTGTTTTTTTTCTGATTTATGTATTTGTGGGTGAGCTTTCATTTTGTGTTTTGGGTGGGCTCAACTTTACGATTTGTTTAGACTTCTATCTTTCAAGGATCATGGTCCAACTCTTTATCATTTTCCGATTTCATAATGAAATCAGGTTTCTTAAAAAAAAAAAAACTGAACCATGCTTAAAGTATCACTAATTAATTAATCTCGAGTCACTACTGAATGAATTTAAATCCTTTTATATAGGTTAATTTATAAAATAATTATTGTAGGTAAATGAGAAGAAAATCTCGCAAATAAAGTGTGATAATAGTTAAATTCTCCATAAGCAAAGTGATATCATAATTAATGTAATTAATAAAAAAATAATTTTGTTTTTCATTTTGTGAATGTAATAGTTAAAAGTTGATGATATTTGTCACATTGGATCATAACCAGGACTAAAAAAAATAATCAAGTGCATAACACAAACCGGACAATATTTCCTGGTTCATATGCGCATAAGTTCTGACACCCTATCTGCTTAACTATTATCTTGTAAAACAGCAGCAAACCAATCCAAATACATAAGTGATTCTCCATTATAAACAAAGTTGAGGAAATCAATTAAAGCTAATCTCTTGCACACTGGGTGCTTTAAAACAAAACCATGAAACTAAAAGGCTAAGCTCCAACAATCTTATCATCACAAATAACAGTAAAAAAGTACGGTGGAGGTAGTAAATAGAGGCGAATGATGAGAAATGCCTAGCCAACCATTTCCTATTAAATGTTTGAGTGTAGTTGATATTTAGGAACACAGACCACGAATCCATTAAAAGCACTCCATCCTTAAAAGGCAGCAGAGAACATCTTCAGGAAAACCAAATCACAGTGACGGACCATGTGGTTCCACGCGCCAACTTCAATGACAAACTGGTAATACTTCAAATCAATGCAGTTGAGAATGGCGATGATGTTAGTGTCCCAATCGATATTTGTCTCCGTAACCACATCACCAACAATGCGTCTAAGGTTGACAGAGGGAAACACAACTTCCAGCTCCTCAGTTACATCATTGATGGTGAAATGCACAACACTGACCATAGAGTGCGCCAAAGTTGAAATTCCAATGGCTTTTAGTTTTCCCGTCAAGATGTATACCATCCCCTAAAACAGACACATGGGTTATTGATGACGAAAATGAAGCAAATGTTGAATTGGGTAATGACTGTGTTTTAAAAAAATAGGTGTTTAGTTGAGTTTGAGTGACTTACCGTACTATACAGACTTAACTTTATCATATTAAGCTGTGGAACCGTGGTGTGCTCAGATATGTCGAGAGCTTCCTCGTATAGCAATGGTCCAACAATATAGTTAGATCCAAATTGGGATCCATCTTCCCTGATAATAAATTAACCAGAATTACCACTATCAACAGATACCACACACATTAGAATTTAAAGTTTCAAAAATAGAGGTTTATGAAGCTTACTGGTTTAACAAAGGATGCAAGTGAGGGCAATGGATGTTGAGATACATTTTAGTTGCTCGTGAGGAAGAAAACGAATAACCTTCTAACATCCATTTAACAATAAAACCACAAACACATGAGTAAATAAAATTACAGTGATAAGAACTGTTATTAATTTACAAAACATGATTACCAGAATTGAAGTGATACAGCTTATCTTATTAACATGTATCTTCAAACAACGTTTTACTGTTCCAAATGAGTAAACAAAAATTTAATTAATTGTGCTAATTGGATAATAAAATTATGTTTTGTGAAAGACTTCGTATTATGAACCTAGTCATTGTGCAAAGAAACAAAGGGCAGCATCTACTCCGTCACGAAAAATGTTACCATTCTCAAGGACATGATAACCAAATGCATACGAATTAGCTACTCAATCGACTTTGCTTTTGTAATAGAAATCTAAACTCCGGCTCCAAAACTATGAACAACACCAAAACACATACGATATTAAAGAAATAAATAAAGATTCAACAATCTAGAATAGCCTAATTTGTAAGACTTGCTACAAAATTTAGCAAACAACAACCTTGGTGTTCAAAAGGCAAGCCCCTCCTATGAACCTTCTGTTTCAAAATATGATGTCTTCTCTTACGGGCGACTTGGGATAGTATTCGCCGAAGTTGAGAGAGTTGGAATTGTAAGGCAGCTTCTTCTGCAGAATTTAAATATAAAACCATGTATTACTCATTGAATAGATGAACTAATTAGAAAAATTAAAACACAGATAACACACCTCTCTCAAATGCTTCTTCCTCTTCAGCAGATAAAACACAGCGTTGGTACTGATCTTCAGGATGAATAAACATTGCTCGACGTTTCCCTAAACAAATGAGATTCAATGGAAAATATTAATGTCAGTTTGCATTGAAGCAGTTGCGTGCTAAACCATGACACTCACATGGTACAGACGATCGATAAATCTGTGGTTGGGCAGATGGGATGACATTTGCACTATCCATATTAAATTCTCCAATAACCTGATGCAATCTGAAATAGAGGTCGTGGTAAATGATGCACCCGTTCCATTAAATTTTGCAGCTGCCATTCATATAAATTAATTAATTGTTACAACAGAAGTTGAACTCCTCACCAATTATAAGTTTGTGCGAGTTAATGACACATACAACACACCACACAAACATAATAGTCGAAGAAAAATATAACTATATAAGGCATAATTTAAATTGATGAACAAAACACATATAACAGAATGGCTTCCAAGCTTGGGGATGCAAAGGAAGAGCGAGAAGGACAACAATGTAAAACATAATTTAAATTGATGTGGCAGAGTGTTAAGCGGGAAAAACGACCCGGAAAACGACCTGGACGAAGTACCTGGCTGCCGCCGCCGAACGTCTCTTTCTTTCCTCTTCTTTCTCTGCGGCCCGGAAAAACTCAGCTCAAAATCGGCAGTCGGCTGCTCTCTGGAAGACAGTCTAAGCGAAGTGGAATTTAAAGTAAGCAGCTTTGTTACTTTCAAGAACAAGGGAAAAATCAAAAATCCCCTTTGGATCTCTAGAGAATCCAATCAACAGAATGAAGCGAGGAAGGTAAGAGAGAATAAAGAAAACGGAATGAACCAAAGGTAAGGGAGATGAATCTTTGCAACCGAATCCCTGGAAAAAAAAAACCCAAAACCCGAATCCCTAAAACTTAAAAGCAGCGACAACAACAAACAGAAATCTGAAAGAGGAAGAATAACTTACAGCAATACCAATACCGATCTAACGCTTAGAGAACGGAAATCATAGGTAGATGCAAGCACATAAAAGAACCAGATGATTGAGTCAAGGTTTGGTTTTCTGAAGGCCAAGAAACTTATTCGAATGAGGTGAAAGAGTGGAAGGAAGGGAAATCGAAAATAAAAAATACAAATTAATACAAATTAAATGAGAACGTGGGCCTGGAAGGAGAAAAAAGTAGGTAGTGGAGAGTTTTTTATACAAATTAAATGAGAACGTGGGCCTGGAAGGAGAAAAAAGTGGGTAGTGGGGAGTTTTTTGGTTCTGAAATCAGGCGGGACTCCTTTTTTTTTCCCACTTAACACTCTGCCACATCAGCTTCCTAAAATCACTCTATGGGCAGGAAATTTTGAATGGGGGGTGCAGTTTTACTTTTCAGCTATAAATTATACTGTTGATTTTTCCATTTGTTTATTCGAAAACATGTCAGGTAAGATTGATATTTATAGTGGCGGAGCCATTCAAGACAAGGTCAAGCTAGCCATTTGCACCACGTTGGCCTAAAAATGTAGAGTAATTTTTTATGTGATTGTAAATTAAATATAAAATTTTCATATTATCATAAATAATTTAAAAAGAAATAATATTTTGTGATCTATAATTAATTTTAATTAATATAATTTGTAAGTTAATTTAATATATAAAAATTGAAACTTAGGAGTGGTTGTTGCTATAAGTTGTCAATGTAAGTATTTAAAGAACATTTACTGTCATAAGCAAAGAGAAAAAACGTTTCAGAATAAAATGAGTAATGAAATCATGGAAGTTTTTTTTTCCTGTGTAATTCTTTAACAGTGAATGTAACATCCCAAACCTTTTCCCCACGAAGATATTGTCCGCTTTGGGCCTCGACCCTAACGGTTTTTGACTTGGGGTGCAATTCAAGGTGACTTCCCATAAGGTCACTCATCCTTGTTGTACTCCACACTGAACACGTTTAACTTCGGAGTTCTCATAAGAACTCCTCCGTTTCACCCCAAAATGCGTCTTGTCAGTTAAGGTCGGTTTCTTACTTATGAACAATGGATCTCTCCCGTGCTTTGTCGATGTGGGATTCGCCTAAGGTGTTACATACATCCCCCTCGGGACTCAACATCCTCGTTGAGGTTTGCCCCACCATCGTTTAAGAGGGACGCGGAGAGGCTCTGATACCACTTATAACATCCCGTACATTTTCCCCACGAAGATATTGTCCGCTTTGGCCCTCGACCCTCAAGGTTTTTGACTTGGGGTGCAATTCAAAGTGACTTCCCATAAGGTCACCCAACTTTGTTGTACTCCACACTGAGCACGTTTAACTTTGAAGTTCTAACAAGTACTCCTCCGTTTCACCCCAAAACGCGTCTTATCAGTTAAGGCTGGTTTTTTACTTATGAACCATGGATCTCTCCCGTGCTTTGTCGAAGTGGGATTCGACTAAGGTATTACAGTGAATGTCAAATATTTGTAAGAAAAAAAAATGTCTAAATAGTGTTCCGTTACGAAATGTACATGCTCAGAATCCAAACAACAAGCCATGTTTAATTGTTTATGAGCCTCGGTCTGCAATAATCGGCTTAGGACATCTAATATGTATGAGAATTATAGTCCGGGGTGAAGTAACAAAGAGTTTTTTTATATATAAACAAAGAGTAATTTTTAGCACTAGATTCGGTAGGTTCCTAACAATTTTCGTGTAATGACGACTTAATTCTCTTTTTCCCTCTTCATTTTTTGACGTATCAACTCTGAATTAGACAATGTCGTAGCTCTTTCTATGTGTTTTCAACGGCTCAAGATAGAGTGAGTAACCTTAGGGTGAGTAATAATTAGTATAATTGGGTAATTATACCCAAACTCAAGTAGACCCATTGATAATGGGTTGGGTACGGGTGAAGTGCATATGGATTTGGGGGTTTATAGATGAGTTTGGATAAGGTATGAATATTGCTTACATAATCTAAATGGGTATGGGTTGGATATGGATACCCATTTACTTGAGGGTGTTTTAACTACACATGCAAAAATTGGACCTATTTGTAAAACTTGAAAAGTTTAGGTACCAAAATGTAAGACCAAAAAAAGTTAGGTACCAAACGTAATTTTCCATCGATATTTTGAGGACTTATATGCAAAAAAATTAAATTTAGATACTAAATATGCATATCTATTAAGTTTGGGTACCTAACTGTAATTTATATTTGGGCATGGGTACAAACCCAAATCCATTTGATATAAACCCAACTCAACCCAAAGTAAATGGGTATGGGGACAAACCCATCAAACTCTACCCATATTCATTTATCTGGATTTCATACCCAACCCAATTGGGTTGGATAGTAAGAAACCCATGGGTATAGGCAAAGTTGCCATCCCTAATAATTAGTAACCAAATATGGACCCTTCTTTTAAGTGGCTGCAGATCTAAGGGTGGAGAATTAAAAAAATTTATTTTCCCTATTTTTCTTAATTGGATCATATTTTCTTTATTCTAACTTGGATTTCAATTTTTTTTTACACAGATGGAACGAGTTCGTTGTGCTCTACAAAATGATATCCATTTTCAATATTTTTTGATAATTTTTTTTTCATCCCTCTCGTTACCAACTACATACCATATGGTATCTCCTTCGTTGTTTAGTCATTTTCGGAAATTTTTGCACAAAAAGAACGATTTAATCATGATCTATTGGATTTCAAAATTTTCTGGGGGATAAAATTCCATACCTCTCGTTACCAACTCCATACCATACTATACCAGAGGTGGTATTTTTCATACCATATGATCTGCTCCCCTTTTTAACGACTTAGGATACAAAATCATTAACAAAATGAGATCAATTTTCAATATAAAAAAGCTGGACCTTTAGATCTAAGTGGGTCCAGAAAATCCAGATCTAAGGGTTGTCAATTAAAGACATTTTATTTTCCCTAGTTTTCATAATTGGCTCTTATCTTCTTTGTTTTAACTCGGATTTCAATTTTTTTTGCACATATGGAACGAGTTCGTTATGCTCTACAAAATGAGATCAATTTTCAATATATTTCGAGAAACTTTTTTTTACCAACTACATACCATATGGTAACTTCTTCGTTTTTAAGTCGTAACGTTTGCTCAGAAGGAACGAGTTCATCTTGATCTATTGGATCTACAAATTTTAGGGTGAAAAAAATATTGGACCAAAAATTACCATACTTTACCACTATGGTATGTGGGTGGTAACTTGTGGTAAACAATGATGAAAGTCGTAAATGACAGTTAGTATACTCCTACTATCATGTATTCAACCTTCTTACCATATTGGTATGTTCATACCATCATGATACGCTTTCTTACCATATGGTATTAAATATCAACATACCATATACCATATGGTAACGACTAGTAAAAAATTATTCAATTTTTTTGTACTAAAAATATATCAAAGTGAATATTATTTTAAAGAGCACATTTAATCTGATTAATCTGTGCAAAAAATTTAAATTTCGACTTAAAACGAGAGAGAAATCGTCCTTTAAATATTAAAGGGGAAAGGATAAAAGACTTTCTAGGAGAGCAGAGATGCTGATGTCATGCGTATGTGGACAGGTTACTGATGGTTACTCACCATATGAGTTACTGACCTGATCCGTTCCCTTTTTAACTTGTGTTCACTATTTTTTTTACCCTTCATTTCCAACCAATCTTTCATTTCTAATTTAGCAAAAAATAAAGAGAATAAGGGAATTAGTAGGGCAGGACTAGGACAGGAAAAGGGATAGGAGTTAGGATACTTGCCTGGTCGCTTGTTGAGGTGACTTTAAAGTTGTAACAAAATAAGAACAATTTCAAATGTGTAACTGCAATAGTGTCACATATTTGACCTTGATTAATGTACAAAATCATTATTTATGGTTAACAGGAATTGAATATTGAAAATTCAATTCCAACGATCATTTCCTTTCAGCAAAAAAAAAAAAAAAAAGAAGGTCAATGCGGCAGCGTTTTCTCCCAGTTTTCCCACCATAGCAAAGCAGTGTCGTTCTGATAGTCACACTTAGGGCTGGAAGTTTGGTACCATTATTTGGGATAATCGAATACCGTACCGAATTTGTCTATATTTGGTATTACCGAATACACGTATTATTTCATGGGATTGAATTTCAATTGTTATTCGGTATTAGGGATTACGCGATTGGGATCGGTATATAACGAAATAGTGATCAATATCGAAATATAAGCTAGTGTATATTTTATCCTCTCAACTAGACTCTCTCATTCACTACTACGCGATCCTCAACCACCAAGAGTGTCATTTAATTATACATAGATCATTGCATCACTATTTCGCACTAGTATTAGTCGTCTCTCAACCTCAAATTCGTCAAATTAAAGATTACCAATTACAAGAACATGAGATGTTAGCTCTATGCAACTCAAGACTCTTTTCTTAGTCTCTTTGCCCTAAAATAAACAATAAAATCTAACTTATATATTTAATTACTAATTACAAAGGTAATTAATTTTGTATTCGATAATACTGGTTGGGATACCAAAATATTTAGGGATTGAGATTGAGATACCGAAATTATTTAGGGTGTAATTCGGTATTCGGTATTTGGTATTGGGATACCGATACCGTACCGATTTCCACTCCTAGTCACACTTAGGTTGCCGACGATGTTGTTTGGTTTATCTGCTTTCTTCGTTTTCTTTTGTCTCAAGATTGGAGATTGCTTCCAATCCAAGCTAACCGACAAGAATGTGTTAGCTGTGTTGTCTTCTTGCATTGTACAACCTATATAAGGCTTCACAGAAATCAGAATCAACAAGCTATAGGGTTTCCCCCATATCAAACTTGTTGTTATGGTATCAGAGCCCTAGGCAGCCGCCACCATCGCCACAAACGAAACTTCTTAAGCACCCACTGAGGCTGCTACATCAGAACCCCAACCACAAACACAGACTTACCTCATAGAGGACCCTTTCTTTCTTCATGGTTCCGTGCAGGCATGTACCATCTTGGTGGCTGACAAGCTCACCACCACCAACTACAACAATTGGAATCGAGCAATGCTCAATGCTCTTTCAGCCAAAAACAAGTTAGGCTTCATCAATGGAGCTACTGAAGAACCTGCAGAAACATATCCAAAAAGAGGAGCTTGGGTCGGGAACAATGTAATGATTCTAAGCTGGATCCAACAGTCTGTTGAGTTAGAGATCCGCAAAACCATTTTTGTAGAGAAAATCTGCAGCTGAGGCTTGGAAAAGTCTTCAAACCCGCTATGGATCTTGTGATATTGTTTGAGTTGCAGAGCTTCAAAAAGCCCTTTCCACCCTCAAGCAAGGAAACCATACCATCACTGAGTACTATGGTCTAGTAATCACTCTCAAAGATGAACTTGAGTACAATTATTAACCTCTCATTCCATGTGATTGTACCCCTACTAGTCACCTGACTTGTAGAGCCATGAAGCGAGTTGAAGAGTATCAGGAAACCAACTATGTGATTAAGTGTCTTAGAGGCCTTAATAAAAACTTCTCAAGAGTAAGGTCTCAAGTTTTGTTTGGTGATGACTTGCCCAACATCAACCGAGTTTTTCAAAGGATGCTAAAGCATGAGAGACAGATGTATGGCACTCAAAAAGGCAAAAAGCCACAGCATCTACTGATGTTACTGCTTCCAGGAGTCAACAGAAGACAAGTTCCAAATCAGAAGAGACCATTCTACACATTTTGCAAAAGAGAAGGGCATACTGAAGAAGTTTGTTTTCAGAAGCATGGTTTTCCTCCTGGAATGATCTCAAGGATTCCAACCATGGATCCAAACCGAATGCTTGAGTGCATCTTTTGCAAAAAGCCAAGGCACATTGAAGAGAAATGCTTTCACAAGCATGGTTTCCCCCCAACTACATTTCCTGGAACAACTCCCAGTCCTATGGAAGAGGCAAAGGTTCTGTCCATGTTGCCATCTCTAATCCAAAGGAAGAAGTAAAGCTTACTCGTTCAGACTATGAGAAGCTCATGTCCTTAATGCATCCTCACAAACCACAAGGTTCTCATTCTGCTGCAGCTTTTATTTCCAGCACTGCCACATCAAGTAAATGCTTCATGACTTTGCCTCCTCTTAATGTGCTCCACAAACCCACCACAAGCTGGATAATTGACACGGGTGCCTCAGATCACATTGTATGTTCATTAGACTATCTAATAGACTGTAAACCAGTAGCCAATGTTTATATCACCGTACCTACTGGCCAACAAATCCAGACTACTCACATGCGCACTGTAGCATGCAGTGATACTTTGGTGCTTGAAGATGTGCTTTATGTTCCCAAATTCACTTTCAATTTGTTGTTTGTGAGCAAGTGAACCTCTAAGACCTCATTGAGCTTAACCTTCCATTCAAACCTTTGTGTCATACAAGATCTGGAGCAGAAGAGTGTGACTAGTTCTGCTAGATTGACAAATGGCCTTTACTACCTAGAAGCCTATAATAATCCTAAACTCATCAAAGTCGTTAGTTCCAACACTTTTGACATGTGGAATTTTAGATGAGTACATCTCTCTCACTCTAAAGTGCCTCATCTCAACCAGTTTTGTACCTCCATTAACACTCAGAAAGATTTACCCTGCGATGTTTGCCACTTTGCTAAGCAAAGGAGGCTGTCTTTTCCTATTAGTCAGCATGTAACTTCACATCCTTTTGAACTCTTACATGTTGATATATGGGGTCCTAATTCTGTTCCTACTCATGATGGTTTTAAGTACTTTCTCACCATTGTTGATGATTTCTCTAGAATGACATGGATAGTTCTGTTGTCTCTCAAATCAGAAGCTAGACCTAAACTGATCACCTTCTGTAATCAAATGCAAACCCAATTTCAGATTCAAATCAAACGAATTAGAATATCAAGGCAAAGAATTCAGTGTGAATGATTACTATGATTCCCACGACATCATTCATGAAATCTCTTGTGTCCAAACCCCCCATCATAATAGCAAGGTTGAAAGAAAGCATCAACATATCTTAGCTGTTGCAAGAGCTCTTCAATTCTAGGATGATTTGCCACCTGGTTTCCGGGGTGATCACTGTGTGAACTAATCAACATAGTTCCTTCTTCTGTTCTTCACAACTAAACACCCTATCACAGACTCTACAACAACCCCACAAGGCCTCACAAATTTGAAAGTTTTTGGATGTTTAGTCTATGCTTCCTCTCCAGCTCACAACATAACCAAATTTCAACCCAGGGCTAGAAAAGGAGTCTTCCTAGGATATCTTGCAGACATCAAAGGTTTTAAAGTTTATGATCTTGATAGCCATGATATATTCATCTCCAGGAATGTCATTTTTTTTATGAATCCCACTTCCCATTCAAGTCTATCAACAAGGATTCTCAACCTGATCTAGCTTCTGGTCTTTTCTTTCCCCTTTCTACCACTGCTCCACTAGATGATTTCCCACCTCATCCTGTTTCTTCTCCTCCTGTTCCTCCTGCTCCACCTTTACCCCCCCCCCCATCTCCCCACCCAATTCTTCTTCACCACCTCCTGCCCCTCAATCAACTGTTTCTTCTCCATCCCCACCTGCCCCACACCCTCCACCTTCTCCTTCTCCTTCTCCTCCCCCGCTACCCCTCCACCTACCAATCAACCACCTTTGAGACATTTTGACAGACACATCAAGCCCCCAACTCACCTAGTTAAAGAATACCACTACTACCTTTCTCAGTCATCTAGTAGTGCTAGTGATCAGCTTCAACAACAGATTCCTAGACCAATGTATGCTCTCTCCTCTATGGTTTCCTATGATAAACTCACTCCATCATATAGAAAGTTTGTTCTTGGCATTTCCTCCTATCAAGGACCAAATAGCTACAAAGAAGCTTCTCAATTAGAGGATAGGAATAATGCCATGAAACAGGAAGTCAAAGATCTACTTAAAAATCAGACATGGGATGTTGTGGAACTCCCTCCAGGTAAAAAACCAATTGGTAACAAGTGGGTTTATCGAATTAAAGTGCCTCAGGATGGTTCTTCAGAGAGGTTTAAGGCCAGAGTTATTGCCAAAGGCAATACAGAACAGGAAGGGGTAGATTACCAAGACACTTCTGCCCCAGTCATCAAGATGACCATTATCAGGACTTTCCTAGCTATTGCTGCTCTAAGGAACTGGCACATCCATAAATTGGATGTTAACAATGCCTTCCTCCATGGTGATCTCCAAGAGGAAGTGCATATGACATTGCCAAAGGGTTATGACCCTCCACCATGCTTCATCAACCCTATTTGCCGACTCAAGAAGTCCCTATATGGCCTTAGCCGGCATCTCGATAGTGGTTTTCAAAACTCACAGACAAACTTCAACAAGTTGGTTATGTTCCAAGTCAACCAGATCATTCCTTGTTTTATAAAGCCACTGATTCAAGTTATACTTGCATACTGATATATGTTGATGATTGGGTTGTGGGTTGCAATGATCTATCAGCTATGGAGGAACTGAAGGTTGTTCTCCATTCTGAATTCAGCATTAAAGATCTAGGCACTTTAAGGTTCTTTCTTGGCATGGAAGTTGCAAGAAACAGATAGGGCATTCATTTATCACAATGAAAGTATGCTTTTGAAATCATTGAGGAAGCAAATTTATTAGACTCAAGACTTGTCTCGACCCCCATGGATTACAAAACTCATCTTACTAAAGAGTGTGGCATTCCCTTTGCTGATCCTGAACTTTACAGGACACTTGTTGGAAAATTGATCTACCTTACTACAACAAGACTAGATATCAGCTTCGCTACACAACAAGTAAGTCAATTTATGGGCAATCCAAGCATCAAACACTACAAAGAAATTCTCACTTCTCAGAATTCTCAGATACTTGAAATCTGCCCCTGCCACTAGCCTTTTCTTCTCTTCTCAATGAAAGTTACTGCTCAAGGCATTTTCAGACTCTGATTGGGCAACCTGTGTGGATACTCGAAGATCTATTACAAGTTATTGTGTTTACCTGGGCAATTCCTTGATTTCCTAGAAAAGTAAGAAGCAGCAAACTATTTCTCGATCCTCCTGTGAGGCAGAGTACAGAGCACTTGCCTTCTCTGCCTGTGAGCTTCAGTGGCTTCTCTATCTGCTTCGTGACTTCAAGGTTGATAATCCTCAGCCAGCCAACATCTACTGTGATAATCAAAGTGCCATATATATTGCTGAGAATCCGACGTTCCACGAACGAACGAAACATATCGAACTTAATTGCCATCTTGTTCGTGAAAAGTTGCAGCGTAAGTTACTCAAATTGCTTCATGTCTCATGGCTCACCAACTCGCGGATCTCTTCACCAAACCCCTATCTCTAGCACTATTTCTCCATCTTGTCTCCAAACTCGGTGTGCAAAATCTCTGCCCACCGGCTTGAGGGGTAATAGAAATTGAATCTTGAAAATTCAATTCCAACTATCATTTTCTTTCGGCAAAGAAGAAGGTCAATGTGGCAGCATTTTCTCCAAGTTTTTCCACCACATCAAAGCGGTGTCGTTCTAATAGTCACACTTATGTTGCCAACAATGTCGTTTGGTTTATCAGCTTTTTCTCGTTTTCTTTTGTCTCAACATTGGAGATTGTTTCCAATCCAAACTAACTGACAAGAATGTGTTAGCTGGTTGTCTTCTTGCATTGTACAACCTATATAAGGCTTCACATAAATGAGAATCAACAAGCTCTAAGGTTTTCCCATATCAAACTTGTTGTTAATGGTGGCACATTTGGGTCACAGAAAAGGGAGCCCAGCTAACAATGGCGTGTGTTGACTTGGGGACAGCCACACTTCTCCAAACTTTATGATTTGACTCTATCAATATATCGTTCCTCTATACTTATTCTTAGGGGGGGCATGTATGCCAGTTGGCTAGCTCCAATCTTATTGGAGGATGTAGAATTTTTTAAACATCATCAAGCTAGCTAGGCTGCGGTTTAGACGAATCTGATCATGATCTCATACCCAAAAGTACTTAAATAATATTGCCGACATGTTCGTATGTTGAAAATTAGCAGGTCAGAAGGATTTCCTCCACAAGTTTGGTCAACGTACATAATTTGGTTTGATCTTTAAACTATAATCCATACTCCTATAACGATGACATCATCGACCAATGAAAAGGTCCGATACATATAATAACATAACGATTATCTATAGAGTTGGTTAGTTTGTTATTCATGGGTGACAGGATTTGGTAATCAATATTCATGGATGCATATGGGATTCAACGGTAGGGATGACAAGTTCAAATTGAGACGGACCGTTGGTATCCATTGTACTATTTTAATTAGCTCTCGTTATTTTAATGGTAATGAATTTTTCTTGTATGATCAGCGGGTTTAGGTTGGACAATGATACCCCTATTAGTTAAGATTCAAGTCGATTTGATGATAGCTATTTATGTCGTCTCTGCTACAAAGTTAAACCTCAACTATTTTTTGTTGGGATGATTTAGAGTTTGAATCTTCATCCGTAAAAATATATACAGAAGAATAGCACTTATGAATGGGTTAAAGACACATTTGGTCACTGAGATTACTAAATTGGGACATGTTTAGTCACTATAAAAAGTTAATATCAAATTTGCTCACTAGAATTACTAAAACAGGACACATTTAGTCACTCGTCGTTAGTTGCCGTCCAACTCCGTTAAAAAAGTGCGTTATGTGCTGACGTGGCTAACGTGAGTGCCTAGTCATCGCCGTTTTGGACCGGAAATGGTCAAACCCGACCCGCCACGTAATAAAACCAACCCAATCCATTAACCTAACCCGACCGAGAAATAAACTCTAACCCACCTAACCAGACCAAAGCCCACTTAAAAAAAATGATCAGTTTCCATTTGCAGACCCGAAAACCCTTCTCCTTCCTCGAGAGCTCTTCCCTTCGCCATTTTTAATCAAACTATTCTGAGACCAGAGAGCATGGAGAGATTGTTCAAACCACCCGCCTCGTCTTTCCTCTTACCCTTATTATTCTCCTTAGGAGACTCGAGGGGAGCACCAGCAGGTGCAGGGGATTCCAAATTGACGGAGTCGGGGGAGTGAGATGGGGGGAAGCCGGAAGAGAGGAAGAAGTTGGGGGTTTGGTGGGGGCATAACGGTCATTGTAAGAGGGCGGAGGAAAGGGTTGGTGCTGCTACTGAGGAGGCGGTGGGTAGCCAGAAGAGAGCAAGAAATTAAGGGTTTGGTGCATCGGAGGGTAGCCGGAAGAGAGGAGGAAATTTGGAGCGGGTTGGTGAGGGGCATAACGGTCTTTGTAAGACGGTGGCGGAGGAGGAAAGGGTTGCTGCTGCTGTTGGTGCGGTGGCGGTGGATGAGGTTGTTGGAAGAGGAGTTGCTGGAGCTGGGATCGGATGAAGTCGAGCTTGGGGGAGAGGTCGACGCTGAGTTTGGAGTGGAGGTGGTGGACGACGGTGGTCATGGAGGTGAGAGGGCCGGTGGCGGAGGATTGGGACTGGGAAGGAGGGAGTGGAGAGTTTGGGATATCTCTCGCTCCGACATTTTTTTTTAAGTGGGCTCTGGTCGGGTTAATGGATTGGGTTGGGTTTGTTACGTGGCGGGTTTAGTGACGTGGCGGGTCGGGTTTGACCATTTACGACCCAAAACAGCGCTGATTAGGCGCTCACGTTAGCCACGTCAGCACATAACAGACTCTTTTAACGAAGTTGGACGACAACTAACGGCGAGTGACTAAATGTGTCATGTTTTAGTAATTATAGTGACCAAATTTGATATTAACTTTTTCTAGTGACTAAACATGTCCTAGTAATCTCAGTGACCAAATATGTCTTTAACCGAATGATATGTCTAGATTGTACACCTTGTATTAACAGTTAATCACGATAATGAGTAATGGCCAACGTTTGATTATAAAGAAAAAATGAATTAACTTGGTCTATAACTCAATTATATCCCAATAATTCTGAGTTACTTTGACTAAATGTAGGGTACCCAGCCATAACTTAACAATTATCCTAATAACTCTGCACTCTAGCACAACTAATACCGGTTTCACTATTAAGTACTAGCTAAGTCCTCATTCTTCATTGACAACGACCTTCATGATCAATGCTATTACTATATATCTCTTAAAATAATCTGTTAGTTAATCCGTCCAATCTGCTTCACCAGCCATGGAATTAGTCTCCCCGTAATATTAAACACCAATAATTTTGATGACGCATGGGCACGATCATGCATGAAAGCAATGCAATGGGTTTTCTTTTGCTGCAGCTAGCTAGCTAGCTAGCTACTGTATATAAATACACCACCAATATTCATCAATCTCTGCAACACAAGTAGCCATTAATATACAGCTTGAGTCTTTGTGCTTCGACTTAACCAATGGCTGCTGCAGCTTCCCGAGCTTTGCTGTTGTATATTGTGGCAGCACTTCTGATCCCTGATGTTCTTGCACAACTCAGCCCAAACTTCTACCGTTCAGTTTGCCCTCAGGCGCTACCTACCATCAGACGGGTTGTCAAGAAGGCAATCGACGATGAGCCTCGCATGGGCGCGTCACTGCTTCGCTTGCACTTCCATGACTGTTTCGTCAATGTAAGGAAGTGGTTAAGTACTGTTTTAATTTCTTTCTCTATTTCCTCCTTACTGATATTTTGATACAAATTTGTATATAGTTGCCATCGATCAAATTATAAGGATCAACTAAAGCAAACAAGCATGGTAATCATAATTTGACAGTGTTTCAGAAGGATTTGCTTCTAATGGTTGTGATGATATATTTTAGGGGTGTGATGGATCAGTTCTTCTTGACGACACATCAACTTTCACTGGAGAGAAAACGGCAAATCCAAATTTAAACTCGATTCGAGGATTTGACGTGGTTGACAAAATCAAGAAGGAGGTTGACAGAATATGCAGGAGAAGCGTTGTGTCTTGTGCTGACATCTTAGCAGTTGCTGCTCGCGATTCTGTCGCTATTGTAAGCGTTCCTTCCTCACTCTAAATCTCCTAATTTTTGAAATCACATACAAAATTGCGTAGGAGTTTGGAAAATTACGTATAAACTTGATTGATTGGCCGCGTTAATTACTTGCAGCTGGGAGGTCCACGGTTCACGTACCAAGTCCTAGTCGGCCGACGTGACGCGAGAACCGCCAGCCTCAACGACGCGAACAACAACCTCCCGCCGCCCTTCTTCAGCTTCTCGCAGCTCCTCGCCAACTTCCAGACCCACGGCCTCGACCTCACCGACCTCGTGGCGCTCTCCGGCGGCCACACCATCGGCCTCGCCCGCTGCACCACCTTCCGCGCCCACATCTACAACGACACCAACATCCAGGCCAACTTGGCATCCTCTTTACAGCGCACCTGCCCGCTGACCGGCGGCGACAACAACCTGCAGCCGTTGGACGGAACTCCGGCGGGATTCGACACGCAGTACTTTGGCTCGCTGGTCAGGAACAGAGGGCTGCTGCACTCCGATCAGGAGCTGTTCGGCACAGGCAGCGCCGCCAGTGACGCGCTGGTGAGGCTGTACAGCGGGAATCCGGCGAGGTTCGCGGCGGATTTCGCGGCGTCGATGGTCAAGATGGGGAATATGGGGCCGCTGACCGGGAGTAATGGCGAGATCAGAACGGACTGCCGCAAGATCAATTAATTTTAATTTCGTGTGTTAGTATGTGTTGTCAACGGTTCGTGTTCTTTTTAATTTACCAACAAAATCAAGTGAATAAATCTATAAAAAAAATAATCAAGTGATTAAATTCGGTTGTTCAGTTAAATGGGCTGTACACGAGTTGGGCCGACGAGCATTATCGGTACATTTTTTTTTTATAAAGGTGCTAAACTGATATTAAAAACAAAGACAAAAAGAATGTACAAGCTATTGAGATCACAAGATCTGATCTCTCGTAGCGAAAAAAGACCACAAACCAAGGACAAAATACAACAACACCACCGCCAAACAGCCAACTCCAACGGCAAAACCCAAAGGAACAAAAGGAAAAAGAAACAGAGGGAGCCCAACCAATCAGTGCTCGTGCACAAAGTCACCAAACAGAAAAAAACAGCACCGCAATTCCCAAACCCACAACTTCCTAAACCTCGCCCCATCACCAAACGCATCCCAGGACACAAGACGCACCACGAAAGACAGACAACTCCTACACAAACCCCTTACACTCAAAACCATACCCTCAATCCCTCCCAGAGATGAAGTAAACATCATCGCCCGATCATAATCTCCCGCAGCCAGCTCTCCCCCTGGTTCTTCTCGACCTTTCCTTGAGCCACTAGTCATTCCATCGTGGATAAGGTGTGGAGCCATTTAAGGGATTACAGGAATGGGGTCTCAGGGCAAAGGGGAGATGTTTCTTCGATAGTCAAAAGTTGTCCTCTTTCGGTGCCGGACAGCGTTGATGGGTGGTTCAAGTACTGCATTATTCATGCGGTTAGGTGTTCTGTGTGGTAGGAGAGAAATCAGCGGATGTTTGAAGAAAAGTCGACAGTTGCGTTCACAGTGGCTAGAAAGGCGGCATGAGGATTTTGTTATGATAAACTAGCCACAAAAAGAAACAGACTTTGGTCGCGCCAGTATTACATTCTTCCAAACTTGTTTTGCTGGGAAGTCATTCGGACCTTGTTGTTCATCCTTCACCAGGTTCCTGTAACATGAGCTCACATAGGACTTTCCTTTTAGGTCAGGATTCCAGATAATTTTACAAGGGATGTAATTCTCATCCCTCAAATCCAGAGAATTGAGTAGTTGCATTAAATTCAATCTATCCTGCTCCGCACCCCCTTTCAAAGGAAATTTAAGGTTAAGAGATCAAATAATAGACTAACCGTTGAGAAATGCCACGCCAGAGATTTTTGCTTCAGGGTCAGTGGCTACAACAACTACACGAGGGACAAGGAAGCCAACATCTTCCCCTGGGTCCATCTGTCGTGCCAGAACAAAGTCTCAGTTCCATTCCCAGGATCCAGACTTGCAAACTTCCAGAAAGTGTCAAATTCTTTAGAAATATTAGCCCACACAGATTGAGAAAACCCACTCCTAGCTCGCGCAGTCTGCCATACCGAGGAAGAATTTTGGTATTTAACATCTATAAATTTTTGCCACCAGCTATCTCTCTCCATGGCAAAACGCCACAAACATTTGGACAGCAATGCATCCTTAAAAGCTTTTAAATCATGGATGTCCAGCCCTCCACTATTCTTCTCAGACTTACAAATCTTCCAGTCCACTAAGGCCATCTTGTTAGCACCAGTAGTCCCATTCCACATAAATATCCTTTGAATTCGCTCCAAGTTCTTAATCACCGAAGATGGGGTTTTGAAAAGGGAGAAAAGATAAGTAGGCATACTTCAAAGAACTGCTCTGCAAAGGACCAGCCTCGCGCCAGTGGACAAATGCCTGTTTCCCCATCCATTGAGCTTATTATGGACTTTATGAACAATCGGTTCCCAAATACTTGTGTTATTAGGTCTGGCCCTAAGAGGAAAACCGAGATAATTGGGCAACTCTCTATTCCACTAGCAGCCGAAAATGGCAGCAAAGAAGCTAGGATCAACAACATCTCAAACTGTAGACATGACTGATTTGTCCAAGTTAATCCTCAAACCCGTCACAGCTTGAAAGCACACGACGGTAGCCAAGATGTTCAACACCTGATCATGCTTTGCCTCACAAAATACCAGCGTGTCATCTGCGAACAACAGATGACTCACCTCCTCCGATCTAGAATCCTCATTCATGTAAAACCCCTCAAATTTACCAGCCTCTCTAACAGACTTCAGCATACTAGACAACACTTCCATCGTAAGGACAAACAGCTTTGGAGAAAGGGAATCCCCTTGTTGGAGACCTTTGGCCGTCTTAAAATAGCCCTTAGCTTTCCCGTTGACAAGCACATAATTCTAGAAGAACACATGGTGCCCTTAACCGAACCACACCATTTATCCGAAAATCCCATAGAAGAAAGGATCTTAAACAAGCTCTCCCAATTCACATCGTCAAATAACTTCTCGATATCAAGTTTGAACATAGGACCAAGCTTCCTACTTTTACGACTGCTGTCGACAACCTCATTGGCAATTAATCCTGCTTCACATATCTTCCTTCCCTTGACAGAAGCTTGCTGCTGCTGGGAGATCAAATTCGGAAGAATCGTAACCAGTCTCCTCGATAGAACTTTGCTGATCAATTTGTTAATGCTCCCGATTAAGTTGATCGGCCTTAATCTTTAATATCTTCAATCGAGTGTTTTTTCGGGGCCAAACACACAAAAGAGTGTGTAACGCAGTCCAGCAAATACCCTGATTCGTAAAAATCCTGGAATGCCTTCACAATGTCGACTTTTAACCACTGCCAACACTTCTTAAAAAACTTGAAGGAAAACCCATCAGAGCTAGGGGATTTACTCCTGTCGCAGTCTCTCAGACCTAGCCAAATCTCCTTTTCAGAGAACAGGGCATCCAGGATCAGTCTGTCTTCAACTCCAATAACTTGTGTGCCCAGATTTTTCGGGAATGACCGATTCTTCAGTCTTTTGCAGAATAAGCTCTGGTAGAAACTCACAATTCCATTCCCAATTTCTTCTTTATCGTCTACCATAGGACTGTTGATTTTGATGCGTTCGATGAAATTTACCCTTCTCCTGTAGTTAGCCGCTTTGTGAAAATAACCTGTGTTCTTCTCTCCCAACTTAATCCAGACCTCTCTCGATTTATGTCTCCAACAAACTTCTTGGAGATGAATCGTTCTGCTCAGCTCAAGAGCCATTCCCATTCTGTTATTCATCTCTTCCTCTAGCAGGGCTCTCTCTTCTTCAATTCTGTCCAGTGTCAAGATCGAATAAGACAGCTCTTCAACCTTGCTATCAATGTTGCCGAAAATCTCCTTGTTCCAGATTTTAACTTTAGCTTTTATCAACCATAATCTTCTAGCAAGCAGAAAAGCACCTCCCACTCCCTGTAGACTCTCCGACATCCACTTACCCAATTCATTGTAGAAACGAGGGTCTTCAAGCCACATGTTCTGAAATTTCCATGGTCTATTAGTATTTTTGTTGTCACCCCACCTTAGAATCAACAGATTATGATCTGATTTAACCCTATCCATAGCAGCCAGGGTACAATCCAGGAAGAGCGACTCATCATCGGTACATTTAATTCATGTCAAACAGTATTCATCCTCGCACCAGATAGTTAGCAGCATACTAATGCTTAGGGAGGGAAAGTAGAATAGATCGTTTGAAAAATCATAGTATAATCAGATTGCACAGTTTGGTTCGGACCGTAGATCGTTAATTATGGTATGGTTTGGTACATGGTCTGTATTATATGATATTTTGATTTCTTGATCTAATCTAGTCTAGATCGCGATTTATTGGACCAAACCATTATGTATTAGCAACCCACCCAAGTCTCAATCTTAATTTTGACAATCACGTCCCCTCCTACATTCACTGCCACATTTCACTAGAGTAGAGAAGATCATGTCTCCATATGACATTATGTAAATGTTTATGATGTTATGGTGCAAGTTGAGATGTTTTGACTTTGTATCTTTATTATTTACTGAGATTTATGCTATCAAAATTATCCATGCATGTATGAATTTATGTTTTAAGGAAATAAAATATTTTTTTCTTGGCTATTGGTTCAATTTTTTGTGCGATTGACTAATTAAATTGTTCATTTTTGGTACACTATGGTCTATCTGGACCAGATCGCACATGCGTGATTTGGTCTAAACAATATAGTCTGTGGTCTATATTCTAACCTCTCGGTCTGGACTGAGACCGCATATATGATCCGGTATGGACCGGCCCACACCATTTCCCAACCCTACTAATACTGACAATGTAATACCAACCATTAAGAATGTTGGTAAGGGCTGCTCATCATTTCGGTCATGTCAAACCTCCCTCACTCCTTCCAAATTGACTACTCTTCTCCGACACGATAAACGCAACAATCATCCTCTCGTGCTGATTTCCGTTGAAACCTTCAATTCCCTCCTTTCCATTCTCTCCAGTTCCAGACGAAAGAAAACCTCGCTTCACTACTCTGATGACCTAAAACTTCGCTCTATCGGCGACGCTGCTTCTCCGCGCCACTACCTTCCTCCTCCGTCGAACTCCTAATCCTCTCTAGTTCTTGAAATTTCTAGAAATGGAACTGTTCGAATTCCATGCATTTTCTAGTTCATGTTTCTCGAGTTTTCATGCTCGCATTTGTCTAATTTTATGTATGAAGAGGAAATTTTTTCCCAAATACAACAATAATTAAAAAAATTTCTAAAATACAACACTTATAAAATTTCCCCCCCAAAATACCTAAGTTTGGAGTGGTTCGAGTTCAATGGACTTGAACCACTAGTGGGATCGAGTCTGATGGCCTCGATCCGCTGCGTTGAAATTTCCAATAGTCTTAACTTTGTGCTCGGTTATCCGATCGTAGTGAATTTTGTTTTATTCCGCATAACTTTTCAAGGACTCCAACATTTTAATAGAAATATTATCAGAATGTATGTGGAAATGTGAAAAGTAAAGCTAACCTTATTCTCAAAACCTCTTATATCCAAAAAAGATTTCATATTTTGAAAATTTTGATCCTAGTAAAAGTTGTAGGACTAAAAAATTTATGCAAAATAAAAACAAACTTTGTGAATATCGAATTAAGGAGAACAAAGATATAATCGTCCAAAGTTCTAAAAAGATGGGCAGAATAATTTAAGTCAGTTTATCATCGAACAAACATGAGTTAATTATAATTAAGTTAGACTTAGATGTGGACATGAGTTGATAAATCAGTTACTGTTATAAAACTAATGGAAATGTAAGCAACTACAAGAGAAGATTGGAGGAGGAAAGACACAAGGAGGGGAATAGTTCTTCTTATTCATACTCCATTTGTGATACAATAGTGTGCTCTATTTATAGGCACCCTTTGGTAACCACTACACCCTTACATCAATGCATATGAATTAGAGATAATAATATAGGAATGGGAGTTACATGTAACTCCCAAGTGAGCATCTAATATGGTAGGCCATTGGTCATCCATATATTAATATTTACATAATACTCCCCCTTGGATGACCACTAGATTGCATTATTACGCTATCTCATGCTGCCTCATTAAAAACCTTACCAGGAAAACCCAGTGGGAAAAACCATGGTTAAGGGAAAAAGAGTGCAGCGCGTATATGCTCTCCCTCATGACCACATCAGCTCAAGTCTTTGAGTCGTCGAACTCCAATTTCACGAACAAGCTTTACAAAAATTGTCGTCGGGAGTGACTTGGTGAATAAATATGCTATATTCTCACTTGAACGAACTTTTTGGACAATTATTTCACCACTCTTTTGAAGATCATGAGTGAAAAAGAACTTGAGTGGAATATGTTTTGTTCTATCTCCTTTAATATATCCTTCCTTTAATTGAGCAATGCATGCTGCATTATCTTCATACATGATCGTCGGGATCATTTTTCCTAGAGATAGTCCACACGATTCTCTGATGTGTCGAATCATAGATCTTAACCAAACACATTCACGACTTGCCTCGTGAATTGCTAGGATTTCAGCATGATTGGATGATGTGGCTGTTATAGTTTGTTTTGTGGATCGCCACGAAATAGTTGTACCACCACAAGTGAACAAATATCCTGTATGAGATCTACCATTGTGGGGATCTGAGAGATATCCTGCATCTTCATATCCCACTAAATCCATCTTCGATGCACTCGAATAGAACAAGCCCATATCTGTCGTTCCAGGTAACGGAGTAAATGTTTAACTCCATTCCAATGTCTTTTAGTGGAAGAAGAGCTATATCTTGCCAATATATTCACAGCAAACGATATATCGGATCGTGTGTGACTGGCTAGATAAATTAATGCTCCTATTGCACTAAGATATGGCACTTCAGGGCCAAGCAGATCTTCATCACTTTCTCGAGGTCTAAATGGATCTCTTTTCACATCAAGTGATCTTACAACCATTGGATTACTCAACGGGTGTGATTTGTCCATATAAAATCGCTTAAGCACCTTTTCAACATATCCTTCTTGATGCACAAAAATACCATCCTTCAAATGTTCAATCTGTATTCCAAGACAAAACTTTGTTCTTCCTAAATCTTTCATTTCAAACTCTTTCTTCAAGCAATCAACTGCTTTTGGAAGCTCTTCGGGAGTTCCAATGATGTTTATGTCATCAACATAAACTGATATTATAACAAACTCACTGCCCGATCTCTTTAAAAAAACACATGGACAAATAGGGTCATTCGTGTATCCTTCTTTCATCAAATATTCACTGAGACGATTGTACCACATTCGTCAAGATTGTTTCAATCCATACAAGGATTTGTTCAATTTGATAGAAAAATTTTCTCGAGAATGTGTTTTGTTCGCTTGTGGCAAAGTGAATCCTTCAGGGAGTTTCATATATATATATATATCATTCTCAAGTGATCCATACAAATAGGCTGTCACAACATCCATTAGACGCAGATCTAGTCCTTCTCGAACTGCTAGACTAATCAAGTATCGAAACGTAGTTGCATCCACCACAGGGGAGTATGTCTCCTCATAATCAATGCCAGGTCTCTGTGAGAATCCTTGTGCGACAAGACGTGCTTTATATCTCACGACTTCACCCTTTTCATTTCTTTTCCGCACAAAAACCCATTTGTATCCCACTGGCTTTACGTTTTCTGGTGTAAGGACTACCGGTCCAAAAACCTTTCGCTTTGAAAGCGAGTTTAATTCTGCCTCAATGGCCTCTTTCTACTTTGGCCAATCATCTCTTGACTTGCATTCATCAATAGATCTTAGTTCATGATCCTCATTTTCATTCATCACACTCAACGCTGCAACGTAAGCAAAAACATCGTCGACGATTATTTTACTTCGGTTCCAACATTTTCCATCCAAGACATAATTGATTGAGATCTCTTCATTATCAAAACTTTCAGGTACCTGATGTTCTTCGGGAACTACAATCTTAGTTTTGCTTGGGGACTCTTCTTGACCTTTCATATCCTCGATTTGACCAACTTGATTCATAGCTCCTTTTCTTTTTCGAGGATTTTTATCCTTGGAACCTACTGGTCTACCACGCTTCATTCGTGGTTTAGATTCATTTGCAATTTCAGATTGTCCAACAGGGACATCAACTTTCACTGGAGCATATACAACTGGTATGTGTGACTTTGTCACTCTCTTCTGGTCAGTAAAAGAATCCGGCAGTTGGTTTGCTAAACCTTGTAAATGAATTATCTTTTGAACTTCCAGTTCACATTGTCTAGTACGAGGATCAAGGTGAGATAATGATAATTCATTCCAACAAATATCTTTTCCCAGCTGTTTGCTCTCACCCCCTAATGTTGGAAAAACTGATTCGTCAAAATGACAATCAGCAAAACGAGCAGTGAATAAATCTCCCGTCAAGGGTTCTAAATATTTTATGATTGACGGGGACTCATATCCAACATAAATTCCCAACCTCCTTTGAGGACCCATCTTAACACGCTGTGGTGGAGGAATAGGGATGTAGACGGCACACCCAAATATTTTTAGATGGGAAATATGAGGTTCCTGACCAAAAACCATTTGCAAGGGGGAAATTTCATGATAACTTGTTGGCCTTATGCGAATTAATGTTGCCGCATGCAATATAGCATGTCCCCAACAAGAAATTGGCAAGCTTGTTTTCATAAGCAATGGTCTTGCAATAAGTTGCAAACGCTTAATAAATGATTCTGCAAGGCCATTTTGTGTATGAACATGTGCTACAGGATGTTCAACATCAATCCCAGTGGACATACAATAGTCATTGAAAGTTTGTGAAGTAAATTCACCAGCATTATCTAGACGTATTTTCTTGATTGGAAAATCAGGAAAATGTGCTCGTAGTCGTATCAATTGGGCAAGTAATCTAGCAAACGCCAGGTTGCGAGTTGATAGTAAGCACACATGTGACCATCTAGTTGATGCATCAACTAAAACCATAAAATATCTAAATGGTCCACATGGTGGGTAAATTGGCCCGCATATATCACCATGTATACGTTCTAAAAATGTGAGAGATTCACTCCTTACTTTCACAGGTGATGGCCGTATAATCAACTTGCCACGAGAACATGCAACACATGGTACATCTTTAAACTGATAAATTTTGTGACCTTTCAATGGATGTCCACATGTATTGGCAATGATTTTTTGCATCATAATCAATCCGGGATGGCCTAACCGGTCATGCCAAACTATAAAATTATCAAGATTTGTAAACTTCTTGTTTACCACTGCATGTGTTTCAATTGTACTAATAAACGTGTAGTACAACCCAGAAGAAATAGCAAGCAATTTCTCCAATATGTGTTTTTTATCAGAGACCATATTTGTTATCATAATATACTCTTTATTCTCTTCTTCCTTTGTCTCAATATGATATCCATTTCGGCGAATATCTTTGTAACTCAATAAATTTCTTTGAGACTTTGAAGAGTATAAGGCTTCATTGATATACAACTTGGTTCCTTCTGGTAACAACACACTAGCTCTTCCTGAGCCTTCAATTAGATTTGTACTTCCAGATATAGTACTAACATTTGCTTCTCGCATTTCAAGATGAGAAAAATATTTCTTATCCTTCAAGATTCTATGTGTCGATGCACTATCAACAAGACACACATCATGGTTTTTGATCTTGGTGCCAAGCATGGGAATATTCATTCTTCACAAAAGATAGAAAGTAAATCAATATAAGAAAATATCTCCAAATAAATATAAAAATAATGACATGATTATAATAGATGAAATTTAACCACATAAGGATTATAAAGAGAAATTATATTAAACTGACACATTAATAGGAAAAACACACTCAAGGAAAACGACAAAGAAAGTGAAATTTCAAATGGGAAACCTACACTTTTCACTTGTGAACAAAGCGACAACGAAATAGAAATTTCAAATGGAAATGCTAAGTTTTTCACTTGCAAACATTCCCATCACCAATCAGGTGATCTATTTTTCCTTCAGGGTGGGCAAAGAAGTCGAACACATCTAGATGAGTAGCATCATTATAGTCTTTTCCTGAATCATCTTCCTCAAAAATACAATTGGTTTCTATCTTCTTCCCTTTCAATGATTCTTGGTAGGTTAACCAAGTGTTTTGGCGTACGACAGGTACGAGACCAATGACCTTTTCCACCACAACGGTAACACACATTTTCGACGTGTTTGTTACCATGAACACTTTGTTCCTTGCTTCTCCTACCATCATTTTTTCCACTTCTGGGGAAAAATGAGCTTTTGGAACTTTCACCACGACCATTACCACGACCAAGATCTCGGCCACGGCCACGGCCTCGAGCATGACCACGCCCACGTCCTCGTCCATGTCCACGTCCATGTATTTGCCCATAAGGATATTGGGTGAACGTCGCCGCATTCGCTTCTGGGAATGGGGCGGCACCAGTAGGACGAGATTGGTGATTTTTCATTAGGAGCTCATTATTTTGTTCAACAACAAGGAGACAAGAAATCAGCTCAAAATATTTCTTGAAACCTTTCTCACGGTATTACTGCTGCAGGAGAACATTGGATGCATGAAAAGTGGAGAATGTTTTTTCCAACATATCTTCATCAGTAATATTTTCTCCACATAACAGTAGTTGTGAGGTTATTTTGAATAGCTCCGAATTATAATCACTCACAGATTTAAAATCTTATAACCTCAAATGCATCCAATCATAACGAGCCTTAGGAAGAATCACAGTTTTTTGGTGGTCATACCGCTCCTTCAAATTAGTCCACAAAATAAGTGGATCTTTGACCGTAAGATACTCATTCTTCAATCCCTCGTGGAGGTGATGTCGAAGAAAGATCATTGCTTTAGCTTTGTCTTGATCTGATGCTTCATTGCCCTCTTTAATCGTGTCTCCAAGACCGTTGGCAGCTAAATGAATTTCAGCATCTAGCACCCATGATAGGTAATTCTTTCCAGTGACATCAAGAGCCACAAACTCAAGCTTTGAAAGGTTCGACATACTATCATAAAAATATACACAAATTAAAGTTAAAATTCAATAAATAAATATAGATTACTATCAAGACAAACGACTTATGCGACCCATGATATATCAATTTTATATTTTTACAAATATATAAATAAATTCGAATTTCAAAATAAAAAAAATATATTAAGAAGGAAATTATACCTTTGCATTCTCAAACAAAGATTTCATGTGTTGATTAATAAATGAAATTATGTAAATTGAAATAGGACAATAAAAGAAACAATTTGGGAGAATCGACATACCTTGAGCAGAACAATTGTGGATTTAACCTTTTCAAAAGGAAGAGTCTCGTGCTGATAACGTGTTATAAAACTAATGGAAATGTAAGCAACTACAAGAGAAGATTGGAGGAGGAAAGACACAAGGAGGGGAATAGTTCTTCTTATTCATACTCCATTTGTGATACAATAGTGTGCTCTATTTATAGACACCCTTTGGTAACCACTACACCCTTACATCAATGCATATGAACTAGAGACAATAATATAGGAATGGGAGTTACATGTAACTCCCAAGTGAGTATCTAATGTGGTAGGCCATTGGTCATCCATATATTAATATTTACATAATAGTTACTTAATACTTGCTCATTATAGAGGAATATGAATTATGCGGTAAGTGCAATATTATACCAAGGGATGTAGTTAAGAGACAATGTAAGAAGATATGGAATCGATACTCTACATGTAGAATTTGATAACGCGGAAGGAAACGAACACGAAATAACGAGTTTTACGTGGTATCACTGTTCGACGTGAACAAGACTAATCCATGGTAAGCTCGAAAGAGCTCACGGCTGACGATTTTATTATAAGACTACATTGTGACGGCTTGCTTACGACAGGTTCATAGCTAATTCTTATATAGTGATAGAATAGAGTTAAAACCCTAACGAGTACAGTTGAGTACGACCAAATATCCATACCTACTACAACTCGAACAAGTCCCAACAAGCCCAATACTAACACGGTTTAAGTAACCGCAACACTCCCCCTCAAGCGAAGACATAAATGACAAGAATGTCAAGCTTGAAGAAAGAAATGTGAAGAACAAGCATGATGGATTGAACAAAAAAACTCGAGATGAATAACATGTCAGATGAGGTTGATTGGATCCGACTAACTCTCTATGAACAACCTGATGATTGGCTCTGATCTGCCAGACACCTTGTATCGATGGGCTTCTCACTACAAGAATTTTTTCCAGATGCAAAACTCTCTTTGATCCGCCAAACAAACGTGGATCTCTCCTAGATCCACTAGACAGATGCGGACCTCCCTTGATCCGCCAAACCAGATGTAGCCCAAATGTGGATATATCGTGGATCCACCAAACCAGACGCATATCTCAAATCTCGAGGTCACCGAATGAGGTAGGGGTGGGCAAACGGTTTGGTAAACCCAAACCGAACCGAACCAAAATCGAATTAAACCGAACCGAAACCGAATTAATGCTATTCTGTTCGGAATTCGGAAGGAAAATATGGATAGTTCGGAAATCAGGGCTCTTTCAACCGAACCGAATTTCCGAATTTTCGACCGGAAAACTAAAATACTATAATTGCAAGCTCCAAATGATGGATTTTTGTCTTTGTAGTTGTTTTTAGACTTAAATATTTGAAATATTTTAAGACTTATGTGTTGAAAAGTTTGATTATATCATTGATGATGCATATAATTGATATTTATTGTTTATATTAGGGGTGAAAAATAATTTAAAAGTGAGAAAATACAAGTAGCTTCACAAATTCGGTTTTGTGTGAAAAACCGAACCAAATTATAATTCGGTTTAAACCGACCAAACCGAATTATAATTCGGTTCGAATTTGGTTTGAGGTTTGGGAGAATTTGGGGACCCTGTATTCATAATTTCGGTTCGGTTGAAACCGAACTGACCGAATGCCCACCCGTAGAATGAGGGTCCCTCCCACCAAACTGACGTCCACCGCCCCAGATCCGCCCCGAACCGAATCAGACTCTGATACCACTTGATATAATCGGGCTGCTCAATTAGTACGATATTGTCCGCTTTGGGCCAAGCCTGCACTGTTTACTCTTGGATGTCCTCCCCAAAAGGACTCGTACTAATTGGGCTAGGCGGACTCTTATATACAAGGGTCTCTTCCCTTGTATTACTGATGTGGTACTTGGATTGTCTCATAACAATCCTCCCCTCAAGACAAAGACCACGAACTTCGTGTCCTCACCTCAGCAATTATATTGATCCTCCAGACACCTTGTATCGATGGGCTTCTCGGTACAAATGAGAAACTCTCTTTGATCTGCCAAACAAACTTGGATCTCTCCTAGATCCACCATACAGACGCGAACCTCCCTTGATCTACCAAACTAGAAGTGGATCTCTCTTGGATCCACCCTCTTTGATCCGCCAAACAAACGTGGATCTCTCCTAGATCCACCAGACAGACGCGGACCTCCTTGATCTGCCAAACCAGATATGGATCTCTCCTGGATCCACCAATAGCTCAGACACAAAACTCTCATTGATCTACAAAATCAAACGCGGATTGCAAATCGCGAGGCCACCAAAGGAGTGTCCACCAAACTGACATTCACCACCCCGCACCGAACCAGGATCTGATACCACTTTTCATAACCGGGCTGCTCATTAGTACGATATTGTCCGCTTTGGGCCAAGCTCGCACGGTTTTACTCTTAGGAGTCCTCCCCAAAAGGCCTCGTACTAATTGGGTTAGGTGGGCTCTTATATACAAGGGTCCCTTCCCTTGTATTACCGATGTGGTACTTGGATTGTCTCATAACAGACACGGTTGACTGCGTCTCTTGAATTTGAACACACTTGGTACATCTCGGTCGACCTGATGACTGAGTTAGTCGACCGACGTATGTTGACCTCCTATTCTCCCCTTCAAGCTGGAGCATGAACATCGTGAATGCCCAGCTTGAAAAGCCATGAATGATTACTATATGCCCAATATAATGAACTGGAAGAGGGGAAGACCATTTCTTGAATCCTGATGACTGAGTTAGTCGACCGACGTATGTTGACCTCCTATTCTCCCCTTCAAGCTGGAGCATGAACATCGTGAATGCCCAGCTTGAAAAGCCATGAATGATTACTATATGCTCAATATAATGAATTGGAAGAGGGGAAGACCATTTCTTGAATCGTGAATGCCAGCTGGACGATGAAGGGATGATGACGTCTTCGATCGTACTACCTTTTGAATGCCAGAGAACGACCATTTTATGGATCGTGAATGCCTCAACTGATGACTTGACAATTTTGTTGACAGAAGTTGTTCTTGCTCCCCAACACTAGCTATTTGAAGAGATGACCACTGCCGATCATGATTGCCTTCAATGGCATGACTATGATGTTGGTGAAGATTTACTTGCTACAAGACCTTGATAAAGATGACTTGGTCGCAAGGAGGCCTATACTGCTCAACAAAACCCAATGACAACGAATTCCTTAGCCTAAACCTGGCTGTTATTGGGTGGTGAAGGCTGGACTAGCTTCAAGATGCAAATTGAATTATTGAACTCTATCCAATGACGTGACAGAAGTAGACAAAACCTTTGGATATGCTTCTGAATGCATCTTCTGGTGGACTCCAGATGCTTGTCGAACTTGGATTAAAAACAAACACAATGGTCTATTTTACTTAGATGCATTTTTCCCAATCCGTATGCTTTGCAAGTGTCCCGCCGTATACTGCACTACTATTCAAAATTGGGATGGTCTCATTACATTTATGCAGGCAAGGAGCAGCTTCTGTAACTCTTCGTGGACCATGATGAAGACGACTGGCCGTTATGCGGACAAGACTACTTGACCGGCCAAATTTCAGGCTTAATTGCACAGGATGCCACTTAAGTTCACCATTTGTTGCATGATAACCACTTAAGTATGTTTTGTTGCAACTAAATCACTTATATCCAATTCCGGTAGCACTGTTACCATTTCCGTCTCCATGACTAACGGCGGGTGCTAAAACGTAAATTACCACGCCAACTCAGCCGCCATGTCAGCTGCAAACTGCTTACTCATATTTACCCTAACCCCATTTAAGTCCAATAAATGGACTCATCCTCTTTCCCAAAAAAATCCATCGACCCCTTCCTCCTTTTCTTTCCTGTCCACACCCTAGCTGACCCTATTATAAAACCAGAGACAGAAATCTTCTTTTCAATCCTTTCCTTCTTCTGCTTCATATTCCTATGTCTAGATAATTGCATTTCCATTTCAGCCTCTTTTATGTAAATTTTGGTTTTTGTTCCTTCATTCATTCTCACCAAAGGGATCCTAGTTCTATCGCTTCCTTTCCTCCCAGAATGGCGGCAACAACTCCATTGTGCCGTTGTGCTAAATGAGCGATTCTCCGAACCTCGTGGACTGATGCCAATCCCGCCAGGCGCTTCTTTGGCTGCTCGAATTATGGGGTATGACGAACACTAGAATCTTTACTCTCAATTTCACTTTAGCAGCTCTGACCTAGTTCTTGTTTTGGTTCTTCTTTATTTGATTCGTAGGATGGGAAAGCATGCAATTATTTTCGTTGGATCGATTCGCCACTTAATGAGAATACTAAGCGTGTTCTTCTTTCATTGCTTAAGAGGATCAGAGAGATGGAGAATAGGAACAAACATAGCTCATTTATGAAAGAACTGGTTAAAGGAATTTGTATTATTGTTGGTGCTGCTTTAGCAAAGAGAGTGGTGACTTACATGTTTGGGAACCTGTAATAGGAGCTTTCTTAACAGCTATTGTTATCGTAGCTTATGCTGTAACTGATCAATGAGATTCATTGAGTATGATTAAAGAACTAATGTTTGAGAATTGTTGGATTTCCTTTCTCTCTTTGCGTCTCAAAGTGCAGTAGCTTGTTTTAGATGCTTGTTTTGTTTTGCTTGTTATCGTAGCTTATCATGTTGCAATGACTATTTGAATGATGAAGTTGGCGCTGCAAATTTGCACAAACTATCCTCAGCAGTTTCTTGCTTCAAATTTGCACAATTAGTTCCTGCATAAATATGTTTTCTGAGTCTGTTAGAGTCTGCTTGTACATGTTTCAGTCTGAGGATACATGTCAACCTGAAAGTACATCTGATCCTCATGATTACCATAAGCCTGATGCAAGTGGTACTTTGTTGGATGCATGGAAACTCTCATTCTAGCAATTAGTATCAGCTGCATTCCAGCACATATAACAAGGCTTTCAGCTCAAAATATAAGCACTCTTCATGTTCAACAACAAAGAAAACATTGATGCACTAATGTTGTCTTCATAAAATCCAATCCTTAAAGAAGACAAAAAAGAGAGAAAGCCCTATCCAAGAGTCTTTCAAGTTCTTGACAAACCCAAAGAAAGATGCAGGAGTCTTTTAACTACTCTTCTGCCCTGCTAAAAACCACAAAAAGATGTCTGCTGACAGCCCTCCTCATTTAACAACATGGCATGATTGATGTTCCTGCAACAAAAAAAGTATAAGAAACACACTTGTTAACTTTAACACAAAACTTCAACTACAGTTCTGCTTGCCTCAAGCTTAAAAATGGAAGTGAATATAACCTGAGATCGGCTACTTTGCTGTGATGGGGTAGAAATTAAGATCGAAGTTTGGCTTAAGGGATTCATGGGACGAGTCCGACTACTTCCCTATTGACAAAAAATCAATTAGAGTCCTGAAATATAAGCTCTAAACAACATAACAATTGAAACATCAACTCTAAACTTACATCAGGCATCAACTGCACAATAAAACCAGTTGGCCCCCTAGTTGGTGCACTTCCCTATAAATCATATACATAAACACGTTAAATGGCAGGGATCAAACAACTAATATATTGTAAAAGCAGTTTTAACTTACCCCATCCCTTGATGCTTGACCTGCTGCTGCTGTTTGTGAACTCGATTCACCAAAATTTCCACCACCAAATGCAGCATTTGAGATCCCTTCCTTGTTCCCTCTTGAGTGAAATGACTTATTGTGTCCAGTCTGATGACACTCACTACAATGAATGGTTCCACCCTTCCCTTTTCGACTCATCTTCTCATTTCCAGCTCTAAACTTACGTTTCTGCATATCATTACTTGTTGTCTCCTCAATGCCCTTTCTCCTTTTGGTTTGTCTCCTTCCTGGGTTTTTTTGTTTCTTCCATGGGCACATATGGTGGCATCACAGGCTCTCTTCCACTTGGTAACCATGATTCAGGCCCAACCATTGGTTCCACATTTCCCATGCAAGTTTTGATGTAGCTTTCAACTTCATAATGCTTGTCCACATAATTTTCAACCCTTTTTGAGATTTGCCATATGCAGCGAATGGCATGTGGACAAGGTAAACATGTCAATTCCCACATCCTACAAGTACATTTGGACTTGTTCAAATCAACCACAAACTGACCCTTTGGACACTTAACTTGGAATTTTTGAGGGCCACTTTGGATGGCAGTACATCTAAAGCTAGCCTTCTGAAGTATGTCTAGCTTTTGTTGGATGATAGGACAGAATTTACCTTTGAATTTTAACTCAGCCTTCTCCCTCCTCACATGTAATCTGCCCATAAGAATATTCCTGATGGTCTCAAACATGCTTATGATTAGTTTGGTCCTAGCTCCTAAGAGAGAGCTATTCCAACTCTCACATATATTGTTTGTCAACAGATCTGATTTACAGAATGGTTGGAAATATGCCCTACACCACTGTGAAAATGGCTTTTCCAGCAACCACCTATGAGTCTTTTCATCATGATCTTTAAATTCAGTCATGCACTTTTTAAATTCTGCATCATAGCTTACTCTAGCAATCTTCCATAACAAGTCTCTAGTTTTTTTGTTACCTCCTTGTGCCCTGAACAGATTAGAAACGAGGTGTCTGACACAGTATCGATGCTCTGCATACGGAACCACACTCTCTAATGCATTCAACAAACCCTGCCAGGAAAAGTTCAAATACATAATCAGGATGGAAACCAATATAAGTAATATAAAACTTAAAGTACTCTTTAACCGAAGCTCACCTTTTGCTTATCTGACATAAAAGTCCAGCTGCCAGGATCTTCAAAGATGTTAACATCAAGACATAGTTGGTTCAAAAACCAAGTCCAGTTGTCTCCATTTTCAACTCTCACTGCAGCATACGCTATGGGGAAACTCCCACCATTCCCATCTAGGCAAACCTCAGACAATAATTGCCCTCCATGTTCTGTCTTCAAAAAGCATCCATCAAGAAGAATGATCTTCCTGCAAGATGCAACCCCTTGCTTGCATGGTTCCAAACAACAATACATTCTTTTGAATCTGCTAGAGTTCTCACACGTTTCCACAAAGCAGGTAGAACCAGGACTTGTCCTTCGCACTTCAGCACAATAATCTTGCAACCTGCGATACTGCTCCTTAGCATTGCCACTTATTAGATTCTTAGCAACACGCCTGATCCTCCATGCTTCCATCTTGAAATGGTCCACTATAGTCCTCTGCCACAGTTTGAATAATAGATTCAGTCCCCCAATCTGGATCAGCCTGAAACCTTTGGATGTACCTACGAGCAATAAAATTAACATCTCCAAACTTGTTTTTGAACACCATGATACACCCCTCGTGTTGTAGATAACATGATCTTATTTGGAAAGCCTTTCCATCATCTGTCAATCCTACCCATATGTTCCATGGGCAACCTGCCTGGCAGACAACTTGAACTCTATGCCTGTCACTATGTTTAAATTTAAGAGGTTGTTTGCTATTGATGGAGTACCTTTTGATAGCATCCTTGAATGATTCCTTGTTCCTGAAGATTTGGTGTAGGCAAAATTGGGGATCACTCATTTCTTTTTCTGGATTGAATTATGGGTATCTTGAACGAGTTTGAACTCCTTCTTCTTCATCCGAGTGAACACTACCCAGATTGTCTGAATCATACAACTCATCATCAACATTGACATCAAATGTAGAGTCTATATAGATATCATGGCTTTCATTCTCCATATCATTGGTTTGCCCCTCCACATCCTCCTCTCCTTCATAATTCTCGGCTGCCAGTAGTTCCAGATCACCCTCCACTCTCTCATCATTGGTCTCGTGTCCATAATCAGGTCCATTCTCATGTTGTTGTTCAGCACCCATGTCAACAAGACTTTGCACACTTGGACGTTCTCCTTGATATGCTTCTAATGTACACTTCCTTAACTCATCTTTATTGATCAGATAAACCTCTACAAACTTGGTTTCTAGAACTATCTTGGCAGCCATGTCCAGAATATCACTATCACTTGTCAGCTCTTGCAGTCCTTCCTTCAATCTTTCTCCCGGCAGTCTCCAATAATATGCCCAACCATGTGTCGTTCTATATTCCTCCACCATTCTCATACTATCCATATGACCGATATCGACAACATAACCATCTAGCTCGAACAAAGACAAACAATCTGGATCAATCCAATCCAAGTATACAACTTCACCTCCAAAATAGGATATGTCTTCATCATTTATATGCACAATTTCATCCTTATAATGGAGTTCGATTGTGAATTTATCATCTTTAAATCCTAGAAAGAAAGAAAACAGTATACGCATTGGTAACCAAACTACAATGATCATAACACAAACAGTCGGTTAGCATTTACTGTAGTAAATTGCAGCTGCAAAATGGTAGAGCATGAAAAATACAACAATCTTTAATTGAAAACTCACCATATATAGGAATTCGGTCAGTTTCGCCGACTTCCCTAATGCTTCGATGCATTTTTTAAAATCAAACAATAAGAGATCAGGTGCTTGAAGTGGACTGCCCTGCCCTGCCTTCACCCATTGATCATCCAACAGCAAAAAAGAAAAACAAACACCAAAACAAAGCACTCAAAGAAACCAGAAGCCACTAACCTATTTCTCCATCATTCCATGAAAAGCTATCTTCCTTACTGCTTTCAAATCCCTATAAAAAAGGGGAAAAATTAGATGAGGAACCATAATCTGCAATTGTCATGGATAAGAATGAAGGTATAGAGTAGGGTAGAGATGGACTGTTGCGCAGGAGAAGGGTAGGAATAAATACCAATGAATTTTTTTTTGCAGCAAGCTGTCTTTCCTTCTTCGCGACGGGTGTTGGTATAATCTCCTTGACTCACGTTTTTGTTTTCTGCAGGGAAGGAGTTGACGGTTCGGTTGCCGGCGGAGAATGGTTTTGCCAAGGCAAGGAGAAGTGTCCCGCGTAAAAGGAAACTTTCGATTTAGTGGGCCCATCGAATTTCGGTGGCCCAAAAGTGAGTCTGCAGCTGACATGGCGGCTGAGTTGGCATGGTAATTTACGTTTTAGCACCCGCCGTTAGTCATGGAGACGGAAATGGTAACAGTGCTACCGGAATTGGATATAAGTGGTTTAGTTGCAACAAAACATACTTAAGTAGTTATCGTGCAACAAATGGTGAACTTAAGTGGCATCCTGTGCAATTAACCCCCAAATTTCACAAATCCAATTACACAGGATATAGAAGCCACAGTTCCAATTAAGAACAAAAACCAAAAAGGTTAAAACCCTTGATCTGTGGATTGAACTTTGAGCAAGGGACAAACGAGCCGAGGCGAATGATAACAAGGATGATGGCGGACTGGCGAGGGCGCCTCTATGTATCGCCGTCACGAAAGCTCCAAACGACGAGGAGGCTTGCATGCCCGGTGATTCAGGAGCTACCGGCGATGCCTGAATGGACCGCGATCGTGATTTGGGAAGAGACTATGATTTGACGAACACACCATATTCGCTGGACATGGTTTGACGGACTCGGCCGCAGATATGTGTTAGAAACCGATTTCATTCGGTATTCTGTATTTATTATTATAATTACGATTAGGGTAATTCTTATTATGGTTAGTAGTCTTTTATTGGAATTAGATTTATTAGTAGAGTTTCCAATATTCCCTATAAATATGTACTTGTTATTCATTAGTAAGAAGCTAAGTAAAAAGCATATTAAGAAAATCCCTAAACCATATTCTCTCCCAAATCCTCTCCATTTCTTTTCTTCCCTAATCCGGCCGTCGGCCATTCTTTCTTGTTCTTCCCAAATTCTACTTCCTAATCCCTAATTCCATACTTCTCAATCCCTAAACTCCCAATCCGAGTACCCGCTAGAAACGTGTTTCTAACATTTGGTACCAGAGCCATGGCCAAAGATTTGAGTTTGTCACAACTCTCACTCGGAGACAAGAGAAGAAACGAAGAAGAGGTCTCGAGGGTGGAGACTTCATCTGCATCAAGTGCACGAGCCGTCATCACCTGTCCTACCACATGCTCGTGACTTGAGACTCCACCTCATCGACGAGAACCTCACTTCAAAGAGGTTTTGGGGTGGACCGAAACTTAGGAGCCATCGTCCGGCTCACGACGTGAAAGAAGCGTTTGTTGGGAGTAAACCCATCCAGTCGGTTTGCATTTCTTTCCCTATTTCTCTTCGGTTGAGTCGGTTTGTTCTTTGATTTTAGAGTCAATAACTCAACCTTTGTGAGATTTTGTGTGGTGTTTGTGTTCTGACTACTCTCTCCTCCGGGAATCCACAGCCAGGCCCATCCACCATCATTCACACTTGATCTGGTAACTTCGTTCTATCCTCCTTATCTTTCCTCAATTGATGACAATGTCGAGCTTAAGTGTGAGGGGATGTTCGATTATATATGCGTGTGAATGTTTGGTTGTATGTGTGTGTTTGGAGCCTATTACACTGTCCAAATTTTACGATTTGAGGGCTCCAAGTACTTGTCCCCTACAATTGCCTGCTTAGTATGCTTTAAATAGACAACATTTATAGTACTCTGCAACCTAGGCAGGTAGTTGTAGCACTATAGAGGATGCTGAAGTATAAGATTTTTCCTATTTGTCTTTTTGTTGTGTTGGTTGATTGTGTGAACTAGTGGATTTAGGACATTTGATTCATGTGATATCGATGACTCTCTCTTGCTGTGTGTGGACTTATGTTTCGTATAAGGGTGCTCAGGTGTGTAATGATAAAGCAGTTGGTCCTCCATTTTAGAAAAAATGAAAATTTAAACATGGGTAAGCCCCAACGTGCGTGGCACCGTTCATTGCACAAAATCGGGTTTTTGAAGAGACTTTAGTGATCCTTGGTGGGGTAGGCCTACAAGGTGAAACTAATCCGTCTCTAGTACAAGTAAAAATTTCACCCGTTGAACGGTTTTTCTACTCGAGGATGTGTTTTTAAGGGCACGGATAGAGCTTCCGACCCCCCTTAATGTCATTGACTCTCCGCACGAAATGAGGAAAAAGAGATAAAAGAAGTACTCTGGTGAGTGACAGATGTACAGAAATTTCTCATGCTCACCTAATAAGGGTCGACCGCGCATAAAAATTGCAGTTGGAACCCCAACAAAGTGCAAATATGAAAAACTAAAGAAAAAGAAACAAATAATAAGGAAAGGGGGTCCCAACAAGTGAAATGAAATGAAAGAGCACCCGATATGAAGAGTCTCTGGTTGTTGTGCTATGTCAGTGATTCTCTTTGTCCATGAATTGTCTGTCATAGGTCCAATACATCGCCTGATCCTGGTTTGAGTCTAGTACTCGCATTAAGAGAGATAGGGGACGTCTTAGAAAACCGGTTGACCTCGTAAGCTGCTAAATGATCTAGGAAGTCCGCTACCGACGATTGGGGTTGCGTATTGCTATAAAGGTCTGGATAGTTTCATTGGTTTGAGTCAGGTTTGCTTGGGGACAAGCAAACGGTTAAGTGTGGGGGGATTTGATGACTCGATATTTGCATATGTTTTCCCCTTTGTTTCTTGATCGTTTAAGCTTGCATTATCGCTTCTTTGGCCTATTTTATGCTATATTGTGTTCCTTTGTCACATTTCAGATCTTAGCACATAAAGTGAAGGGTAGGCGCAAGTTTCAAGTAAATCGAATCATGTAAGCTTGTCATGAGAAGAAAGAGGACGAGACTACGAGCGTCTAGGATCAAACGACCCATGATTTGGAGTCCGAACGAGGGAGAAACGAAGAATCAAAGATAGGGGACAGAGAACTGCAAAATATCCGACCAAAATACCCGACCGGGTATTTTGACCATCTGATAAGGTATTTTTGGCACCATCAGAAGGCCCCCAGGTCGTGAACCAAAAATACACGACCGAGTATTTTCCCTTTTGCCCAGAAACGTGACCTGAAGCATTTTGTTGATACTCGACCGGTTCCCTAAATACCCAACCGAGTATTTGGACCGGGTTTCGCAAACGCAGGCTGTTAAAAGCCCGTTTGTGCTTTTAAGAGAGGGTGGGGGGGGGGGAGCTGGGTTTTGGATCCCTAACACCCAAGAGACGAACCAAAGAGAGAGAGGCCGATTTGAGGGCAATCTTGGAGTGTAATTGGGGGATTTCTGCGCCTTGGAAGCTCGAGGAACAAGCCCGGATGTGAAGACTGATCATCTGAAGATTCTTACTACATTCTCTCTCTTCTCTATGGAGTAACTTCCCTTCACTTAGGTTTTGAGGAACCCTAGCCATGTTTGTTTGATTGGACGATTGTATGAGTACTCTTACTTTATAATCTTGAGTTCATATTCAATCTATGCATGTTTTCATGATTCAATTCTGCTTTAGTCGAGATTATTGATTCTGCTTTGATCCTATGAGAGCGAATACCTGATTAGGTTAACAGAGTGCCATAGATTGATAGTATTGGATCGATTTCTTTAGTCTAGGGTTTATTCAATGCTTTGTATCGACTTAGAACCTCATTCGATAGAGGGAGTCTAGTTCGGAATGCCTTGATCGGTTGTTCTAGAGAAGGATACGTCCCTATAGGCAATTGACTCAAGAGGGCCTTGTTCCTTTAGTCGAGACTCAAGGTCTAGTTAAGGATTCTCCGCATTGTGAATGAAAGTGAAACAGGTTAGAGATCATCCATCATTAATCTGGCTAATGGCTAGGGGGAATCATACCTAAGTGAGTTCCCAACCTGTAATTAGATTAACTTTAACTGTAGTTTGCTAGAGTAGTTTAGTTCTTCCATTTTACTCTAGTTTGCTAGATAATGAACTGAAGCTGAGTAATAGTAATTATAGAGACCCGTAGATTCGATATTTATTACTTGAGCCACTATACTGCAATCCCTTTCATTGGTTACACTTGGCCTTTGTTAGGAGTTGTGTCATCGCGAGTCACTACTGTCACGCGTCCTGGGAACGGATGCAAGCCAACATGGACAAACTAGTGGAGAACTTGGAGCAGTGTAAGACATCCCAATAAGAACTCCAAGCTGCCCTAGATAAATGGGAGGCGCACCCTAAACGCGGATCCAACAAATCCATTGCAATGGTCTCGGGAAACGCAACCGCGGAGCAGCCGTCCATAGGAGGCGAAGCTATCTTCGTCACGGTTAAGGCGACTGAACCACCACCACTACCGACGGCTGAGATCACCGCCTTAGTCATCCTAGCGAGTGTTGAAGACGGAGATCTGGATGTCAAGAGCCATGACGAGAAGACGCTTCCCACAACATCAACCACCACGGCTGCGAATTCACCACCAACACTGATTGCGGCGGTTGAACAACCAGCCAGGAAGAAGAAGGCGAGGAACAAGACTGTCGCTGCAACTGTGGCTGTCGCAAAAGAAGATCTTGCTTCTTCTGTCCCTGTTCCCAACAAGGAAAGGACAATCACCTCTATGAAAGAAACCCAAACCGAGGGTTTTGAGAGGAGATTAACGTGGGGTCAAGTGGCCAGCTGGAGGTTCCAAAGGAAGCCAAGAACGGACAAAGAGGAGTTCGGGGCCACCGCATCAGCATCCCACTGCATCGACCGGCATCGGGGGCTCACCCATGTCGCAGCCAGCCACAAACCATGAGATCCGTTGGTCACCGGTAGCTGGAATGGAGACGAAGGTGAAGAGCAGCGGGGAGGACTTACCGGCGTCGCCGATCGCGCAAGGAGCGCGCGAATTTGTCACGACGTCGGGTGGCCCATCAAACGGCGAGGAGATGAAGATTTCGCCGAAGCCGCGCTTTGAGGTGTAAGAGCCGCTCGCGGCGCCGCTGACACGATTGATGCTGCTCCAGTCTGGGAGTCAAACGCTGGGAAGATAAAGCCGGTAGGGGGCGTGCCTCTTAACCAACGGATGTGCAGTTCGCCCCCGGAGAAGAAGAAGTCGGAGGAAGAGGAAACGTGGAAGGTGGCAGTGGATCCCATGGTGGCATCAACCGATGATGAGGAGACGCCTAAGATGTCGTTGGAAACACGGTGGACTGGCCGCCAGAGTAGTTGTTCGCCGTTGAGGAAGTTGAATAATGAAGGCGACGGTGGTGACTCTCAACTATGCGAGCAGTTGCGCCTCTTGTTCCCTAAAACGCATCAGCAATAGTTGGACCAAGGCATTGCAAGGGCTTGTCGTAGTGGGCCAAATAAAGTGGGCCAATTGCTAAAGAAAGGCCATATGGGTCTCGGCCTACATCATGGGGTAAATGAGCACGGTTTTGAGGAGGCTGGGCTTGAATGGATTTTGGAAGAGCAAATTGGCAATGGTGAGTTTAATTACTGGGGAAAGATTGTTGGGAGGGAGTTGACCATTCATGAGGTTATTAATGGAGAGCTTGGAAGGGAAATGGAGGAAACCAATTGAGTGATGACTCGCTATGACACAACTCCTAACAATGGCCAAGTGTAACCAATGAAAGGGACTGTAGTATAGTGTCTCAAGTAATAAATATCGAATCCACGGGTCTCTAGAGTTACTATTACTCAGCTTCAGTTCATTATCTAGGAAACCAGATTAAGATAGAACAACTAAAACTACTCTAGCAAACTACAGTTAAAGTTAATCTAAATACAGGTTGGGAACTCACTTAGGTATGATTCCCCCTAGCCACTAGCCAGATTAATGATTGATGATCTCTAACCTGTTTCACTTTCATTCACAATGCGGAGAATCCTTAACTAGACCTTGAATCTCGACTAAAGGATCAAGGCCCTCTTGAGTCGATTGCCTAGAGGGACGTATCCTTCTCTACAACAACCGATCAAGGCATTCTGAACTAGACTCCCTCTATCGAATGAAGTTCACAATCGATACAAAGAAGTGAATCAACCCTCGACTAAAGCAATCGATCCAATACTATCAATCTATGGTGCTCTATTGGCCTAATCAGGTATTCGCTCTCATAGGTTCCAACAATATGGGATTCATGAGCATCGCTGGAGACGAGTACCACTTGGAGGCGGATGGATGAGGCCACTGACGACAACCTTGACTCAGGGGCCACCGATGGTGACTGACGGTGGTTGTGATGATGCCATTGTAAAAGCAGCAGACGGTGATGGCCGACGTAGTTGCTTGCGTAACGAGACTGCGAACGATCAAACACAAAACCCTAGAAAATCGAGGTTTGCTCTGATACCATGTAGAATTTGAATAATGCGGAAGGAAACGAACACGAAACAACGAGTTTTATGTGGTTTCCCTGTTCGACTTGAACATGACTAATCCACGGTGAGTTCGAAAGAGCTCACAATCGACAATTTTACATTGTGACGGTTTTCTTACGACAGGTTCGTAGCTAAGTCTTATGTAGAGATAAAATAGGGTTAAAACCATGGACCAGAAAACCGGATCGTACCGGCCGATTCGACCGGTAAAACCGGAAACCGGACCAGAAACGAAACGGTAGCCAGTTAGTGGCTGAATTATCGTACCGCCCGGTTTTTTTGGTTTAACCGGTCCGAAAGGAAATATCGGCCGGTTTTGTTTCCACCGGCGGTAAGCTATTTGAAACTGTACACCGCCGTATTGTGAAACAAAATTATTTATAAAAAAAAAAGCTCCGAACTCTGAAAGCCAAACCCCAATCCCTAATAGAACGCTCCACTTCTCTTCTCCAGATTCACCCCGCCGCTCCTCTTCTCTAGCTCACCGTTGCCGCTAGCGAACGACGAGAAGGATGAGCTCGACGCGAGGGCATACTTTATAGGTCGACATATTTTCTCTTCTCTAGCTCACCGTTGCCGCTAGCGAACGACGAGAAGGATGAGCTTCCGCGAATCACCGGGGTTGGCCGCCGTATTTTCTCTTCCTCGATGCGACGGCATGGCAAGCAAAATCTGGAGGGATTCATCATCGATTGCGGGGATTGGACGGCGAAGGCTTGGAGACGGTAGATTCGGGTGGAAAATTGCCATCTCCTCCCATCTTCGATTCGACATCTGTAGTGGATGAGAGTGGCTGACGAAGTGAGAAAGAAGATGGCAACCAATTCATAGGGTAATCATCTTAGCAAGATCGGGAGAATCATAGTTGATATGGGAAACAACAAGAATTTGAGTACAGAGGAACGAGAAAGAGGCCTCTGTTCAATCACCTTCCTCGCCGGCACCATGAATTCACGGCCTGCCGATTCCGTCGTTCTTCTTCTGCCCATAAAATTAGTCACAATAGGAGTCCAATCGACCGATTAATTGATCTAGTTTAGGATTAAGGCAAATGAAGAAGCATGTACCGCTTGCATGGAGAATGGAGAGTGAGAATCTGGGATTGAAACTTTGGGGAAAACAGAGGGAATTGCTTCCTCTGTGTTGGGGAATTAGATTGAAGAGAGAGAGGGAGTTTTTTTTTTTTGATAGATCAACAACAGGAATCAAAGATAAGTTGGTCCACCAGGAAAATTGGTGGCCTAGAGACCCAAATCTCAGTTTCGTCCCACCCACATTGTACATGGGCCAATATGTGGGCTGCTTTGTTACTTTCTCGGCCTGCAAACCTGATCTGCATCTGTCCAGCAAAAGTGTCGATCAGCTCCCTCACTTCAGCACTCTCCACCCCTTCCTCCGTCATCGACATTTCCTCCCTTCCGATTTGCTGTACCGCCCTGAGACAATCTGATTCGATTTCTCCAGTCACAAAATCCTTCTCCCTCGCGATCTCTAGTCCAAGCTTTATAGCCTGCAGCTCAGCCAATTCCGCTGGCCATTGAATCCTCGTTCTTTTTATCACTGCACAGCAAAATCCCCCATTTCTATCGCGAACCACAACCCCCAAACCAGTGCCCGCTCCGGTGAACGTCGCCGCGTCGACATTGATCTTGAAATCAGCATTTTCAGGCGGTTTCCAACGAGCCACCTGCCTGGGCGCCACCTCCATTCCTTGTTGTTGATATTCCAGGTATTCATTCAACCAACGTTCCGCTTTCCCCATTATTTCGAATTCTTCCAATTTCTTCGTGTTCCAGCATTGACTATTTCTTTCGCCCCATATGAACCATAGTGCCGCCAGAAATTGGGCTATCTTCTCGTCGGATTCTGTTTCCTGGAGAGCCACCATCCATTCTTCGCAGGTAAGGTCTTTTCCCTTCTCGAAACACTGATTTAGGGAACTAGGGTACCAAACTCTTCTAACCCATCCACATTCTTGAAACAGATGATTCTGTGTCTCTTCCTGTCCACAAAATGGGCATTCATCGCATCCCTTAGTTGTTCTCTTTAGGATGTTTGCTCCTGTTGGTAAGATGTTGCGAATCCATCTCCACGCAAAGACTTTGACTTTAGGAGGTATCTGGAGCTTCCATATTCGTTCCCAGTTGATTGGGGTATAGATTTCTCCCATTTCTGCCTCTTTACTCGCTCTCAGTGCCTTGTAAGCCGATTTCACTGTATACTGACCTGACTTCTCCTTCCCCCAGATTCTCTTATCTTCTGCTGGTTGTCTTGGTATTGGTATTCTCAGTATATTCTGTCTATCTTGAGGGAGAAAATAGGTTTGTAGTAAAGCATGGTTCCAGGTTCTCGTTTCTGTGTTCATAAGCTCATTCACTGATGTGTATGATGCGAATAGGGAGATTGGCGATTGAACTCTATAATTTAGGGAGGTAGGAACCCATTTGTCCAGCCAGATATCAATTTTGTTTCCATTCCCAACTCTCCACCGCAATCCTTCCTTCATGAGATCTTTAGCTGCTAGGATACTTCTCCATATAAAGCTCGGATTATACCCTCCCTCTGCTTCCAAGATGTCCCGGGTTGGAAAGTACTTAGCTTTCATAACTCTTGAGACTAAGGAGGTTGGGTTTTGAATCATTCTCCACAGTTGTTTTCCCAGAAGGGCCAAGTTAAAATCATGTAAGTTCCTGAACCCCAAGCCCCCTTGCTTTTTGGATCTGCACATCTCCTGCCAACTAACCCAATGCGTCCTGCGTTCTGATTCTTGTTGTCCCCACCAAAAGTTTGAAACCAGACTCTGAATTTCTTGAGTGACAGTCATAGGGATTAGGAAAACCTGCATTGCATAAGTCATTTGTGCTTGGGCTACTGCTTTTATCAACACCTCCTTTCCTCCAAAAGAAAGCAACTTCCCTTTCCACAACTTCACCTTTCTTCTGACCCTATCCACAAGGTAGCTGAACACCTCCTTCTTTCTTCTTCCAACTGTGGTGGGTAGGCCTAGATATTTAGTATGAAGAGGTACCACTTTCATTCCAAGAATGGCTGCCAGATCCTGTCTCTTAACCTCCTCCACATTGGGGCTGAAAGAGATTTCCGATTTCTCAAGGTTTACCTTCTGTCCAGATTCTTGTTCATACAAGGTTAGGATATCTCTTAAATGTATACATTCTTGAGTTGTTGCACTTGTAAACAGAACACTGTCATCTGCAAAGAGCAGATGGGAAATGGTAGGGGCTCCTCTTTTGACTTGTATTCCTGCTATCCTCCTGTCTCTTTCAGCCTTCAATATAAGAGCAGATAACCCCTCCACAATGAATAGGAATAAGTAGGGAGATATTGGATCTCCTTGTCTCAAGCCTCGAGTAGGAAAAAAGGTCTCTGTTTGGTGACCATTAACCATGATTGAGTAGGAAACCGTTTTGACACAGGCCATGATCATTGCCACCCATCTAGTATTGAACCCCAGTTTAAGCATAATAGACTCAAGAAAGTCCCACTCCACCCTGTCATAGGCTTTGGAGATATCCAATTTGGCTGACATGAATCCTTTCTTTCCTTTTGTTCTGCCTTTCATTGAGTGGAAGCACTCAAACGCTACCATGACGTTATCTGTAATTAGTCTCCCAGGGACAAAAGCACTCTGAAACTCATTAATCACTTTGGTAAGAACTTGTTTCAGTCGATTAGCCAGAACCTTTGATAGGATCTTGTAAAGAACCCTGCATAGGCTAATAGGTCTATAATCCCCTGGACATTCTGGCCCTTTTTTCTTGGGTATTAGAATTAGCAGAGTATGGTTGAGGGTCTGAGGGAACATGCCTGTGCTTAGGTAATTCTGAAGTTCATTTGTAACATCTGGTCCCACAATATCCCAGTTCTTCTGGAAAAAGAGAGCTGACATTCCATCCACCCCTGGAGCCTTGTGAGGTCCCATTTTCTTTAGGGCTGTCCAGATTTCCTCATTTGTGAAAGGTTTTAAAAGTTCCTCATTCATTTCTGTAGTGACCTTGCATGGGACTGCTTCCAAAATTTGACTTACAGAAACTCGTTCACCTGCAGTGAAAACAGATTTAAAGTGGTTAGTTAAAATATTAGTCACAGCACTGTGACCCTCCCTTATTACTCCTGTTTCATCCAAAAGCTTCTTTATAGTGTTTCTGTTCCTTCTGTCAGACGCTTTCCTGTGAAAAAAGCCTGTGTTTTTATCCCCTCCTTGAAGCCAATCTGCTCTGGAGCGTTGTTTCCATATCAACTCCTCCTGCATCAAGATCTCATTAATCTCCTTCTCAATAGCCTTTCGCTGGAGGATTATTGCTGCATTCTTTTTCCTTTTGTCCAGTAGTTCTAACGCCCTTTCTGCCTTGTTCTTTCTGGTTCGAAGGTCGCCAAAAGTTTCCTTACTCCACTGTAGAAGTTTATGTTCGCAATTGGCCATCTTATCTATGGCAGAAGCCCCCTGCTCTTCCGACCATCCCTCAGAGATAACTTGTTTGCAGCCCTCGTGTTTTTGCTAAAATGGCTCAAAACGAAAATTCCAGCCCCATTTAATGTTGTTATGAACCAGCTGCGTTTGCAGTAGAATTGGAGAATGGTCTGAACCACACCTTTTTAGATTGTACACTCTGGCGTTTGGGTAAATAGTTTGCCAAGAGCTTGTTGCTACCATTCTGTCCAACCTTTCTTCTAAGTAGGTGTCATCAGAGTGGTTATTATCCCACGTGAAAGTTTTTCCATAATAGCCAAGATCCTCCAAATCACAGTCTTCTAGGGCATCGTTGAACATATCCATCTCATGAACATTTGCTAGATTAAGACCATTTTTCTCCTCATAGCTCTGTATCAAATTGAAGTCACCACATACTAACCAAGGTAGGTCTGTCATGTCTCTGAGTTCCCGAAGTAATTCACAGGTTTTGAATTTGTTTTCTTGCTCTGGCCACCCATATATCCCTGTCAGCCTCCATTGTGTACCTCCATCATCTACTAGCACATCTATATGATTTGTGGATTTTGTCTTGACCACCACTTTAACATCTGATTGCCATACCATTAATAATCCTCCTGCCCTTCCTATCGATCCCACTCCCCTTCCCATCTCCCAGCCCAGATCTTTCATTGCTGCCTCCCATTCTTTTTCTTTCTTCTTTGTTTCCATGAGGAAGGCTATTTTGGGGTTTTGACGCTGGAGCAACTGCCCCACTTTCCTAATTGCCAGGGGATTCCCCAACCCCCGGCAATTATAGCTCAAGACATTCATTGAGCTGGGCGGCCCTGCTGCTTTGCAGGGTCCGCCACTTCGCCATCCAATAGGTTGTTATAGAACTCAAGTTTCTGTTTCTTGCTAGGGGAGTCTTCAGTGATGGTGTCATCTCCTGTAGGTCCTCGTTTTTGAGGAGTTAACTGCATAACTGGTAGTTGTTGTTTTAATGCCATGTCTCCCTTATTCTGTCTTTTCCATTGGCTCACCTTCTTCCCCTGTGTTTCTTGTGTCGGAATGTAACCAGGACTAAAGGTGAGGTTCTCAGCCCCTGAAAGAGTTTTCACTACATGGATCTCAGTTGGAGTGGCCCTTCCTTCTGTAGATATACTGCTCCTTTCACTAGAGGTAAGCTCTGTCTGTTTTTTTTCCTGTATTGTTTGCCCGGGTTCCTCTACCACCCCTGTCCTCCCATTTTTCTCCTGATCATAATTCGACTGTCTCTTCTGTTGTTCTTTTTCTATTTCCTCTTCCGCCTTCCTGAGTAGTAGGCGTCTTTGAATAGCATCTATGCTGTCATCTTTCATATTCCTTCTCTGCTCAGTTTCTTGAACCATCATTCTGTCTGTGATTGCTTCCCTATCGAATTTTGCTCTGAGGGCCTGCCACAGCTCCCCTGATTCTTCTCTTTCTAACTTGCTTTGCCACGGCTTGATTTTAGCAGCATTTACCCTCAGCTCTGGACCAACACGATCCTTTCCATCTGACGATGGGTTAGGGCAGTTTAATTTAGGGTGCCCTACCAAGCCACAGGAGAAACAAAACATAGGGAGCCTTTCATATTTCACTTCATATGTGTGTATTTTGCCTTTGAGATTAAGTTTCAGCTCATGCTTCAGGGGGATTCTGATGTCTATCCCCACCCTGATTCTCAAGATGTCATTCCAAGCATTCTCTCTTCTGCTATCAGTCCATATCATTGTACCAAACCTTGCTCCGATTTTTTGGATCATCTCTTTTGTTCTTGGAGCCGCTGGTAGATTGTAGATTTGAATCCATATTTCCATAGTATAGAAGTCCTCTGGCCTTGGCTGTTGAAATGCATCTGCTTGTTTGAAGATGATTAAGCTATTGTCAAAATGCCATGGCCCTCCTAGTAGCACTCGGTCACGATCACCTTTGTTCATAAACTGGAAACCAATGAGATAGTCCCCTACTTCTGAGATCTGAAAATTTTGTTGCAGATTCCAGGCTTTTGACAGCGCTATTTTCATTGATTTCAGATTGGGTTTCTTGGAGGACACGACTCTGCCAACAAGCCCTAACAGGCTCATAGCTTGGACCATAGCTGTATCTATGTCTTCGTCTTCTACCACCAGAGCATCATCATCCGCCAGTTTGATCATCTCGATTTGCGATTGGATACTCCGCTCTATAGCTTCTCTAGTTTGTGTCTCCGTCAGGTCATCCGTTGGGGTAGCGCTTTGTCCGTCCTTATTACAGTGGGGAGTGCCTTGCTCCATAGTGAAAACACTCTACCGGACCCCTACCAGAGATATAGAAACAAGAAAAGATCGCTCCCTTACCCACAATCGCTTGAGGCAGATTAGGGTTTCTAAACCAAAGCGAGACCCCAATAGTCCAAGATAGAGACTAAAGGGAAACTCTCTCTCAGGATTTGATATTGCAGGAGGCAAATACCAAATCAACAATAACTAATTAGACCAGCTTAGGGGAATTGCTTTCTGAAACCTTTAATGGATACTACCGCCGTCAACCCTAGAGGTTGAAAACCTAACAGGAACACCGGAACCCTAGCTCCGAGACTCTCGCTAGACGAGAGAAAAATCGTAGGTGTTTGCAACTTTTTTGTTAGATGAGAGAGAGGGAGTTAGGTTAGGTGGCTGGCGGAGAGAAAGTAAAGAGGATAAGAAATAAAAAAATAAACTGTAAATAAAAATATTAACAAATGAATAAAATAATAATAACTTTTCTCGGTATATTCATTTATTATTTGGTGTATTCCGATACATCCGGTATTACTCCGAGACGATACTCTAATTTTGGTGGCACGGTTTTTTGACAAAAAATATATTTTATTATTACAAAAACGGTATTTACCGGTACAAAACGGTTGAATCACGGTCGTACCACAAAATACCCTACCAGAAAGAAATCCGGTATGATGTCCGGTACGGTTTCCTTTACCATGGTTAAAACCCTAACGAGAAGACTCAAGTACGACCAAGTATCCGTACCTACTACCAATCTGACAATACCCAACAAGCTCAATAGTAACACGGTTTAAGTAACCGCAACACTACATTCCATTTTTTTTTAGTTTCGATGGAAAACGATACTTCATTGTAAGTTGTAACGATGTTGAAAACCCTAAATCGTTTTTTTCTTTCTTTCCGGAGAGTAATGTGGATAGCGACTCACCTTGTTTTGATAAGGGGTGAATGAGTGAACAATTGAACTATTAGCAGTTTAGTGTTGTACTTTATCGAGGACACCGTCACTAGATGCTTATTGCAACTACCTCTCTGCAACAATTTTGAAAAGCCGTAAACAATTTTTTGGGAAAAGAGGGCTGCTATACTCCGACCAACAGCTGTTCGGCGTAGGCAACGCCGGCAGCGACGCTCTGGCGAAGCTTTACAGCGGAATCCCGCGAGGTTCGGGGAGGATTTTGCGACGTCGATGGTCATGATGGGGAATATGGGGCCGCTTACTAGAACTAATGGCGAGATAAGAACGGATTGCCGCAAGATTAGTTAGTTTTAATTAGGTGTTAGTATGTTTTGTTGACTTGTCAACGGTTCGTGTTCTTTTAATTTATCAACAAAATCAAGTAAAAAAATTCTATAAAAAAAATCAAGTGATTAAATTAGGTTGTTGAGTTAAATGGGCTTTACATGAATCGAGCCGACGAGCATCATCCGTCCATTTAATTCATGTCTAAACTCTTCATCTCGCACCAGATAGTGGTAGGCTGGTATGCGTAGCACCATAAGTCCATAACAAACTGCCAAATCTGTGTCGTTTTGAGAATACGAGAAAAAATCTATAGATTGTCAACAATCTACAGATTTTAACTCTTTTTTTTTTTTTTGTAATAAACGGGTGCAAACTCTTTGTATTGTTGAAAACAAAATTTAAAATATTTAAGTAGTAGGAGGCACACACGACTTCAAGAAGGATCAAGATTGTGTTATTCAATGACGAAGGATACAGATGGGAATATTCGAAGGGAATGATCAGAGAATGTAACGGGATAAAGAGGGCAAATCAGAAGATCATAAATGTGTTAGTGAGAGAAAGCTAGCAGGAGGGAAAGATCCCTTTTCAGAGTAAATACCATATATATAGCCTACTTGGGCTAGGCGAGTCTTTCGATGCGATGGGACTGGTGAGTTAGAGCCTACTTTGCTGGTTCCTGAGGAAAGCTTGTAAGACGAGAGAGCACCGTCTTTCGTGGTTTTATGGTACACGCGTATGCGTACGAGTAAGCGCGATACTGGCGTTAGGCTTTGCTTGATTGAGTAGTACTTCCCATAACAATTTTCCCCCCAGTAGGAGGTAATCTTTGGTTTCCTGCTGCGCTCGGTTTCTTTTGCGCACTTACTATTCGTGCGTGTTGTGGAGAGCTGAACCCCAATTCTGTTTTTCTGACCTCCGAAGTTCAGTTGTTATGTATGTCTTGCGCGCCGCGGAGGTTTTTTGCCCCACAGTATGTTCGTTAAAGCGCGGTAGTAGGTTGCCCCTAGTCATAGCCGCGGTGGAAAGCAGGGTTTGGAATTTTGCTCTTGCCGAAATCCGAGAGATGACGTGGCTCGTTGAGGGCCCCTCATTTAGGCAGTGGTTTCGAATTTCAAAAAGCCATGATGTGACGGCTGGCTTCGGCTTCGAGGAGTTGCACGTCGATTGACCTGTCTTGCGTTGTTGATGTATAGAAGGAGTGGTTGGGTGTGGGTGTACTCAACTTCCTCCTCCTTTGTTATACTGTTCTCCTAAAATCTCTCGTCGTGTTTGTTGCCTCGTTTTCGCCTTCGATCATAGTCGTCGACGCTGTTCGTTGGTGTTGCCATGAAGATGTCTGCCGAGAAGATCATCGCCCAGGATATGATCGACATCGACAACGAAAGTAACAATCCCTCTGGCTCTCTCGTAGATTCTAGGGATTTAGAAGTTAGGGCTTCTTTAGATGGGTCGTTGCTATCGACGCCAAGTTTTGATTTCGGCGGTGGTAGTGAATTTCTTCGGAGTTCATTTGACGGGATGACCTGCCAGAATGACAGTAAGGAGAATTTGAAGGAAGCTTGCTCTGTTGCCGGTGTAGTTCAGCGTGCTGGGAAAGATGTGTTGGTTGAGGATGATGATGAGCTCGAGGTAGACGAAGATCAGGACGCCCGAGAAGAAGGTATTGATACAGATAGCTCTCTGGCACTGCCGAAGCCCGCCCTGGAAGCAGCCTTTGCGGCCGCGCGAGTCACCAAGGCGGTTGCGCGTCTCGGTTTGAACTCAGTTGGGCTCTTGAGCGGGCTTCATCATGTGGTTTATGTTGAGCTGCAGAGAGGTTCTGGAGTATATCTGCGGTCTCGGCCTGCCTCCCCATTCGAAGTACACTGTTCCCTCAAAATTCAGTCGCGTTGGGAATTGTCTCGTAAGATTGCATGGTGTATACAGGGAGTATTGGCGCATGGGCTTTAAGTTCCCTCTTGAGCCATTGCTTTGCAGGCTTTACAGCCTTGTGAAGTGTTCACTTGGGCGGTTTTCCCCCTCCATTATATTCCATACCTGCGCACTATGAGGGATGTGCAAACGGCAAAATTTACAACCGTCGTATGGTCTGTTCCACCATATATATAAACTGAAGGTCCCGCGGTTGACCAACTCAAAGAGAGGGAATGAGCTTTCCATTAAGAGGCACGATAATCAACCTTTCATTTATGTCTATGGTTCCCCAAAACTAGAAAATAACTGGTTTGAAAAGTTCTTTTACTTCAAGCCAGCGCCCAAGGAGTTTACGGCCCTGCCTGTGGAATTCTCTGCTTCGTGGTCCAACGGGAATGTGAAAGAATATAAGTTGACACTCGACACCTATCCGCGGCTTGAGAATCATTATGAGTTGCTGCTGACTGAGTGTGTGGATCTCTATCAGAAGGGATCGCGCGAAGCAGTTCTTTCAGAACGTTTTGTTGACGATTAGTGTTTTTCCTCTCTTTTACTTTACTTCCTTTTGTATTAAACGGATTCTTACACCCCTGCTTTGCAACAGTGGGCTATAATTCGGGGGTGTCGATGATGACTGTGGTTGACGTTCCCGCTCCGGCATGGGTGGGAAGAGGAAGAATGTGGGAGCGGAAGGGAACCCGAAGCCTGCTAAGGTAGTGCGAATGGAGCCGCGTGCCGAACCTGTCTCAAAGAAACCTCCGAGAGTGGACAAGGGAGGTAGCGGAAGCTCCAGTTCTGCGCCGTATCAGCAGACTCTACCCGACATGGGGGTGTTCCAAGATATCCTTGCGACCCACTATCGAGATGTGAGGTTGCCTATCGCGGCCGCTCAAACTCTGCCTTCCGCCCAGTTGCGTGACACATAAAACAAAAAACAAAACATAATTTTCTACAAAATCAATGAATTAAGTGAATCCACGGCCTAAATTATGCTATCCAAATGACCCTTAAGGCTATTTTGGTAACGACAACTCATCCTTTCGGTCATGTCAAACCTCCCTCCTTCATTTCCTTCCAAATCAATTACCCTTCTCCATCGCGATAAGCTGAAAAATTATCCTCTCCGGCTTCAGTGCCACCAATTGCATTCGAAACCTTTAATTCTATCGCATTTTTGCATCCTTTTTGTTTCTCTCTAATTCTAGACGAAAGAAAACCTACGACTGTCACGACCTAAAACGTTGCTCCATCGACGATGATGCTCCTACGCGCCAGTGACATCCTCCTCTGTCGAACTCCTAATCCTCTCTAGTTCCTGAAATTTCTTGAAATGGAACCGTTCGAATTCCATGCAGTTTCTCGTTATTGTTGCTCGAGTTTCCTGCTCACATTTGTGTAGTTTTTGGTATGAAGTGTGATATTTCTAGTGTTGTTTTGAGTTTCTGGTGTGGTTTCACATACTTATTTTATAATTGCGAAATGAATTCAATACGAGAGAAGAGGAGAAAATAACAATGTTCGACAGTTGCAAACGTTCACATGAGTTGAACCAAGCAGTCAACAAAAAACCCCAGGACAAACAAGAAGAAGTACAATGTCTACACCAGGAGACTTTTCGTTTGCATTGTGATTAACGTGTGGTGTGATATATAGCATTTTTGGTTCGCTTTGTTGGGTGTCTGGTGAGACTTCTCATTTTTCTTGTCTCCTTCATAAGAGTTGTGGCGTGGTTTACCATATTTTGTCAGCTTTTTCCATTTTCTATCTATTTTACGAGTGTGGGGTGTGGTTTGTCGCGTTTCTGGTCTGATATGAGTTTTCCGGTCTGCTTCATTAGGCTTCTTGTTAGTTTATGAGTTTTCTGGTATGATTCTAGAAAATTGTGGTTAACTTTGGGCTTTTTGGTATGCTTCAAAAAATTTGTATTATTGTGAGTTATATGGTCTACTTTATGAAACTTGTGATAAACTTTATGGTCTATTTTATGAGTTTTGTGGTGTGAGCTTTGTATTATTTGTGATATTTTTATGAGTGAAGATGGGCAGGGGCAAAAAAGAGAGGATCCACACTGGATTGAGATCCCACTAGTTCACCGACATAAGCCTGTTTTTGGAAAAGGCAAAGAAATTAGCCACCCTCCACGCCGAACCTTTCACCCACCCACCCCCCCCCCCCCCCCCCCGCCTTCTCTCAGAAAACCTTTCCTCCGTCTTCTCCCAAACAATACCCTTCCACCGTCTTCGATTGGTCCTCCCCCAAAAACCCTTTTCCTCCATCTTCTCCCAAAGACTCCCTTCCACCGTCTTCGATCATTTTTTGGCGGCGGGTCTTGAGTGTGAAGACTTTGTTGTTTGGGGCAGAGGTAGTTCAGATACAACCTCAACTTTTGTAGGGGTTTGTCGGTTCGTCTCCGTTGATTGTTTTTTATCCGATTCGTCGGTACTTTCGCCCATCCCCACTTCGTTTTTTTATATGAAATTCTGGTTTGCTAACCTAGTTGTTTATCTCCTTCTTGTTAAGTGCATAGACGAACCTCCTTCCGTCGTTGTTCCTTTCTGTGCCCGTGAAGACAATTGGTGGTGAGGTTTCTTTACATTACTGGTTTTTGTTTTTCGGCTGCTAGGTTGGAATAAGCCTTATGAAGGCCTGTGTTTTTTGTTTGACGTGATTGTTTGGTGTTGATATGATCAACTGGTAGTCTTAAGAATCGTACCAGTGGTAGTGGTACTTGTCGTAGTGGTACCAACAACTTTGATTGGTACCAATAACATTTTTCCTTGTTAGTAGTAGTATTTTACCAGTACTCTTCTACATTGCTAGTAGTAGTTAAGAATCGTACCAGTGGTTGTGGTAGTTGTGGTACTGGTACCCATAGCTTTGACTGGTACCAGTAACATTCTTGATTGTTAGTAGTAGTATTGTATCAGTAACATTCTACATTGCTAGTAGTACTTAAGAATTGTACCAGTGGTAGTTGTGGGACTGATACCCATAGCTTTGTTTGGTACCAGTAACATTGTTTCTTGTTAGTGGTATTATTGTATCAGTAACATTTGACATTGCTGGTTATGTTTCTCGGCAGGTAGCAGTCCGCTTGAGGGCTCTGGTGATCTGGTGTTGGGCCTAATAGCAAATGGCCACTCGATGAGGTAACAAAGAGTCTCATCAAAAAGAAGAAGCAACAGACTGTACAACCAAATCCAATCTCTTTGTAGAAGAAGTGCAATCTGACTTCAATCATCGAGATTGTGGAGGCTGGTATTTCATATGAGAGGAAGGCGCTTATCAAGAAGCTCGGGCTAGGTTCTGTGCTCGATTTGAAGATGAAATGGTTTGATATCACATTGTTGTGTTGGATTACTATACTATTCGATGAGGAGACGAAGTCGATAACTATGGAGGATGAGGGACATCTAACCTTTACTATGGACAATGTCGAAATTTATGGAGGATGGGGGGCAACTCACTTTTACTAGTTTTTTGGGTGTTAGTCTTTAATTTGATCTTGGACAAAGTATTGTTGCTTACATCGGCACAATTTGATTGTGAAAATTCAGTACCTTCTCCCAAGTTAATTTAACTACATACTTGGGCACTTGTGGGTTTTGAGATAACTCTTCAATGGTACCTTTTTAGCTGTACGGGTACCAAAGCAATGTCACTGGTACCAATTAAAAGTTACTGGTACCAAAATAATGATACTCGTACCAAAGCAATGTTACTGGTACCAAAATCATGACACTGGTAGCATTAGTAAGACCGGTACCAAATCAGGGCTACTGGTAGCATTAGTAAGACCGACACCAAAACAGTGCTGCTGGTAGCATTAGTATGACCGATTCCCAATCATTGGTACTAGTATCCATTACTAATTCACAATAGTAAGCCGCTCTTGAAATTAATTCTACTAGTTCAACCAGTGAAGGTGTATTTGTATTATGTGCTCTAAGTAACATTAATTTGGTTAATAGTACCATGATTTTGGTACCGGTAACATTGGTTTGGTACCAGTAACATTTGATTGGTACCAAAATCATGCTACTAGTAACCATTACTCAGTCTAATACCAAAACAGATGAATTAGCAAATCGAACAATTGCAGTAGTGATTCCACGTTGAACTGTCGGATGAAACGATGGATGAGAACAAACCTCTATTTAAAGAACAAATGCATTAGCAAATCAAACAATTTAACCTCCGACCAATATCCCGGTACCACTAGGGAAGTACCACTAACTACAACTAAATGACTACCACTAAGGGACTACCACTAGATGACTACGTTACTACCACTAAAAATGTACCAGTAGATGACTACCACTAGGAGCCTACCACTACAATAACACTACCACTAGCTAACTTGAACCAAAACTACTTGTACATTTTCACAAAACATTATTTGTACCAGTAGTAAAACGGTACAACTGCAACAGAAGTCGTAACGACACAGGTAAACCCTAGTGCCATTGTTGTCGTCCACGGTGTCGTCGATATCAACGCCATTTTCTGTGTTTTTGTACCGTTCAGGATGATCTTCGTTCACCGTCTCTTCCACGTCCAGAACTTCGTCAACGTCCACCATGCACACATCATCGCCATTCTCTGTTGGGTCCGTCTGCGCAGCTACACAATCGTATATATACTCGTCGTTGATTGTCAGTGGGACATTCAGGTCGAATCCAAATATACACGTAGGTTCAGCTCCCCTCACTCACTGTCATCGTCGTTGCTCATGTAGTCGTACATGACTATGGTGTCCATCGTGTTGCTCGTATTTTCCGTAGCTAGATAAGGGGTTAGTTTGCTGAGGGAGAAGCCAAAATTGGAAGAGAAAGAGTCCCAGTCCACATCGTCTTTTCCGCTCCCCAAATCACGTCCCCCAATCACGTTCCCAGATTCTCTCTATATATTTAAGTTTCAATTTACACTATATTTGAATACCTTCTTATAATTATGTACATGTATGATTTATAATAAAACAGCAGGTAACTAGAGATAAGAGATATTCCATGATGAATTTGTCAACGAACATTTACATTGAGTTGACCTTGGGATCAGCTAGTTCATCTAACCGCAGCCCTAAAATTATTGTTCATAAAGAAAAAATTAAATTAGCCTCGTGCAATCAGATTTGAGCTAGCCAACTGGCAATATGCTCCCTAAGATTACTTAATTGAAACAACATTAGGGTCAACTCATAAGTTTAGCCGGGAAGTGTGTTTGTCACAAAGTCAATACTTAAGCGCCATTGTCCATTGATACCCGACATAATAGTAGGTGCTGGATGTTGGTTTTTTCAAACCTGCATTTGAGATTATTAATTAGTACACCAAACACTATAGGTCAACCAAATTAAGGTTCTATAGGTGACTTCAGTTGTCTGTGAGGAATTTCATTTATCTTAATTCTAAACATGTTTTTATATTCCATACTCAACAAATTTACTATATTTCAGTACAAAATATGCATCTTCAATAACCATTAAACAATGCATCTTTAATTAATTTGTTTGTTTGTTGCACTTGCATGCCCCACAACTCACCAACTTATGACAATACTTTGATGAAGAGACAATAGTAATTATACAGACGACTCAAAACAACAATTTTTTTTTAAAAAAAGTTACAGACTCTAAATTGTTAATCAACTAAAAAGTCGATGCATATTTTTTTTTAGTTTTACAACTTTAAATAAACCATATTTAATTTTTAGTCATTATTGTACCCATTCTTAGTGATATTTTGCCTCATTCTTATGCATCAATTAGTTATTTTGGTGTTGACTTTTTTTTCGTTTTCATGTGTTTGATCTCCTCATGTAGTACTTTGGCGCTTTTGATGACATTTGGAGTTGGTTTTGGAGGATTTCATGTAGTGATTGCAATTTGAATTCTTTCCGTGGGTATTATCCGACCTGACTAGCGACGTGGCGGGTATTATCTGACTCGTAGTAGCGTGGGGCGGGCATGGGTATCTACTTCTGATCCGCCCTTTCCCGTTGTGACCTGCTCTTGACCCATTCTATCTCATTTTCTTACATTTTCTATACATATTTCTCCTCTTTTGACTTTTGTTCAACTAGATAGAGTCGATCTTTTAACTTGTTAGACTCAATTACCCATTCTAGTATCACTAGTTTTCATTCATAACATGTTTTCCCCTTCGATTTATCGTAAAAAGTAATATTTGCATGTATTTTATGTTAGCGGATTATACAGGGACATGTTCAGGCCTTCTTTTCTTTTATTTCCGTTACGTTTTGTGTAGCCCATTTATTGTGCCCATGAAGCCCATGCAGGGGCTGCTCGTGTACGTGGAGAGAGTAGCTCTAGGGTTTGTTTTGTGATCCCTTCTCCTTGTATATAGGCAGAATGAAGTCTGTGAGAGAGTTACAGAATACATACACAATAAGATCAGTAGCTCGAAGAGTTTTCACTCTTCCGTGGATTAGTCCTGGATTCTCCAGGGATACCACGTAAATCCGGTGTCTATTTCCTGCTTTCCTTTGCATTCTCGTTCAGTTCATCATCATCAAATCCGGATAATCAAACATGGTAACAGAGCTGTCTTCGTCAATGGATTCCGATAGACCTTCTGTTCGGCTCACCTCAACAAACTTCACACTCTAGGAATTTCAATTCCGTGTCTTCATTGAAGGACGCGGCCTCCTGAGCTTTCTCAATGGCACCTGTCCTCGTCCTCTGCCTACTACTGCGATTCAGGAACAAGCTCAATGGAATCAAAGCGATGCTCGCGTCCGCCACTGGTTGCTGGGATCTGTCGATCCGTCCACATGTCTGAGTCTCCTCCTATTTCCAATAGCTCACGCGATGTGGCAACACCTAGCTTCAACATATTCCACCGTCAATGTTGCACGACAGTTTTCGAGATTCAAATGGCCTTGGCTCAGCTGGAGCAAGGGGATCGATCGATCAGAGAATACTACAATGCCGCGAGGGAGCTGTGGACGGAACAAGACATCCTTACCACTGCGTTGCATCCTCAGCCCATCTCCGCCGATGCTGTCAAGGAGCGGCAACAGACTCGACTGCTCAATTTTCTCATGCGCTTGCGACCCGAGTTCGAAGCTGCTCGCTCCACACTGCTAAACAAGGACGATTTGCGATTCGAGGGTCTGCTCTCTCATTTGGTCCGCGAGGAAATAAGGATTCGCACTCAGGCAAATATAGATGGTCGCCCTGGTGATGGAGAAACGGCGCTGGCTTTAGCGAGTCAAGAATTGGCCTATTCGGTAAATCGTCCCTCATTCCATAACAAACCTATTTCTAATGAATATGAGTGTCATTTTTGTCATGAGAGAGGGCATCCTAAGAAGCATTGTCGGCAGTGGAATGTTTGTGTTTATTGTAAAAGAGCTGGGCATATAATCCTTGAATGCCGAACTCGGCAAAGGAATGAGGCTAGAGATGCCGGGGGCAGTTTTGATTCTGTCTCACGATCTGAACGTGCAACTGGTGGCCCATTTGGGAGGCCCTACAATCATCGATCAGCTTGCCCGCCACCTGGAGATCGTACCGCCTACGTGACAGCGCTTGCTCCTGGAAATCAATAGCTCGATATCGGCAGCAGTAGTGGAGGGAGTCTCTCAGCAGCTCACGTTGAAAATATGATAAATGCTACTTTGCAAAGGTCATTACCTACGGCCATTAGTGATGCCTTTGCTACACTGAATAACTCAGGTAACACTTCTCCCTGGTTGATCGACTCTGCATGCTTTAATCATATGACGAATGCATCGTGTAACTTGAGTAATGTTATTCCTGTAAAAGACATGTCATTGAGTGTGGCAAATGGTGGTAAACTAAATGTTCAAGGAATAGGATTGATGCATAAACAGAACTTGACTTTGCCCAATACTTTACACGATCCTGGTTTAGTTCCAAATTTGGTGTCAGTTGGACAACTTACTGAACAGTGTTGCTCGGTTTTGTTTGCACCGTCGGGATGTGTTATACAGGATTTGAAGACGGGGAGGCAGATCGGAAAAGGGAGTAAGCAGGGAAGAGTTTTTCACGTAGACGAGCTACGTGGGAGTTCAGTGTCATCTTCAGTTTTTAGGTCATATGTTAGTAGTCCTTCTTTGAATTCTTTGTCATTGTCAAAACTGATTTCCTGTGATTCGGCTGGGTATGTTTCTTTTTCAACATTGTCAAATAATGCCTGGGATCTTTGGCACTATAGATTAGGTCATCCTCATTCTGGTCGTCTTGAAATGATGTTTCGACAATCTTTACTTGGCAAAAATCGTGTTAATCTTTCTGCTCCTCATTCCTACACTAGTTGTGTTGAAGCTAAAACGATTAATATTTCTTATCCCTCGAGTACGACAGTAATCACTGATCCGTTTGACATCATTCATACTGATCTCTGGGGACCATCTCCTACCATCTCTCGTTGTGGCTATCGTTATTTCGCTCTTTTTATTGACCATGCCACTAGATTTACTTGGGTTTACTTTTTTCGCCTAAAATCAGAACTCAAATCTGTCGCTACTGATTTCTTGAAAATGATTCAAACTCAGTTCGATCATCCAGTCAAAATTATTCGTTCTGACCCTGGTGGTGAATTCAGTTCAGCTCCGTTGTATGAAGTTTATCGGTCTCTTGGTGTTCTGACTCATCAGTCCTGTCCCGGTATTTCTCAGCAAAATGGTTTAGTACAAAGGAAAAACCCCATGTTATGGATTTAACTCGTGCCCTTCTGTAAGCGTCTCTTGTTCCTGGTCGTTTCTGGCCTGAAGCAGTTGCCACTGTTGTTCGTCTCATAAGTTACCAAATTACTCCTATTCTACGAAACACAAGTCCCTTTTTTTGCTCTCTACTCCCGTCATCCTGATTACACAAGTCCCTTTGTTCTTCTTCCAAAGCGCGAACGTACGAAACTCACATAAAAAACTGCTCGGTGTGTTTTTTTGGGATATAGTGACGTAAACAAAGGATACTTGTGTTATGATCCTCTTGTTCAGCGTGTCTGAATCGCCAGTACTATCATCTTTTTTGAAAATATCATGTTCCATTCCTCTGAGTCTTCTTCGGGTGACTTTTTTCCTGCCAATCTTCCTCCTCCCACGTTTGCCGACGAAGTGGATGAAGAATTTTTCCCTGCTGTGGATCCACCCAATCCTCCCTCTCCGGATCTGTCTCCCGACACGTCAACTGCTTCCTCGCCTCCAACCACTGCTTTGTCCACTTCATCAATTGCTGCCTCGCCCAGCTCACATACCACCACCGACACCAGTTCATCTTCGACACCTGCTGCCTCGCCCAGCTTGCATACCACCGTCAACACAAGCCCATCCTCCAGAGCCCCAAATTCGCCTCTTCATGATACCCAGCCAGCTCCCCGTCGTTCAGAACGGTTCACCAAAGGGGTTCCTCCACCAAAATTTAATGACTACCTAGAATATGGCGTGGACTCTATAGCTGTTCCGACTCATTACCGTCAAGCCAAGGGCCATCCTTTGTGGGAAGCAGCTATGCGTCGAGAATTAGAGGCTCTTCATGCGAATAATACGTGGACTCTAGTTCCTCGTCCACCTTCCTCTACTTCGGTTGTCGGTTGTCGTTGGGTCTACACTGTCAAAACGAAACCAGATGGTACGGTGAATCAGTATAAGGCACGACTAGTTGCTCAGGGATTTACTCAGGAATATGGCATAGACTGCAGTGAGACGTTCGCACCGGTTGCTAAGGTGGCAACGGTTCGTACTTTATTGTCAGTTGCTTCTCTTCGTCAGTGGCCCTTGTATCAGATGGACGTCAAAAATTCTTTTTTTCACAGCGACTTAGATGAAGTGATTTACATGGAGCCACCTCCCGGATATCCTCTTGCTTCTCCTGATCAGATTTGTCGACTTAATCGATCCTTGTATGGTCTCAAACAGGCACCTCGTGCTTGGTTTGATAAATTTCATACCACTATCTCCAACTTGGGTTTTCAACAGAGTCGCAACGACCCATCATTGTTTACTCGCACTACTGCAGCTGGTGCTGTTGCTCTTCTCTTATACGTCGATGATATGGCGATCACGGGGTCTGATCATGACGGTATTCAACGTCTCAAAGAAGGTCTCAATGCTTCTTTTAATCTAAAAGATCTGGGTGAGTTATCATATTTTTTAGGCCTGGAGGTTAATCGTGACTCTCGTGGAATTTTGCTATGTCAGCATAAGTATATCCCCGACTTGATGGATGATCATCAATTCATAGACTGCAGGCCGGTTTCTACACCTATGGAGCTCAATCTACGTCTTGGACGTGATTCAGGCATGTTATTACCCGACAATAAGGTTTATAGGAGTATTGTTGGGAGTCTTATTTATCTATCAGCTACCAGACCTGACATTTCCTATGCAGTCCAAGTTGTAAGTCAGTTTATGGATGCTCCTCGCTCTGATCATTTGGCAGCAGTTCATCGGATTTTGCGTTATCTGCAAGGAACATGTAATGTCGGTATCTTCTTCCCTTCGACTGGTGATCTTTGTCTTCAGGCCTTCTCGGATTCCGACTTTGCTGGATGTGTCGATTCGCGGTGATCTACCTCTGGTTGGTGTGTACAGTTTGGTATATCCTTTTTGTAAGAAGCATGATAAAGTTTCTAAGTCATCTATAGAGGCTAAGTATCGCTCCATGTCCGAGGTTTATTCTGAGCTCATATGGTTACAACGTCTTCTCCAAGATTTTGATGTGGCGTGCTCTCCCTCTTAATCTCTTTGTGGAAAACACTAGTGCCATCCGTATCGCGGTTAATCCTGTGATTCATGATCGTACCAAGCATATCGAGATACATGTGCACTATGTTTGAGATTTGGTTAATGCTGGGACTGTCTCTCTTCATCATATTCGAACTGAGGATCAGGTTGCGGATATTTTTACGAAGTCATTCACCACTAGCCGTCACTGGTACCTGTCGAGCAAATTGATGCTTTTCGACCAGCATCAATTTGGGGGGAGGCTGTTAGCGGATTATACAGGCCCATGTTTAGGCCTTCTTTTCTTTTATTTCCATTACGTTTTGTGTAGCCCATTTATTGTGCCCATGAAGCTCATGCAGGGGCTGCTCGTGTACGTGGAGAGAGTAGCTCTAGGGTTTATTTTGTGATCCCTTCTCGTTGTATATAGGCAGAATGAAGGCTGTGAGAGAGTTACAGAATACATACACAATAAGATCAGTATCTCGAAGAGTTTTCACTCTTCCGTGGATTAGTCCTGGATTCTCCAGGGATACCACGTAAATCCTGTGTCTATTTCATGCTTTCCTTTGCATTCTCGTTCAGTTCATCATCATCAAATCAGGATAATCAAACATTTTATTTAAATAGTATATAATTGGGGGTTGACCCGATCTGCCACATACCCGCACAGGATTTACCCACGTCAACCCACAATTAAGTGAGGCGGGACATGAGTATTGAGGTACCCACCCCACTCCGAGCCATTGCCATCACTAATTTCCCGTTATGGAATTGAAAAGGGCCAGAATATGAGTGTGTGGTTCGGGTGATCTATTTAGCCGACAATTCAAAAGTAATGACAAACTATATGAAAAATGAAAGTGATGAAAACATAAGTTAATTAACTAACGTGCATATAAGTATTCTTCGTGTTAAATTTGGAAGGTTGTTGTTTGAAGTAAAAACTCGATTTGTGGTCTGTGGATATCAAAGTTGACATTTAGCTTTTATGGGCTAAAATTTATCCTGTTAGCTCAAAGGGCAGACTAGAAACACGGGAAATCACATTACAAAATTCATGGGAGTGGATAGCGTGACAATCCTTAAGGGGTTGTCAATCTCGCTTCCCTCCTCGTTGTCGTTCATTTCCCTTTTTCATCCAACGACCTGGATTACAGGAAGGGCTTTTTAGTAAGCACCTAATTCTAGTAATTTAAATTAAACTTACATCTTCTTAAATCGTCCAAATAAACTAATAAATAATAACATATCGGTGATTGGTCCAATTTTTCAGATGATGGTTAGTTTCAAAATTTGAACTAAAAAATGGTAAATATTTTGTCCCCTCCCTTCAAATGATTTAGAGAGAAAAGAGTTAGAACCAAAATCACTCTCTTTTAGGATTTACCTCAATAATACCAAAAAAGATAATTTTATATAAGACATAACATACACTTTACATCAGTGGGGTGGGGCCTGAAATTTCAACAAAGAGGCTAAAAATTTTACACTTATGGATTTGAACCATAGTTATTAAAGAGAATTAGGTAGAATCTTACCAACTAGTTTATTTTTCAATTTTGTTAAAAAATTTAAATGTACATACAGTTTGGTATAAATGAATTCCATAAGTTTTTAGGAATTCATTTTGAAATGAAATCTTTTTGTGTTTGGTATTTAAAAAAATTCATTTTCAATTCTAAATTTTGAATTCTACGGAATTGGAACTAGTTATAGCAATTCCGAGGAATTGAGATGGAATTTTCAAATGAATTCCACAAGTATTTACCAATTATGATAAAAGGACATAGTTATTGTCATTTATTAACAAAATTACTTCTACATATATTATTTGGCGCCAGTCAGGGGCGGACCCACCTTTGACCAAGCTGTGTCACCCGACACACCTTGGTTCAAAATTTTCGTGAAGAACCCACAAATTTTCGATGTAAAAAATACGAATATGAGACCTCCGACACACCTCTAATAATTGTAATCAACACACCTTATTACATTACAAATTTTTTTTTGTCATAATGTTATTAAAATATGCAAATAGAGGAGTTATCGGGCTTCAGATTAGGTACTTAATTAGTTGGTTGCACAAGAGTACACAATTAATTGACTACTTAGTACATAATGAGTATTTAGAAAGATAGCTATTACCTTAGAGACAACATCGATAATTTGAATGTGAATTAAATTTGATTAATAAGGTGGTTGAGTAAAATAATTAGATTGTGAATTCCAGGCTGTCTTTCTCCATAGCTTCTTCAATAGATTTTTCTTTAAGTTAATTTTCAACTTGCTTTCTAGTTTAGTTATTTCTTTCCATGTTGACTCATGTAGCCACCCTTCAATTATCGGCATCGAGTCAACGACATCCTCATGCTCATTAAAATTTCCACGTTGACACATGTGGCCACCCTTCGAGATTCTCATACCAAATTTCTCATCTTAAATTAGTATTGATTTTTACCTCTTGCAACTGCAAGCTACAATATGACATTTTCCATATATGAGTTTAATCAAGAACAATCTTTGGTATAAGTTGAGTGATCAGTTTATGAATAATTGTTTCATTTTGTACATTAAAAAAATTTGATTTGCAACCTAATGGACAAATGCAATTAAGAAATCTTTAAGAATATGAAAATCGTCGTGGTTCACTGTAAGAAATAATAAAATTGTTGAAATTTATGAATAAAATTTTTCTGTTAATTTTTAATTAATTAATTAATTCAGGTTAATTAATTTATTTTTATTTTTATTTTATTGGTCGACACACCTATCTCAAAATCCTGGATCCGCCACTGACTCATGAGGTCTCAGTCTTGACAACGGTAATCCGTACTATTTAGTTAGAATAATGAAAGATTAGTTAACCTGTCCAATTTCTCCCACCTGTAACCCAAAAGTCTTCTCCAGAATAGGTATTAATTATTGCACAAAACAACAATGTGGATGAAAAGTTGACGACCACCACGATCATGGCAAGGGTGTAATATATCTGTCTATGAAATTGTATCTATAGCACCTTATAAATAAACCCCAAACCAGTCTCGTGACAATCAATCATCAGTTCTCACACAACAATCAACACATTCAACCTTCTGATCCATACAATGGCTGCAACACTATCAGCTGCGCAAGCACTGGTGCTCTACTCCGTCGCAGCAGCGGCGGCGCTACTTCTTTCTCCGCCGGCGGTGGTTGCACAGCTCACCCCGAATCAGTGGCGGAGCCAGAAAATTGATCAAGGGGGTGCTTTTTTCATACCATTAAAAAATCGAATACATAAAACAAAAGTCAATTCTAATAAGTCAACAACTTAATACTCAAGATTTATACAATTACATAACGACTTAGACCATTTACAATGAATAACAAGGACATTTTATATTTTGAAACATTGTATAACACATTCCTTGTCCAAACCAACACAAAACTTTGTTTAATATAAGCCACCAACGCATCGTTCATCCATTTTCGAAGATCATTTTTTATATATTTCATGGATAAAAACGATCTCTCCTTATTGATATAACAACAGGTAGAATAAGTGTCAACTTGAGAAGCAAATAAATATATGAATATAATTTCTGCTTTTATGTTTCTACTATTTTTTGGCTAACTCATCAACTCATAGTGAGTTTTTGAAGTTGTTGTCAAATGATAAATAGAAAAAATATATATAATTCAACTGACTAAAATTTTCATAAGATTTGAAAGGACTTGTTGGGATGATATTTGTAAATTGATGATGTTTGTCATCATTAGATGTTATTGTGTGAGATGTATTTGAAAAAAAGTAATGTTTAGTTCAGTGCGTTCATATCAAAAGTTTTATCATAGAAGTGAAGTGACAAAGTTTATGGGCGAATAACCTTCATGCAGTGAGTTAACACATACTTTGTATATATTGGCAAGCAATTAAGAATGCATTATTTTGATGCAAAGAAAGAGACATACAATGAATAAGAGTGTTTCAAATCTCCCACCAGCCTACCAATTCTTTCTTTCGATAATTTTTTGCCCCTCCTCCAAGGTCAAGGGGGCTGCAGACACCCCCAGCTTGATGAGTGGCTCCGCCACTGCCCCGAACTTCTACGATAAAATCTGCCCGCTGGCCTTGCCCACCATCAGAAGGGTCGTGAGCCAGGCAGGCTATCAACGCCGAGCCACGGATGGGCGCGTCACTACAAAATAAAGAAGATTTGGGGACCAATATAAGGGACGGATCTTTTATCTTGTCTTAGAAAATAGATTTTTAAGTGTTATTAGGGACAAGCATATTAAAATTGTCTTCATAGAATAAGGAATGCAGTTTTATTAATTTCTAATTTAATTTAGTTGTCCCCAGAAAAAAAAAGTACCACGGAAATATTAAATTTAGGTGGTGGGTTTTGAAGACGCTGATTAATAGGGATTGTTTTTGTCCCCAAAAGTAGGAAAGGCGTGCGTATAGGAGTTCAAGTGATTATTTGGATTTTTTCCTTTTAAAATATTGAAGTTAATTTCTTTTGATTTTCAATTTTGTCATCAAAATTATGCGGAAGACTTAGTTAACCCTAATTTACTTATATTGTTGTTTAACGGATATTACGGTCTCTATATATTAAATTCCTTAATTAATAGTTATCATCTCAATCCTAGACCCAGCAGGGTTTCCATAAAAACAAACAAACAAACATCCTAGACCCTTATTTCATTCCCCTCCTTTCCCTTAGGGTTTCCATCGCCGCTGCAATATAGTATTCAATTTCACGCCGTCTCAATTCAGAATTCCACAGAGATGAGTTGCGGCAATGGTGGTCACCCAACCCGCTTCTTTCCCTTAGGCGTACAACCAGCTTCTGGCGAAGAGGATGCGGCGGGGTCATTGTACAAACCGAAGGGATCTCTTCTATGATCTAAAATCGCGATCAATCATTGCAGGGGTAGCTGCGTTTCTCCATTCTTGTTTATCGGGTAGATTTCTTCCACCGGATCTATCAATTGCACTCTGCACCAACCGCTAATCTTTCAACATGTAAGTCACCGGTTCCTAGATCATCACCCTTCATAATTAGTTTAAACATTTATTTACTTGATTATTTAGGTGACGATTCCTTTTCTTTTTGTTTTTTATGGGCTAATTATTACCTGATTAAGATGAATGGTTTTCTCTGTTTTGCAGGCGCGATCTAGTGCAAAGCTAGGTGCTTAAGAATTCTCGAAGGCATTTATGATTGATGGAACTCTTATTTATTTTATGTTTCAATTGGTACGATAGTAGTTTTTATGTATTTAATAGTTAACATTCACTTCTTCGCTTGCACTTTCAGGACTGCTTCGTCAATGTACGTTCTCTATTACTTCAGCTTGCTATATCGATCGATCTCCTTTATTCCTTGTCGCCAACTGTTATCGTGATCCTGAGATTGTGCAGGGATGCGACGGGTCAGTTCTTCTGGACGACACGACGACGTTCACCGGGGAGAAAACGGCGGTTCCCAACTTGAACTCGTTGAGAGGGTTTGATGTCGTCGATAAGATCAAGTCGGAAGTCGATAGAGTGTGCAAGAGGAGCGTGGTCTCGTGCGCTGACGTCTTGGCAGTTGCTGCTCGAGATTCCGTCTCCATTGTAAGCATCTTATCTTAATAACAACCATTGCTCTCACTACAATAAAAACTAGGATCGATGATATGCGTCTCTGCTATACCTTTTATCAAACATGCTTACTCTATCATATTCTTACTTCAAACATTACTCGATATATGTTAAAAAAAAATCATCAACCATGCTATTATGTTAAAAAAATCGTTGATCAAAACGTGATTCAGACGATCTAATAATGGTAAAAAAGGATGGTTTGCCTCTCCATTTATTTCACTAAGTATTATGAAAGTGAAATTATTAAGAGTATTGAGCTATACAAATGTAATGAAAAAAAAATGTTTAAAAGTTAAATTATCAAAGATATTTTTTATATTTGTGTCACCAAACCATGACTACAAGAAAGCTTGTTTATTAATTTTTATGAAGTACATGGTAATTTAATGTACATAGTAATAAAATGTTAGGTTTGATAAAACGGCATAGTACTTACACAGCGCCACAGCGGTCATTTTCTTTACGACCATGCTAATAATACTCGACGTGTGCATGTTAAGCTCGGAGGCTCAGGCTTCACGTACCAAGTTCTAGTCGGCAGAAGAGACGCGAGAACCGGCAGCAAAAACGCCGCAACCAACAGCCTCCCGCCGCCGTTCTTCAGCTTCAACCAGCTCCTCGCCAACTTCCGCTCCCACGGCCTCGGCCTCACCGACCTCGTGGCGCTCTCCGGGGCCCACACCATCGGGCTCGCCCGCTGCACCACATTCCGCAGCCGCATCTACAACGACACCAACATCCAGACCGACCTCGCCTCCTCTTTACAGCGGAGCTGCCCGCAGAGCGGCGGCGACAACAACCTGCAGCCGCTGGACGGAACTCCGGCGGGATTCGACACGCAGTACTTTGGGTCGCTGGTCAGGAACAAGGGGCTGCTGCACTCCGATCAGGAGCTGTTCGGCAGAGGCAATAGTGCTAGTGACGGGCTTGTGAGGTTGTATGGAGGGAATCCGGCGAGGTTCGCGGCGGATTTCGCGGCGTCGATGGTGAGGATGGGGAATATGAAGCCGCTTACGGGGAGTAATGGCGAGATCAGAAGCAACAGCCGCAAGATTAATTAACTAATCAAATTAAAGTTACATCAGGCATAATTATTAGTGTGTGTTGTTTTGGATTATCTACATCCGTGTTGTGGATTGGGTTTAAAATTAAGTGAATAAATTGGGTTGTTGAGTTAAGTGGGCTTTGGATGCATTGGGCCGACGAGCATAGAAGCAGACCGTTTAACTTATTCAAGCATATTCATTGTTCACGGGCTTATCATAAGCCAAATGAAAAGTCGAAAACCCGAAAGAAATGAGTATTTGGTTTGTCATTTGCCACGTGGCATTTAGAGTGGTTGGGCGAAAGAATTAAGCTATGTAATAGTGCATCTACGTTTTAAACGTTTGTGTGTGATCATTTTGTTATAGATCCAAATCTATATGATCATTTTGATTAATTACTCGTGCTTAGATTCCAATTAACAAAGTAATTTAGTAGAATTATGCATTTTGTATTTTTGTTTTACCATTTTAATGTGATGATACGTTTCGTTTTTCTTTTGTCGGAATGATCAATTAAAGGTCTTAGTACTAATACACGTAATCCTTGTAAATACTAAATACGACGTTGGCACCTTGCTATAGACATGAAGTATAATCCAAAGTTTCTGTTTTCCTTTGGCTTGCCACCTGCGGAGAATTCAAAGTTGGTGTGTTGGTCTTTCTCATGTAAGTTGTAACTTTGGTTCGTATTTGGTCAGTTACATTTGTAGTAAATTCACAACACATAAATTCACTTGGGGTGCGTTTGGATAGCTGAATTTGAAATATATGTATTTGAAATGTATGAATTTGAAATACTTATGATTTAAAATTCATTGTTTGGATAGATGTGTATTTCAAATACATGATTTCAAATACCAAAGATGTAAATTCTACCGTTTGGATATATAGTTGCAACTTTTAGGTATTTCAACTAATTATTTACTAGGAGAATGGCACCACTGACTACTGCACAATGAAAAATAACATGGTCAATAAAACAAAAAAAGAGACTACTAGAGCTACTGCTGAGAAGGTTAAAGCTTGGCTACATATAATCCTCCTTCCAAATTCTGAACATAGCTTGTGAGTAATAGATAGATCTAGACATGTCAATCATTCATCTACCAAAAAGGTGGGTCTTCAAAGTTTCAGACTCTACAAAGCAAAGGCAACTAAGGCTCGCCAAAAAAACACTCAACAAAGATTCTTCTATCTTCCTTTGGAATTTCCAGCAGCAACTTGAACTGCTCAGAATCACCAGATCGGTACTTCATCACGGCTTTGGCAACCTCCAAATGCGTCAACCCCGGTATCTCGCATATCACATCATATAATCTCTTTCCCTGTATATCTGGGTTCTTCTTCCTTCTTCTTACTTTGCAAGTAGCTACTTAATGAGTTAGCTACCATATACAATGCATCCCCAACTTGACTGTCCTTCTTAGCTCTCTTTCGCGATTCTGAACTGACTTCGCCAATAGACTTCTTCCCTTGAGATTTTGAGCCATGTGCACTTGAGTTGCCAAAATTAGACGCTGATCCGACGTCCTCCATGTCATCTTCATCAGCCATGGATGCATTAGCCTCTGAATAATGCTCTGCCCCATCTCCCACAGCTCTATCTTTTGCACACAACAATACTAGATAATCCCAATTCTCGATATATGTGTTCGCATAAGAACGTGCATTAGGGTGATCATACAAAAACAAAAGCAACCTCAAATACATTATCGTTAACCCCACATAAGCTTGCAGGAGAAAAATAACAGTGAAAGCATCTTCTGTTATCATTTCGGATTGGTAAGGTAAATAAGCCATCTGAACATGTCCATGCAACTATCCAGATCATTACCTAAATCTACAACTAAATCAGATAGCCCCCTGGATATAGATCTTGCAATTTCATTTAAATCAGAACAACCATAATCGCAAAGAAAGTGCAATCCATAATCAGAACAACCATAATCTACAACAACTCGGATATAGATCTTGCAAAGAACACTGAAACTGCACAACTAAAGAATCACAAAGAAAGTGCAATCCCTGCAGATTTGTGATGAATATAGAATTGCCTTCCCCAAACAATACTATCTTCAAAATTAAGATCTTAGCTTCTTTAGCACTTTGCAGAGGAAGAAGCTGTTGATATGTTTGCAGGAAACTACCAGCCAACTACACCACTATTCAAAGAAACCACTACACAAGACCCAAATTCTAGAGGAACATGCATAAGAGGAAAAGAACCTTACATTGCAATAAGATTGCCAATCACTCATATTATCAGCTGTAACTACGATCATCTTCTTATCTTCATCCCAAAAGCTCAATCCGCTTCGCTTTTGAATATCAGCTATCACTCATAGCGTTTCTTCCATGCCCGAAGTCGGTTCTTGACGTTATCTCTAGTCACATTGATTGCCAAGTCAGTGCGAAGTTGATCCACAACTGCTTGGTATGCTTGCGTCTTCCAGTCTCCATCACCCTTATTCCGTTGAACTATTTGATCCAGTAACACTCGACTTAATATCTTGTCCATATGTGAATCCCATTGGCGATAAACACGAGATTTACCGGGTAAAATACTTCCTTGTCGCTTCATTCCTACAACAATAAGAACAAACAGGTAGATCACTTCAGCAGGCCACTCAAACAAATGAACCCTGAAACATAAATAGCTACTAAACTCGGTCAAACTCTATAAATAAATCAATGCAATAAATACCCTGACTATGAAATCTAGTACTGACAACAACCAGCAAGAGTTTCAATCACTTTATACCTGATCAGTGTGCAACAAACCTCATAAACATTGAGTTGATCAGTGTACAAGCAAGCATACACCAGCAGTATAGATATAGAAACAACAAATGCCATACAGAACCAACTGTCTGCTGCAGAATTTGCAGCACTGTTTGCTGCAGAATTTACTGCACTTGATTAAGGCAGCAGGTACCAAACCATACAGAATCAATTGTGAATGTTCTTAAAAGAACAAGGAAACAAGGATATAACACAAGGAAATCCAGCCAAAGCTGCAGCACATAAGAATAAATAAGTACGAGCAATGTTGATTTCGTTACCGAGGCAAACAATAACTAAGAGCAATGTTGATTCCAGTTACAATGGCATATCTAACAGAAAATACAGAACTAACTCCGAGCTCTCCGAGCGAGAAATTGCTTTATATTGTTCAAACATTTCCTTAGCTAAATTATCTCTAAATAAAGTCCACTCATTGGTTGCCCTCACTGTCGTGATTTCATCTTCATCAGAGTCATATGAATCGTTATCTAAAGCATCTTCCAACTCTTGATCTACTTCATCCAATAGTGCATCATGAGGACACTCATCACGAATGAAGTTGTGAAGGATACAACAAGCATTGATGATCCTAACTTGAGTCTTCACGTCATAAAAGCCAGCTGCACGCAAAATGCCCCATCTTTTCTTCAACAATCCAAATGCCCTTTCAACGTAACTTCTAGCTAAGGAATGCCTAAGGTTAAATAACTCCTTATAGTTCTTAGGAGTATTCCCTCGCCAAAGTTGTAAATGATATCGAGTCACCCTATAAGGAGCTAAGAAACCAGGCTCGTTGGCATATCCCCCATCCACAAGATAGTACTTATTTACAAATTTAATAAGAAAGAAAAACAGAATCATTAAGTAATCTTTAATAGATAATACCCAAAGAACATTAGATAGAGTTCACAGAAGCCTACTTTTAGGAACTTTAAGACCATTTTCCCGTGATAGAGCATCACGCAACATTCGAGAATCTGAAGCTGATCCCTCCCAACCGGGCAGAACATAAGTGAACCTCAGATTAGCATCACAAACAACCAAAACGTTTGTACTAATCTTGCCTTTTCTACTTTGATATCTAGACTCGTCTTCGGCGGGTACAGTTAAAGGAAGAAAGATCTCGTCAAGAGCTCCAACTGCACCCTACAATATATCTTACTTTGAGTTTTTCAGAGTAAGAAGTAAGAACCAAAGTTTATTAGACATAAGTGAACTACCTGAAACCATTTCCATTTTTCAGCATCTCCAGAGCTAAGAACTTGTGTGCTTTCTTTGATATAATCACTGCCGATATGTAAAACTGCTCGTAGCACCTCGTGAAAATGTCTACTAATAGTTTCCCCCGAACGAAGGAAAGTAGCTTTAATTGTTCTATTTCGCATACAATGCGCTAAGGTTTGCAAAAAGAACGCAACCATTTCTGAAATAGACACATGTCTTGAAGCAACTAAACCACCCTTATTTTGCAAGATGGGACACAGTTTCTCAAAAGCTTGTGGTTTGATGTGTAATTGCTCAACACATATTGGTTGAGAAAGTATAATATCTAAATGATCTCTTCTACGAAAAAATCTACGCTCAAATTGTTTAGCATATGACTTATTTTTTGCAGGCATAAAGAGGGAACCAATAAAAATTGCTAGAAATACAATTACCAACACAATCAACTCCTCTTCTTCCTCTTCCTCGTCTCTCTTAAGCTTATACCTAACTATCTCTCTCCTAGTTTCATCCATACTTTGTAAGATATGATCCAGATAAGATTTGTTTTAATTCTGCAAATCCACACATAAAAACTGCATAAGGGTTCAGTTTTAGGCGCAATTATCATTACTGTATAAAGGAAAAAGAAAACAGGTCACACTAACTAAAAAAAGGAGAACAAGAAAACAACCTAGAAAATTTATTGGCACTATATATATTAGACTACTATGGTGGGTCTAGCTATGGAACTCCTGCAACTCACTTCTCAAAATGAGTTGGCATACAATCTAGCAAGAAGTAAAGGTGGGATATGTCCCGCACACTACCAAATTGAAGTTGGCATAATTACTGCTCATATTCAAACTAGAAGCTGCCATCTCAGTTTAGGGGTTGTTTCACTGTGTCATTTGGTTTCTTTTTTCACCAGGTGTAACAGTTCAACACGACACAACAATGAACGGGAAAACACAAATACACTACCCAAACAAAGAAGAAACCAAACAAGCATAGCAACAGTTCAACACGACACAAAGAGGGAATTATATACCACTTCATGGAGTAGAAGCAACATATGTAGATCCCCCAACTACGATCAGAGGCATTCCTTATCAAGATGGATTAGCTTTTAGTGATCCAAGCCTATGCAACTTTTTGAGATTACAGAACACCCACTGGAGATAATCATCTCCCTTGTTATTTATTTGATTTTGAAGCACTTTTACTAAGTTATTAATTACATGGCGTCTAATGTTTACAATAGCAAAAGAACCGACAAAATTCCACACAGAAGTTTATCTAATTCTAAACCAGTCCTCTAAACTTTCACATAACAAAATACCATATCTGGAGTTGCCCCGGTTAGCTACCGAGTTTTGATAGGGATCAATCCTGGAGCAAATCTCTTCCAGCATCCTTAGGTAGTACCAGCTAAGTTGAGGTACAATGAAAGGTTTCAATAATACGCAGACAAACGCCACAATAAGAAACCCGAAAACACATATCCACAACCCAAACGCCCAAAACTAATAAACCCATTCAAAGTTAGAACAAATAGTATGAGCAACGAGCAAAATAGGCTATAACAGAAGAACAAACTTCCAACTCGCAAATTGAAGCCCAAGGTGAGAACACAGGTGGGTTGGGATGGTGGAAACTTAGTTTGTAGAAGCAAAATCAAATGAACCTAGAGTAGCAAACAAATTGAAACATTCAGCAATCTTTTTACCTTGAGTAGCAACTAAATCGCAGCAGCCAGGCAAGCTAGTGGTCGCCGATGGAGGGCAGTGACCTGCTGGATAAGAAACGAAGTTGATGGTCAGATCTGCGCATTAAGGGATTGGGTATTGGAAGTTTAGTATTCAGAAGCTGTATCAAACGGTAGCAAATAAATCCAAAGTACGAAATCTCACTTACCTCCAAGATTCGAAGAACACGAAGAAGGGAAACGGGCAAATGGTAGTCGGTGGAGGGCAGGCGAGCTTCTGGTTGCGGATGGAGGGCGGTGGGCAGTAGCGGTGGGTAAGGAGAAGGAGATTAATCGGTGACCATGGTTGCGGATGGAGGGCGGTGGGCAGTGGCGGTGCCAACACGATGGATGGTGGATGAGAAATGAGAAGATGAAGCGAGATGGCGGCGAAGGGAACGATTTGCCTCTGGATACAGTGCGGCTTCAGTCTTCGGATTGTATTTTAGAATCAGTACCGTCCAGCGTGTATTTGAAATATTCTTATTTCTGAAGGCCGAAATACATGATGGATTTCGGCCAAATTCAAATACTAAATTCATGGGCCTGCCAAAAGCTAAAATTTGGAATTTGAAAATTCAAATACAAAATCCAAATACAAATCCAGCTATCCAAACCTACCCGTAGTAATATTGAACGTAACATTGCGTAGAGAACATAATATAAAACCCACAAGAGCAAAGAAAAAATCATAGCTTGACGAGGATAGTTTTCGTTTTTCTGACAAATTAAGTGTATAATAATTATTTTGCAATCATTATTTGTATAATTCATTATATTCGTTTTTTATTCTTAATTGACGACATAATAATCTTTCTTAATTAGTTGGTCTACTCTTTTGTTCTGTCATCGGGGCGGAACCTTCTTCTTGCTTATCCATATCGTTTCTTCTCATCTGCAGCAGACGACACACCAGTAAGAAATACTCTGACAACAACCTTTATCCCCACAATCCAGACTTGTTGGTTGCACTTGCACGTGTGTTCCTGTCGAAGTTTAGTAAAAGAAAGTGACCCGAATCAATAACTAATTGATATATAACAAGCCCAGTAAAATCACAATCTTAGTTGATTAAGGTATTAGACGGATCACCTAAGCACAACTTTTGGTTCGAATTCACTCTCTAAAATCTCTCTTAATTTATAAAGTCATCCTCTCAAGTTATGAGAAAAAAGAATACTAAAAGAACTGATTGAACTGGTTCTTAACATACTACGTTATTAGAGAGAGAGAGGTCGTGACGAAGGGAACTTACTAGGAGAAAGAAGCAACTTTCTGCTGGTGTTGCGGTTACTTAAACCGTATTAGTATTGGGCCTTGTTGGGCCTTGTCCGAGTTGTAGTAGGTATGGATATGCGGCCGTACTCGACTCTTCTCATTAGGATTTTAACCCTAGTCTATCTCTATTTAAGCTTAGCTACGAGGATGTCGTAAGCAAGCCGTCACAATGTAGTCGTTCAATAAAACGTCAGCTGTGAGCTCTTATGAGCTCACTGTGGATTAGTCTCGATCAATCGATCGAGGATACCACGTAAAAATCCCTTGTGTTCTGTGTTCGTTTCAATTCCGCATCATCAAATTCTTCATAGTATCAGAGCTGTAGATCCAGCTTGTCTTCCGCACATCAGCGATGTTCATCCCGCTGGCTTGTTTTGTTCATCAGCGATGTTATTCCGCTGAGCATAGTCGACCTAGGCGAAGTCCATTCCGCCGTGGGTCATCAATCGCCAATCATTCGTGGTTGTTGTCATCAGGAGAGCCGAGGTTCATTCCGGCCTCCAACTCTGTCTCCGGCAACTGGGTTCACGCCATCAACGACGACTCCGTGGGCTCGTCGCAAGTCACCAATCGCCATCCCCACCAGATCGATGCTCTTTTCCCACAGATCAGCCTCCGAAATCGACGTCGGCCGCTCAGATTCGATCTCCCGCCGTCGCGACTTCTCTGCCTGTGCTGCCGTAGTCTTCTGTCTCCGCTTTCGAAGGAACAATGACGAAGTCCTTCCGGCTGTCGCTTCTTCCTTCCTCGTCGCCAGGAGAGCAGATGTCCACTCCGGTCTCCGACTGCGTACCGTCGTCGTTGCCGTCAAGACGAGATCTCTCGATCCGCCATCAGATCCAGCCGATGCGCCATCATCAGAAGAACCATCGTCGCCGGCCGTTCTTTTTGGACAATAATTGTTCAAAAGAGACGAAGGAGATGGGACAAGAGAAACAAAAGGGTTAGCGTGGATCAGAAGTGGCGGAAGCAACCAACAGAAGGGTTTCACCTTCAAGCTTCATCTCTTCCGTGGGCTTCAATAGGTTGGGCCTATTCTGTCTCTAGTCTCACTAAAATTGGTTTAATGGGCTCTAAGACCTTTCATTGGGGTTAGACCTTTTATCGGGTATAAGAAGCAACAACTTTTGAAGAAAAATCACAAGAGCAGGATGTCTTGAGCACTTTATCAACGTTTGGTGGTGATTTACACAGTTCCTTCCCAATTAGTTTTTTTTTGTCAGTTTGTTGTTTTCACTTTGCAGAGGAAAGCAAGCGAATCCCCAATCATAAAAGCAGTGAAGAGGCCTTCACGATCCATAAAATGGTCGATCCATAAAATGGTCGTCCCCTGGCGTTCAAAAAGGTAGTACGATAAGAGAAGTTATCGTCCCTTTATCGTCCAGCTGGCATTCACGATCCAAGAAATGGTCGTCCCCTCTTCGGATTCATTATTGGGCACGTATCAACCATTCATCGCTTTTCAAGCAGGGCATTCACGATGTTCATGCTCCAACTTGAGGGGGAGAATAGGAGGTCAACATACGTCGGTCGACTACCTTAGTCATCAGGTTGACCGCGATGTACCAAGTGTGTTCAAGTTCAAGAGACGTAGTCAATCGTCTCCATGATTAGGTTGTTCAGAGAGAGTCAGTCGTCTCCAATCAACCTTGTCCGAGATGTTATTCATCTCGAGTTTTGTGGTTCAAGCTATCATGCTTGTTCTTCACATTTACTTCTTCAAGCTCGACATTCTTGTCGTTCATGTCTTCGCTTGAGGGGGAGTGTTGCGGTTACTTAAACCGTATTAGTGGGCCTTGTTGGGCCTTGTCCGAGTTGTAGTAGGTATGGATATGCGGCCGTACTCGACTCTTCTCATTAGGATTTTAACCCTAGTCTATCTCTATTTAAGCTTAGCTACGAGGATGTCGTAAGCAAGCCGTCACAATGTAGTCGTTCAATAAAACGTCAGCTGTGAGCTCTTATGAGCTCACCGTGGATTAGTCTCGATCAATCGATCGAGGATACCACGTAAAAATCCCTTGTGTTCTGTGTTCGTTTCAATTCCGCATCATCGCAAGCCGTCACAATGTAGTCGTTCAATAAAACATCAGCTGTGAGCTCTTATGAGCTCACCGTGGATTAGTCTCGATCAATCGATCGAGGATACCACGTAAAAATCCCTTGTGTTCTGTGTTCGTTTCAATTCCGCATCATCAAATTCTTCAGCTGGTGGCGGCGGATATCATCGTCTGTCGATTGTTTTCATGGACAGCTGCATCCAAAGGCTCGAGGAAACTAAAAGCACAAAGAAGAAGCAGGAGAACGAAAACAGCCTTTATTTTCATTGCGGTTTTCGCCTATGGACAAGTGGGTGAGTGTTACCGTCGAGCTATTGCACTATTTATAATATTAATCATGGAAGCCTAATGAGCAATTAATTACTTCTTTATCTATAGGAGTTGCCATATTGATAATTACTTATTTTAATACATGTTTCGAGTACTAATTAAACTATTATTACTTGGATGAATAGCTTGAGCCTCGAGCCAGAAAGGACCCCAAACAACAATAAACTCATTCGTTCATTTTGTATATTATGAGTAGCCATATTATATATTGACTTAATCCTCTAAATTATTCGCCCATTGAACTTGTTATGGACAAGTGGGTGAGTGTTACCGTCGAGCTATTGCACTATTTATAATATTAATCATGGAAGCCTAATGAGCAATTAATTACTTCTTTATCTATAGGAGTTGCCATATTGATAATTACTTATTTTAATACATGTTTCGAGTACTAATTAAACTATTATTACTTGGATGAATAGCTTGAGCCTCGAGCCAGACAGGACCCCAAACAACAATAAACTCATTCGTTCATTTTGTATATTATGAGTAGCCATATTATATATTGACTTAATCCTCTAAATTATTCGCCCATTGAACTTGTTATTTCGTGCAATTTCAGTAGTCTTATCGACCAGCTAATCGAGCAATCTTTTCACATGATCTCAACAACCACTTTACAAAAATGTCATTAACCGCTTTAGTTTTTTTGTGATTAGTGGAATGAAATGTTTTTCTGTTATTCTTGTTTGTTTGTCAAATCAGGTTGTGAAGAACCAATTGATTCGCAACAATTCAAGTTGTTGAGGGATGGTTCAATATGATTATCATATTATTCTTTTATAAGCTCCCTCAAACAAAAACTACCCCAAAAAGTTCAATTCTGCATGGTTCAATTATCATGTGATTTAATCAGAATATATTGATAATGTGGATAGTCCAAAATTGACTGCATAGACCTTTACAATAGAAGCTCTAACACCATGTAAAAATCAATTGTTTCTTATTGAGTCGTTCAAATAAAACTCTTATGTTCCTGCATGTTATTCTTCACGGTTGGATATAATGCTGGCCTTCCAACTATCATCAAAGTGAGGCAATAATATTCCCATGCAGTGTTTACTTTGCCGAGGGATCCACACATATCCCCAATGTTGTTTCCATTGATAAATGCCCAAGTGCCGGATTGGAACTTCCTTATTAATTTATCTTTCGAGTCTCTTTTACCTTGTTTGGACGTGATGTGTAGTCTATTTGATAACAACAGTTTTAATGAAAATTGACACCATAAACCTGTATGTAGTCTTATGCATCTAAAGCCACTAATGCCACTGTCAAATAATAATAATAATAATAATAATAATAATAATAATAATAATAAAACCACTAATGCCAACCGTTTTAACGAATTACAGGAGAAAATGTGTCCAGAAAATTAAACTATAAACCTGTGTACGTAGTCTTTTGCTACTAAACCAGTTTTGTACTATTCAACATTACCATCTGGGTTGAACTTAGTAATAAAGCCACTAATGCCAACCGTTTTATTGCATTACGGGACAAAAAGTGTCCAGAAAATTAACACCATAAACCTGTGTAGTCTTTCGCTACTAACCCAATTTTGTACTTTTCAACATTACTGTTGGAAAAATATGAAGAGGCCCAGCCAGGCCCAAGCCCAAATAGAGTACTAAAAAGGACCGAGGCCCGACTAATAATGATGTATGCAAAATGGGTCCATGCATAGCGACAAAGCGAAGCATGCAGACAAAGGAGTACAGCCTGGGTAGGGCTGTTAGTCGGTGCGGTTTCGGTTTAACCGAACCGCACCGTCGGTTAGCCGAGACCGAAACCAGGCCATTTCCCTCAACCGACGCCGACACCGAATGTAGCCTCGGTTAACCGCCAACCGTAACCGCCGGTTTCGGTTTGAGAGGACGGTTAGCCGAAACCGCCAAAGTCGGTCCAGTTTTCGGTTTTCGGTCAGAAACCGACAATAACCGACCAATAAAACCGATTTCCGTGAATTGCACACAGCACACCTGTCACCTGCTGCCTTTTTCTAAAAACCTGCTGCTGCCTTTTTTCTAAAAACCTGCTGCTCTATTATCAAATCAGAACATAAAGTCTAAACCAACCACAATTAAACCACAAGTCAAGTCATCATTCATCACACACCATAAATCTTTTACATGCCAATAATTCATCAAGTCACAAGTTCACAAATCACAACAAGCCACAAATAACAAGTTCATTCTCCAAATCATCAACCTAAATTCGGGGATCTCGCTCCAAATCGTCTAGCCCAATGTCATCATTTACTCCAAGATCTTCATTCTCGTCATCAGGATTGACATCGGAATCATATTCAGCAACATCATCAAGTCCATCAACCATGGGGGTAGGAGTAGGATCAACTGAAAAACTTTGGGTTCCATCAAAGTCACTCCCACTTTGATTAGGCATTCGAGCTTGTAAAACCTCATAAACTACATGAAAAGTAGATTATAATGAGAAAACTAAGATAGGCAAATTGTCAAATATGAAAACTAAAGCATAATTAGAAGGAAGAATTGATATATTACCACTTTCAAACTCAGTTAGCTCTTCGAAATCCTCTTCATCATGAACCAATTGGGAATCAGGGAATCGTATCCAATCTTCGGCACAGATTAATGCCTCCACCATCTTCGGGGTCAAGGAGGACCTAAATGAGGATAGCACCCGACCTCCTGTGCTGAAAGCAGACTCGGAGGCAACAGAAGAAATCGGAATGGCCATAATATCCCGCACCATTTCAGAAAGCACGGGATATCTAATGCTGCTGACGGACCACCATTTAAGAATGTCAAAGCTATCATCCTCGTCATCGCAAAGAACAACATCATTGACATCATTCAGATAGATGTCCAGCTCTGAAGAACTTCGAATACCCGCATCAAGCTCTTCTTTCCTCAACTTCTTGAACTCAAAAGTCATCTTCCCTCCCATCACAACACCACTACTCGAACTCCCACTAAGAGTGGTTGTGGAGGTCCTAACAGCATCCGGCGCACTTGAGGGTGGAGACTGGAGCTTCTTCTTGTAATCTTCAAACAAGTCACTCATCTCTTGTTTGATATCCTTAGCCATTTGCTTCCCATTTTCTTGGCCATACATCTGCTTCAAGACAAATTCAACATAGGCCAACTTGCACCTCGGATCTAACACACATGCAATGTAGATCACACGATTCATCCTAATATTCTCCTCATTATCTGCCTCATACCAATACTTTGCAACCTTCGCCTTAATTCTCACTGCCATTCGTTGTATCTCGGCATCTTCATCTTGCTCCAATGTGCATTTGACCTCATAAATATCTGCAAGATACTTGAAGAATAGATGTACAGTCACATATGATGATCCTGTAAACATAGAAAAGTTCAAGAGAGTAGATATTAGTATAACATAAATTGAAGTAATAAGAAAAAGAACATATAGTTCGCCTTTAAAGATTTAGATTGTCATACCAGATACACGCGCAGTCAAATCACAGAAAAACATCAAATACTTCATCAGCCTTCTCACACTACTCCAATCTTCTTGTGTTGGCACACCTCTCTTTGCGTCCACATACTTCTTAAAGCTCTCATCTTGTCCATATAAGAAAGTAAATACTTTCTCAAATCTTTCTGCAGACTCTAGCATGAGGTAGGTGGAGTTCCACCTTGTGGGAACATCCAAACACACAAGTTTCTTGGTCTCAATCTTAAGAAAATCAGCAGCCGCCTTGAATCTGGTAAGTCTTGATGGAGATGACTTGACCCACTTCACAACATCTCGAACCCTTTCAACCGAAATCCCCACTTCTTTCAAGCCATCACTGACAACTAAGTTGATGATGTGAGCAACACAACGAAAATGCAAGTACCTCCCATCCAACATATTTTCCCCCCACTCATGCATCTTCTCTATCATGTAACTAGCCACAACATCATTCGCACTAGCGTTGTCCATAGTGATGCAACACAAACTCTTGATCTTCCACTCATCTAGACAAGTACACAATGTCTCTGCTATATCAATTCCAGTATGACTAGTCACCTCAACAAAGCAAATCACCTTCTTCACCAACTTCCAGTCTTTACCAACATAATGAGCAGTCACACACATATAGTTTGCATTCTGAACAGAAGTCCATGTATCTGTCGTTATCGAAATTCTTCCTTTGAATTTTGTGACAAAGAAATCTCTCAGGATATCTTTTCTTTCAAGGAAGATACGATAACAGTCTTCTCTAATAGTAAGCCTACCAGGTATCACAAACAAGGGCTGCGCCAATGCCATAAATCGTCTAAAGCCTTCATGCTCGACATATCTAAAGGGAAGCTCGTCCAATATAATCATCTCAGCTAGACCAATCCTAGTTTTAGTCTGATCAAACTTCCATATCGAAAGAGATCCTACATGACCACCAGTAGCTGTAGATGTTGACTGCAGATTCAACAAAGTTTGAGAGCTACCACTCTCCTTCAGCCTTTTCCTCGCACATGCCCTCCTATGTGTATTCATTGCACTTGTCCCATTAAACTTTGGATGTGCTGCAATCTTCGTCTTGCAGAATATACATTCACCAAATGGGTAGCCATCAACCAGTATCGCTCTGAAGACATTCCAACATTCAGCTTTCCTCTTCTTTGTTGCTGCATCATTTGCACTCCCCGTTGCATCTCCCCCAGCTTCCACATTTGCATTCTCGACTCCAGCCGGCGCTGCTACATTATCTCTTCCAATACCTTCTACATTCTCAGCTGCAGCCGCCACATTTGGAGTAACTCCTCCGACTGTAGTAACTCCGGTAGAAGGAGTAGCAGGTTGCGAAGGAACCCGCGGCTGAGAAGCCGGAGGAGGAGCATCTCTTGCTCCTTGTTCTCCTCTTCCACGACCACAACCACGTGGTTTCTTACCACATCCACCTCTATCCCTGTTTTAATCAATAAAAACAAGTAAATAGAACAATTAGCATCATGTAACATCAACAATTAGCAAACCAAATCCCTACTAACTACCAATCACCAAACCAAATCCCTACTAACTACTAATGTTCTAGAAATTAAGTCGGTTGCGGCATCAATGTTTCCGCTATACATAGACCTTTTCAATAGCCTATAGTTGCAGCACCTAGCAGTAGCTACAAACACAAGACTCTCTATAAATACAGGATATAGTGCAAGATTTAGAGCTCATTTACGCTAAA